GCGCTTCGCGCGCCAAATTAAAAATATTTACCCCCCCCCTACAGAATCCTTATGTCCGCCCCTGCATACATACACACAAACAAATATTTATATATGTGTTCATAGTTTGGTTTGTTATGTTGTCTATAGCTGGCCAAACAGCTATAGACAACATAAGCTGAAATTTGTTTAGTAACCCCGTGGATAACATATAGGCTATAAAAGAAATTAAAATTTTTCCCCCACAAAAATTATTTATTTATTTTCAGAAATAGTTTTTTTTTATTTCACAGGCAACGCCGCGCACTGCAGCTAGTATAAAATAGACGTAAAACGGCTGAGCTGATTGGGCAAAATTTTACAAAAAGCATGTGTTTGAAGAATTTAATTAATTTACAATAGGTACAGGGTGCCCCACAAAACATGACAGTTGGTGAGTAGTTTAAATGTCTTCTTTCATAATTTGCTAAGTTGTTTGATACCAAAGACAATAATAAAAATATTATATGGGAGTCCTGTTATAGTAAAATTGATTTCAAAGTAAAATATATTCAATCAAAAGATTTTTTTAAAGAAATAAACTGCAAAACGTCTTCAATACAGGGTGTCCCAATGAATTCCCATGTTTTTTGGGACACCCTGTATCTAAAGCAGTATGTGGAAGAAGACATTTAAAACCATACACTAACTGTCATGTTTCGTGGGACTTCCTTTATATAGATTTTTTGCAGATATCCTCTGTGTTGTGCTTTTTTACTACTTTCTATTTACTTCAGATTGTACTTTGTATTTACTTCATACAATACTTTGTATTTACTTCATATTGTACTTTGTATTTACTTCATACTGTATTTTGTATTTACTTCATACTGTACTTTGTATTTACTTCATACTGTACTTTGTATTTACTTCATACTGTAATTTGTATTTACTTCATACTGTATTTTGTATTTACTTCATATTGTACTTTGTATTTACTTCATACTGTACTTTGTATTTACTTCATACTGTACTTTGTATTTACTTCATATTGTACTTTGTATTTACTTCACCCAAATAGTTGTTTGAATTCTTCAAAGCTCAACTTTCCATCGCCGTCTGTATCCAACTAAAAAGAGGGGAAATTTTATTTTTATTTCTGAAGATAAAATAAATAGCTTCTAATGATGTTATCAGTTATGAGCGATGGTTTATTTTACTTTTTTAAATTATAGTTTTCGCAGGTTTTTTTTAATTCATCGTTTTAAAAATACACACGTTATACACTCATTTTTTTATTTTTACTTTTAGTTTTGAACATTCTAGATAAACTCCTTTTGCCTGTATATAAGGATGATAACGTTTTTATTTTTTTTTGAAAAACGATCGTTTCGTTATGAAAACGACGACGAAAAATCGAAAAGGAAACAATCATTTTTAAAAACGATCGTTTTTAAAAAAGTTCGTTTTTTAAAATGGTTGTTTTTAAAGCGATCGTTAACGACAACCCTTTGTTAACGATTGTTAATGACGACCCTACGTCAACGATCGTTAACATAACTGTCAATAAAATTTGTTTTTCAAAAACGATCATTTTTTGAAAAGCGATCGTTTTTTGAAAAACAATCGTATAAAAACGGTCGAAAACCGTTTTTTTAAAAAACGATTGGTTTAAAAAGACGATCGATTTTTGTTTTCTATAAGTTACAAACGATTGAAAAACGAAAAAAAACCGATCGTTTTCAAAAACGATTGACAACCCTAGATAGGCAATATTGCCTGTATATCGCCTGTATAAGATAGGCTAAGTAAGATATTCTAAAGTCAAAAGCTTTAGGTATATGTGCACTTGTGGAAGACGATGCCTGGCCGCGTTAAACAAGTTCCACAAGATTCAACAGAATGAGATAGAACGGATACGGGGCATAGTACTGAGAAACATCTACACGTGTGATATAGATATTGACTCTAGTTCTGAACCCTCCAGTAATAAGTTATAAGAAATATATATACTGGAAGTTATTTATGCGTTTTTTATTAGAGTCTGACTCACGTCCTCTACTTTTAAATACATTATTTACCAATATAATAAAGACGACTTTTGTATTTAAGTTTTGATTTCTAAGAAGCTTTTTTTTCTAAATTTGAAGTTTACAAGTAAGCGAAGCTGTTAATTAACAACCTCTCTATTTTTCCGTGTTTTTGTGTATCCATTCTGTTTAAAATTTTAGTAGAAATTAAATATCAAAAGTATTGATATATACGTCGACGACTGTATATGAGTAATCCCTTTATCTATTATAAAGAGACGGTTCTATTTCTATAATTACTATATATACTTCCCTTCTTTAAAAGCCCCTCTCTCTCTGAACTGGATAATTTTGTGCTCAGTAGTTTTAATTCCTGAATACATAAAGTTTCACATTTTTATCAAATCCAGAAAGTGTAATTCTGAAATTGATATTCACGAATTTTAATTCACAATTCTGAACAACATTAAAACTTGGTCCCAGTAAACATGATTGTTTGTAAAAAAAATTTTTATAAAACCTCTTTATATTGAAGCAACAAGTGAAATTTCTAAAGCTCTAATCTCAAAAACTTGTCATACTCACATTATCTACACATTTTCATGTTTAGAGTGAAACACTCACAAAGCTTGAAAAGAAAGACGATCTTAAAAACAAACAAAAAAGTTTGTTAAGAAGTTATGAAAGATGAAAATTAAACAATTACAAACAATCCGCGCTGATTTAATATCCGTAGTCAAAAAGTTCCCTTTTTGTTCCGAATAATTTTGGAGACCACTCAACATCTTCAGCTTCATCTTTTACTCACCTTACTAGTTAGAAAGCCCGAGTGGTCTGTATCTAAAGCTTTAAACGCTAACTCAGCCTTAGAACACATTTCAGACTAGAGAGAAAAATAATAAATAAATAAAATAATGTTAAAAAATCACAATCTTCTCAAATCTTTTTCTTTCTAAAAAAAACATCAATGGGACGCATAAAACTCTGGATTAGGAAGACGACATTTATAACTATGATTTAAGCAATCTGAATTTGATGTTGTTATAAAGAAAATAGTTTTACAGTAGCATAAAAAATGAAATGGGTCGAGAACTGGACAACAAATTCTTTTTTACAGTCGTACTCCCATTCCACAGTTGTATGCGTACCACTGTACATTTAATTAGAAACAGGAAAACATTTACAATTTGTTATCCCGGACCTGTGTTACAATCCCTTTTTCCCTCCCCTATGATGTTACAATACCTTTTTCCCCTCCCCTCTGTTGCAATCCCTATTTCCCTCACCTCTGTTACAATCCCAATTATCTCAACTCTGTTGCAATCCCTATTTCCCTCACCTCTGTACAATCCCTATTTCCCTCACATCTGTTACAATCCCTCCTCACCTCTGTACAATTCCTATTTACCTCAACTCTGTTGCAATCCCTATTTCCCTCACCTCTGTTACAATCCCTATTATCTCAGCTCTGTTGCATCCCTATTTTCCTCACCTCTGTTGCAATCCCAATTATCTCAACGCTGTTACAATCCCTATTTTTTCAACTCTGTTGCAATCCCTATTTTCCTCACCTCTGTAACGATCCCATCTCCGTTCTTGTCGAATGTTGGAATGAATAGTTTTGAAGATAACATGATTCGAACAAAGTCGTCTTTCTTCAGCTGGCCAGAATCCCCCGACAAACTGTAGGTGTAAGATTGAAGTTTAAGAATTCGATTCACTTGAAACTGGGCTTAACTTCTGGCTCAGCATAAGCCAGGCTTAGTTATAAACATACTTTTGTGAAATCTAATGCTTAGTTGGCAAACTCAAATTTAAGTACTTTTGGTTCATTATATTAAGAATAAATTATACATTTTGCATTTATTGCGAAAAAGAAGGTCTGGTGATGCAGAATGGAAACACTTCCTGGAATTCAGCGCCCTCTATACCAAATAATAATAATAATAATAATAATAATAATAATAATAATAATTAAAATAATAATAACAACAACAATAATAATAATGATGATAATCAACCTTGAATAACATTTCATATTCCTCTACAGTAACGAATCCTCTCCCATCCTTATCCACCTGAAATAATATTTTTAATATTCTTTATATTTTATCAATAAATGTCAAAACGGCTAAACAGAACGGGCCCAAACATTGTGTGGGACATCACAGGACCCCAGGGAAGGTTTATGGATGCTCAAAATTACAAAAATTTGTATCCAAAAGTTTTTGATTTTTGTAAAAATTTTAAAAATGCGCAAAACAGATATTATCTATTTTTTTAATTTACTTATTATTTTATATTGTACAAAGAGAAGATGTGTACAGTTAGAAGTTGAAAGAATATGGTCCAATAGTAAAATATAATGAATTAGGAAAGTATCAAAATAGTGTACACTTGTACATGAGCCATTGGCTGCAGTATTGGTTTTGAATTCAAACAATCAACATTAAAACTCTAGTTATAGAATAAATTAATCAATTATAGGTGCTAAAAATTGTCGGAAATGAACGATCCACGGTCAAAAACTTCTAAATTTGTTTAATCTCAAATATTATAATAAAAAAATTGCTAATTCTAACGGTAAATTACCTAAATAAACATGTTTTTGGTGAGAGATATGCATAAAAAGTCCAAAAATCTTTTTTTGAAAAATAGAAAAGACGACATTCGGTGGCTTCTTAATTAAACCAATTGAGGCGCCTGGTTTTGCGTTTAAACCCCAAAACGGGGCAATGAAAACAAAATTTGAGAAATGATTTTTTTGACGTTTTTCATAGTAAAACAGTTAAAGTTAACCTTTCTAAATATTTCCTCCAGTGCTCTGGTTTGTCTTCGAACTTTCAGATTTTTCGCCACGGTCGCTGCTGCCATCTTTCTTGCAACTTGGGAAACAGTTGATTTTTAAATTTTGTAATTGTTAAGAGAATTTTTCGCTCGAAAGGACTTAAGCGTAATTTTAATGTAAAGATGGCATCTTATTTTCAACTAGAATTATAGCTTTGTCTGATCAAGTATCCTGTATCAATATTCCTGTTTTTTTCTTAAACTGTCAATCTTCATTTGCGGTTTCTCTACGAAAGTGACTTGCGCATTTCTTGGTTTGAAAATCAATGAAGAAATGATCAAAATAAAACATTTTTCGAGTCATAAAAACGAAGGTATCTTCCACATTTTTGATCAGATTTAAGTTTCAAGGGTCCTGTTGTAAATCGGGCATTGAAATATTTGAATGTAGGGTCACAGTCCCTTTAATTCGTTTTATGTTCTAGAATTAGTAGTTCTTAAGTGTGTAAGATTGGAGGGGCTATACAATAAAATACAAGGGAATATTAGGAATCACCGGGTTTTCTGTGATTTCAATTCTAAAAAGAAATTTTTTAGCCAGACTGAGAGGGGACATTACCTTTCTTATCATCATACCAGGGAGCCATTAAACGTATAGTTATTATTATTAGTATTATTACATAAATCTTGAATAAGATATAAGAAATGCTAATGAATATTGGTTGGGATAAATAAATCTGTCAAGTATAAACGTCATAGTAATAAATATATTCTTTATTTATAATATTAGAAACAAATATTTTCTTTATTTATAATGTTAGAAGTATATATTTTCTTTCCTTATAATATTAGAAATATATATTTTCTTTATTTATAATATTAGAAGTATATATTTTCTTTATTTATAATATTAGAAACATATATTTTCTTTATTTATAATATTAGAAACATATATTTTCTTTATTTATAATATTAGAAACATATATTTTCTTTATTTATAATATTAGAAACATATATTTTCTTTATTTATAATATTAGAAACATATATTTTCTTTATTTATAATATTAGAAACATATATTTTCTTTATTTATAATATTGGTGATTTTCAATTTAGAAACATAATATGACATAATACATTGAGCAATGTACAAAGTTATCAATAAAATGTTGTGAGGTGTAAACAAGGGGGGGGGGGTTATGAGCCCCTCTTGATCAGTATCAGTAAGCCCCCCTGGACAACTTCCTGCGTACGCCCCTGTCACGGCCTGTATATATTTTAAACATAGAGAATAGAATATATATTAGAGGGGAATTTACTAGAAAAAGTGTTAAACGGCCATTTTGTTGTACTGTTTCCATACTGCAGGTGTACTTCACATATTTGTGCCATATAACGTCATATCATTTTATAGAAAATCTAAAATCATTGTTAAAAGAAAACCAAATTATGAAAAAGGCTGGTTTCATAATTGACCAATGATCATTTCACATAGACTCGATGCCTTCCACTTTACAAACGATGATTTTCCGTTATAACTATAAATCAAATGATGTTTTTTATTCACCTGATTAATTATAAAGTTTATTTAACAGTTTTAAATTTAAATGAATAGTCTAGGTAACATACTGTATTAATGTACTCTACTGCATATAATTTGTGAACATTTACATGATTTGTACACTTTGAACTCCCTTTCAGGCTGAAAGGGACTGAAAAAATTCATACCGAGAGATTCTTTAAATTCCCCTCTAATATATATTCTATTCTCTATGATTTTAAAGCGTAGTTTGGGCTTCTGCTAGTTCATTTGAAGTACAGGTCCGACTGTTAGGTAGCTATAATGCAAGTTTAATAGTATGCATACCTTGCCTTGTTCCAATTTTTCATTAAAAATGCATCCAACGACACAAAAGTATAAAAAACATTCATGTTGAAAGGGAGTGTTCGCGAAAAATGAAAGGGGTATATGCTTAAGTCGAAAAATCATCGTAGATGATTGCTACTAATCTTACTTCTATCTGTTACGTCTATAAGGAGAACATTGTTAAAAACGACTCGTCGCGTACCAAAGAACTTAGCATTCATACATATTCAGAGAGTTGCAACATTTGACTCGAATTGTATAAAAAATAATTTAATACCAAACAAATCATTCAGATATTACAACCTAAAACCATCAATAATTTTTCGGCACATTCATATATAGTTAATATATCATAATATGTTTTACTTGTTTAACATACAATATACTGTAAAGGACGTTTATTTGGCTCTAGGTGTCTGAACTCTCGATGCTTTTGGAGTTCCACATGGAAGTGACTTCAACGACACCTAGTGACAAACAAATCGTCGTTAAAAGAACATCGTTGTTGCACATAAATCTGCCTTTCACTTTAATCCCGCGTAATGTCGTCTTTACTACCCTTCCCCTTATCTCGGAGCAGTCCAAATCAAAGAATATACTTCGGCATTACCTCTGTACTTTGACAAAAAACAACATTTAATAGTAAAACATGTTAACTAGCGAAATCTCAAATCCGTGAAAAATTCTGAAATCCATTGCAATTCTACTTAAACAAACGGGTTTTCATTTCCAGAAGTAACGTCCAAATGTTTGAAACTGTTCCGATCACATCCTTCGATCTTAAATTAATACTTAATTACCCCAGACATACTTAACTAGTAACTAGTTACTCAATTAAACAATAAAAACGAGTTAATACCAATATTTTATTTTTACCTTTTAACCATTTTCTCCTTATAGACGCAACAGATAGAAGCAAGATTAGTAGCGATCACCATCATAATTTTTCGACACAAGCATATACCCCCTTTTTCGCGAAAACTCCCTTTAATCGGTGAAATTATAAGTGAAAGTCACAGTTCATGGGATGAGAACCAACTGTTAAATCTGTGTGGGATGTCCCCAAGAAAACGGGAATTTCGTGATGACTTTTTAGTCATCATTGCTGCGTTACAAATTTTGTGATAATACAATTACATTCCACATTTAACACTAGCACACATATTCGTCTTGAAATTTCTTAGTTCTTCATTCAGTTAAAGAGATCCAATAGAATTTAAGTCTGATCCTTTAAATTTCTCCAACCGATCATGATGATATATCGATGATATAGATTTCTTCCCGGACTAAAATTATTGGGTTCATTTCCAATTAAAAAAATGTTTACAAAATGTTAATAATATACAAAATTTTACATTATGGTAGCAGGAGAATAGAAGAGTTAATTATCATGTATTTTTTCCAGTGCATTAAAAATATGTTTGCTTGAGAAAATAGTGAGGTTAGAAAGGTTTGCTCTGGATGGTTCCAGAGCAAATGTTTAAATAGAATGGTTTTCTCTAAAGGGTTTTAGAGCAAAGATTTAGAATAGAATGCTTAGTTCTAGATGGTTTTAAAAGCAAAGATTTAGAAAAGAATGGTTTATTCTAGATGGTTTAAAAGCGAAGATTTAGAAAATAATGGTTTGCTCTAGATGGATTCAGAGCAAAGATTTAGAAAAAAATGGTTTGCTCTAGATGGATTCAGAGTAAAGATTTAGAAAAGAATAGTTTGCTCTAGATGGTTTCAGAGCAAAGATTTAGAAAAAAATGGTTTGCTCTAGATGGTTTCAGAGTAAAGATTTAGAAAAGAATAGTTTGCTCTAGATGGTTTCAGAGTAAAGATTTAGAAAAGAATAGTTTGCTCTAGATGGTTTCAGAGCCAAAATTTAGAAAAGAATGGTTTCGTCCAGATGGTTTCAGAGCAAAGATTTAGAAAAGAATGGTTTGCTCTAGATGGTTTCAGAGTAAAGATTTAGAAAAGAATGGTTTGCTCTAAATGGTTTTAGCTCAAAGTTTTAGAATAGAATACTTTGCTCTAGATGGTTTCAGATCAAAGGTTTAGAATAGAATGATTTGCTCCAGATGGTTTCAGAAAAAGAATATATTGATTTGCTCTAATAGATGGTTTCTTTGCAAAGGTTTAGAACAGAATGAAAGATCTTATGAATGGGTCTCCGTCTGTTGGTATCTAAATCTCTCACTATCTCGCTATATCTGTCTATCTATCTATCTATCTATCTATCTATCTATCTATCTATCTATCTATCTATCTATCTATATATCTATCTATTTTCTATCTCTATCCTTCCATCACATCGCTTCTGTATTTATGTATACGGAACTACCCAAAAAATTATTATAATTTGATTACAACCTACAAAAATTAAATCATAACAATCCAAGGGTTGAATATTGTCAACTGTTTTAAATAAATTTTAATAAATGAAACAAAAAGTAAGAACGAATCTACAGGGTTGGCACCCTAGATTTGTGTAAAATCTGATATCAAAACAATTTATTATTTAACCGAAAACCTTTTTCTCAATATCGTTTTCTCCATATCATAAGATTTTGGAAATTTAAAACTTTATTTCGGTTTAAAAACAAGGTAAATTTAGCTGCGACGCTTATTTATTGCGGTTATGAAGTGTTTGAGACATATTTACTTATACGGTTATGAAGTGCTTGAGATATATTTACTATGGTTATAAAGTGCTTGAGATATGTTTACTGCGGTTATGAAGTGCTTGAAATATATTTACTGCAGTTATGAAGTGCTTGAGATATGTTTACTGCGGTTATGAAGTGCTTGAGATATGTTTACTGCGGTTATGAAAGTGATAGAGATATTTTTACTATGGTTATGAAGTGTTTGAGATTTGTTTACTACGGTTATGAGTGCTAGAGATATGTTTAGTACGGTTATGAAGTGCTTGAGATATGCTTACTACGGCTATGAAATGATTGAGATATGTTTACTGAGGTTATGAAGTGCTAGAGATATGTTTACTAAGGTAATGAAGTGTTTGAGATATGTTTACTACGGTTATGAAGTGCTTGAGATATGTTTACTATGGTTATTGAAGTGATAGAGATATGTTTACTATGGTTATGAAGTGTTTGAGATTTGTTTACTACGGTTATGAAGTTCTAGAGATATGTTCACTATGGTTATGAAGTGCTTGAGATATGTCTACTACGGTTATGAAGTGCTTGAGTTACAATTCTATAAAATTCCACTCTTCCATTCCCATCCCAATCACAACTAGAGCTGTACAATTTCTCAAATCTAGAAAGAAAATGCATTATAAATATTTTTAAAACGATGATGTGTTTTGTTTAACAACCTGAAAACTTTAGAGTGGAGGATATCAAGATTAATGCTTAAACTTCTGGTTTTACAAAACCCAAGATTATTTTAAAATGCATTCGATATCCAAGAAAGAAGTTAAAAAATAACCAATCAGCGTGTCATGTTAAGATGTACTCTTAAACTTTTGAAAACCGGTTTTGATTTTTGGTCTTGATGGTGCCATATCAATTGAACTAAACATCGATTGAACGAACGTAAGTTTTGGATTAATGTTTTTTATGACTAACATTCAAAATGACAATAGTCCTAAAATATATTTATTAATTTCATACTAACATGATTAAATTTATATTTGTTTAAATGCTCTAAAAGCCGGCTTGTGAACAGCTGACTTTAATTCAATTGGATATTAGTCCAATTGATTGTATCTGTTATTGTTATCAAACGTAAATTTTATACAGTAGGAAATATCCCACAAGAGGATTAATAAGAAAATCAAAAGTGTGTCCATTGGATAATCAGATTAAGCGATTGTGATTAAGAATAACTCATTCTAAAGTTTTCAGCTCTGCAAAAAAAGTTCCTTAATTAATAAAATAAAATATTTACTTTTTTATCATGTTTAAATCAGGTTTGTACTTTCCCTCATATAGATCTTTTCGAACAAACACGTCGTCAATATCTGAAAAGAAAATAATTTACATTTACATTTACATACAGGGTGTCCCACCAAACATAACAGTTGGTAAATAATTTTAAATGTCTTCTTTCCTAATATATTGTAATAGATATTATAGACTTTTTGCATTTTTTTCGTTCACTAAAATCTTTTACTAAAATATATTATACTTTGAAATCAATTTTACTATAATATGACTACCATTAAAAATTCAAATAATTCTTTTTGGTATCAAACAACTTAAGTAATTATGGAAGAAGACATTTTAAATTATTCACTAACTGTCCTGTTTCGTGGGACACCCTGTTTAATCACAGGATTAAGCAATGGTTCAGCTTTCATTTTTTTCGAAACACTTCATTTCAGCGTATCTCTGCAAGATATGCTTAAAAAGTAAAATAAATAATAATCTTGAAAAACAGTGTACAGTATACAATTGTACATACCTACAGTGTACGCAAGAACATATCCCTTTTCCTTCATATACTGTCTCAGCTCTTCCTAAAATAATAATGATAAAAATAATAAGTGTAATTATAACAACAACAACAACAACAAATTATAAAAAAATAGTTAATTAAAAATAATATTGATAATGATAATAAGGATCAACTATAGTGAATATACCAATATGTCGAGATCATACACATGAATGCCTGTTATAGATAGTCGATAGACATCCAATTACAATGTATTATACTCTAAATGTAATTCCTAAAAGTGTTTATTTATGACAATAACAACAATTTTAGTGCTGACATGAACAAGAGTTTACTTATTGTGATCAGGTATCAGCCAAGGTTATAATGCAAGGAAAGTTATTTCAGAGGTGTACGCATCTTTTGTACTGCAGTTTACTGTCTCTGGGCGGTAATGTAAACACAAGAAGGATGTCGAAGCCTGACACGGGATCCATCTTTCACATAAAAAATCAATGAAATATTCTGGTCATAGGAAACTTTTATGTGAATTATCAAAATTATCATAATTGAATGCTTTTAACCTCCTCGGATATTTAACGAACACTGATGCATCTATTCTTGTTTACAAATACCGCCCAGAGAGAGCTGGTTTCAGTATTTACGCAGAGTATACGCAACTGCAATTAACTTTCCTTACATTATAACCTTGGTATCCGCAATCTGTTATTGCTTTGCCAATATAATGTGATGTTAACATGAACATTCGGTTGATTCAATAAATTTTTACAGAAATATTGATATTTTTAAGATATTGAAATTATAAAATATTGTTTTTATTAATAATATTTGCGTTATTAATTTTTACAGAAATATTGATATTTTTAAGATATTGAAATTATAAAATATTGTTTTTATTAATAATATTTGCGTTATTAATGTTATTGATTTTATACAGATATTGATTAGGAGTTAGGACATATAATATATATTGTTAATAGATTCATGTTACAAAGAAGGTGGTATCTCTTTGGTCTGTACATTATTGTAACTTTTTTTCTTATCTATAGTTGTATTCTAAATAAAACTTTTCATTTGGGCTATAATTACAAACAGATTACGCCAGCGGTTTTAAATAAGTATTTTTATTTCTGTTTTGAAAGAGGGCTATTTGAATCTTTAAAAGCAATAAATGCTTGATTTTACAAAAAAGATATATTTCTTTCATTCATTTAAAAAAAAAAAAAATGGAAAAATAAGAGTTTATAATTTTGGAAGGAAAATAAAACAAACCTGGGATCCCGGGAATATTTGTCCAGCATGATTAGTTTCTACGGTTAATACTTCAATATCAACTTTATTCCATGGAATGCTTTTTAAAACCTAAATTTAAGATGATTAAAAGCATGTACCCATAACAGGAATGTACATGTAATTTTAGAAAGAAACCTGCATAAATGGAAATCAGCGCCCTCTATACCAAGGATAAGAACAATAACTGGAATTCAGCTCCCTCTATACAAAGTTTAAGAACTACCTATAATTTAGAACCCTCTATACAAAGGAAGGATAAGAATAGTACCTGGAATTCAGCTCCCTCTATACCAAGAATAAGAATACTACCTGGATTTCAGCGCCCTCTATTCCAAGGATAAGAACACTACCTGGAATTCAGGTCCCTCTATTCCAAGGAAGAACTACCTATAATTCAGCACCCTATATATTAAGGATAAGAACACTACCTGGATTCCAGCACCCTCTATATACCAAGGATAAGAACACTACCTGGAATTCAGCGCCCTCTATACCAAGGATAAGAACACCACCTGGAATTCAGCGCCCTCTATACCAAGGATAAGAACACTACCTGGAATTCAGCACCCTCTATAACAAGGATAAGAACAGCACCTGAAATTCAGCGCCTTCTGTAACAGGGATAAGAGCACTACCTGGAATTCAGCACCCTCTATACCAAGGATAAGAACACTACCTGGAACTCAGCGCCCTCTACACCAAGGATAAGAATAGCACCAGGAATTTAGCACCCTCTGTACCAAGGATAAAAACACTACCTGGAATTCAGCGCCCTCTATGCCAAGGATAAGAAAAATACCTGGAATTCAGCACCCTCTATACCAAGGATGAGAACAGCACCTGGATTCAGTGTCCTCTGTGCCAAGGATAAGAACACTTCCTGGAATTCAGCGCCCTCTATACCAAGGAAAAGAAAACTACCTGGAATTCAGCACCCTCTATACCAAGGAAAAGAAAACTACCTGGAATTCAGCACCCTCTGTACCAATGATAAGATCCTACCTGGAATTCAGCGCCCTCTATATCAAGAGAAAGATAGTTAACTGTTCTGTTCCCAGTTGCTAGAATTAGACTGTACAAGGGGAAGCACTGTATTTTAAAGCTATTGTCATTTTCTTCAGGAACCAACCCTGCCATTCCATCCTAGATATTATTATTAATAACTAATTCAATAAAATTATAGGCTTTTTGTTTCCATAGCTATTCTGAATTTGTAAAAAAAAATAAAGATTAATTGAAATATGAGATTTATAAATGATTTATAAGAATATATATTTACTAAAGATGCCATGCATAAGAATATTATGCATTTTTTTCGCTTTGAAAGAAGGTTACTATTTTTACCCTACAGTAAATGCATACAACATTTTTTGTGAAGCTCTGCTTTTGATGTAAAAAAAACAGTTTTGAAAAGAGACATGAAAATATTTAAACAAACACATAGAATTTCCATATTTATTGATGAAATCATCTACCTCGATAGCTTTCTGTGAGAAATGAGATATTGATGGTTTATCGGTCAATCCCAGGCATGTGCCAGCACTCCAGGCCTTACGCCCTTTACTTAATCTAAAGCAATAAATACTCATTAGGGAACAGATTTAATGAATTGCGGCAAAGAGATAGTTCAACCATGTATCTTTTAAGACTTGTTTAATTTGAAGTTTTAATTTTGAACTATCCTAGTAAATAAGAGCCAAGTTCAGTTTCAGCCAATAGCTTGATGCACCCGATATTTGCGGGGATCTGACACAGATATAGCGCTATTTATACTATTGATGTTTTCTTGGTCTTAAAAAGACTGTAAGCGTAATTTCAAATGACTCGTTCCTCCGGCCATGCAAAGATGGCAATGCCCGATTCAAAACGGTACCAGCTTAAAGGGCATGTTCGCGAAAAATGAAAAGGGGTATAGGCGTATGTCGAAAAGTATTCGATGGTGATCACTACTAATCTTACTTCTATCTGTTGCAAATATAAGAAGAAAATGGTTAAATACAACTCATACCGAAGAACGTAGCTGGGGTAAAGCATCTTTAGAGCAGCAAGTATATTATAGAGATAATCTAGATACAAGACTTAATACTCTAGGCTTACCACAGGAATGCAACCTTTGCTACACTCTCCATTGTCAGAATCATGATGCCAGTATTGATGAGTATGCTACTGGAATATGTGAAGCTATAGATAATGCAGCAAAGTTGTGCCTACCAAAATCAGGAGGACTGGCAAATGAAAAATCAAAAGGGATCTTAGGTTGGAATGAATATGTAAAACCATATCAGGCTGAAAGTAAGTTCTGGTTTGGTGTTTGGCAAGCAGCTGGGAGGCCAAGAGAGGGAGAACTGTTTATTTTGCAGCGAAATGCTCACATGCAGTATAAATATTCTATAAGAAGATTAAAGAGAGCCAAAAGTCAATTACTTCAAGATAAATTTACTCAAAAATTGCTCAATGGAGGAGGTGATATATTCAAAGAAATTAAGAAATTCCGGGGACAAAATACAACAATTTCAAATTGTATAGATGGAGAAGTTGGGGCCCAGAATATTGCAAATCACTTTCAAGAANTGAAGGATTCGATGATTACGTAATAACTGAAATGATAAATATGTTATGTAGTGAGTAAAAATCATTGTTTTCTATTTGTGCATAATTTTGCATATTTTTTTCTCTTTTCTTTTGGAAACCTGTGTTTTCAAAAAAAAAAAAAAAAAAAAATTTATTTAAACAAATTTTAACTACACCATTTATATATGTATTTATATCTTTGTGTGTGAATAAATCTTTATAATAATATAATAATACTAATTCACAAAGTGTAATTTTCAACTTAGATTGTAGATAATTCAATTTAATTTAAAACAAATCATTCAGTTATTAAACAACCTAAAATCATCGAATTTTATTCGACGCATTCATATATAGTAGATACTTCATAATTTTCTTTATTGCTACGTTTTTTCGGTATGAGTCGTTCTTAACAATTTTCTCCTTGTAGCGTATCAGATAGAGGTAAGATCACCATCGAAATATTTTCAACGTTAGCCTATTCACTCTTTCATTTTTCGCAAACACTCCTTTTAAATGCTTTCTTTGATCAAGTTTTAATTTGATATCAATGTTTATGATCTTGAAAAGTGATAGATTTCTCTACAAAAGTGATTTGTGCAATTATTTAAGTTAATTACGGTTAAGTGTCATACACTCTATCCCCGAAGTAAATTTGAATTCGAACAGGACCTGCCCAGTTTGTACCGGCCTGCCAGATAACTGACCCGATCCTATATGGTACAGTACGTCGCCCTAACCAGACTAACATACCAAAGGGGTCAATTTTCTTGGCATAGTGCCGTGCGAGGGCTAACTATGACAACTCCAATGGCGCGTTGAGACTTTTTACAGTACGCCTAATCCTATCCTATTTGACCGACCCCACTGGCTTAGTCCACCGTGCATGAATTGGTCAAATTGACATCTTTGCATGAAAGGTCTTTTGAAATTTCGCTTGCTGTCTCTTTAACAGTATTTTTTAAAAAGTTTTGGGACTGGGAGGAGTGCATTCTAAGAGGTGGATTTGATTCTTAAAGGAAGACACGAAAGATTTTGATTTTAAAGGGACTGTAAAGGAAAAATGAAAGGGGGTATAGGTTGATAGCAATCACTTTAGGTCTTGATCGCGACCTATTGAAGTTATATCTGATGTTACTGTCTCGAGAAATTGATAAACTTGTTTGATTAAGTTTAATGTGACCTACCCTAGGGTGAATATTGTGGGGTTTGGTTCTACTAGTATGTGACCTACCCTTAGAGTGAATATTGTTGGGTTTGGTTCTACTAGTATGTGACCTACCCTAGGGTGAATATTGTTGGGTTTGGTTCTACTAGTATGTGACCTACCCTAAGGTAAATATTGTTGGGTTTGGTTCTACTAGTAAGTGACCTACCCTAGGGTGAATATTGTTGGGTTTGGTTCTACTAAAATACCGCTCCAATCATGCTTTAACTAAACTCCAAACTTTTATTTAAAAAATAATAAATTACACGTCCAAAAAATAAAATCTAGTTTTCTCGTTATCATATCTTTGCAACATGATTGTGTAACTCTTTTCAAACTTTACAGGAGCAAAATTCATAGTTTGAACTCTGAAAGACACGTAAGTCCAAATTGTATTTGCTGTACATATTATTATCTGTTTGTACCAATAAATGTCAAAACGGCTGAGCCGATTTGACTCAAGCAAAACTTTTAAATTAAACCATTGAATAAAAAATTTTGCCTCCAGAAGTCTATAATTAAGTTAAATTTTTAAATTACGTCGTCAATGCAAACTAAAATCTGTTAGATATTCATATTTCCAAGTTATTACTTTAGACCTCAGCTGTCGCAGCAAAAAACTGCCATTTTCTGGTAAAAAGACTTTTAAGATAATATACCATGATATTATGTCTGTCAGCTATCAGGAAACATTTCTTGTCCAAAAAGAAATTTGGAGTTTTTGCCTCCAATTCTGATTTTCTAACACCCTAAATATTTGCAACCTGAAGTTGTAAACCATTGATCTTTCAAACTAAGATATAAATATCCAAGGTTTACACCATCAGGTTGCCCAGATATAGAGATTAGAAAATTTGAGTTTTTGTCAAACACTTAATTTCTTTATACGTTATCTATAGCCGGCCTAATGGCTAGACCAATTGGGCTGAAATTTTTTTTGTGGACACTCTTAGAGATGGCGGGGGGGGGGGGTATATCAAAAATGTTAAAAAAAAATTTTTAAGAAATATTAATTTTCAAATTTTTCAAGAAATATTAATTTTCAATTTTTTTTTCCACGGGCAACGCAGGGCATTCAGCTAGTTATTTATAAATTAAAGTTTCTTGTTCCTCGAAGTAAACAGAATTAGAATCACTCTCGAAATCATCAGCTCCAGCTTCAATAAAGAATCCATTTTTAACTTTACCCTGTTGGAATACTTCTCTAGTGGGAGGGGGGGGGGGGGGGGCAGATGTACCCTGAACAGGGTTACCTATACAGAGACGACTGTATGAAATTTATACTGCCTGTTTCCTAAAATTCATGATTCCTTGTAGACTTATTATAGACTTATTGCTTTTTGTTGTAAAATCATGAAATATGATTATGCCATTTAAAAACCACATTCAAGGCGTAATGATCGTCATTTTTGAAAAGTTTTAAGTCGTCTTTAAGTCTCATCCTTTTTGGTTGACCGTTACAATCATCCAAGACATACAAATTCTTTGGAATTTTGATGGGATATCCTTATAAAAAAGGTAAAATTTTAATAAATTGCATTTTTAACACCTTTCAATGGCACATAATGATATGCTATATTTGACTAAAGAATGATATAGTTTTCTTCAACCTATCGAAAAAAAACTTACTACAGTTTGATCTTTTGAAAACTTTGACTAAAAAAGTCTAAATCCATGGGAGCTTGTGAAACTTTGATAGAATCAAAATTTTTCAAAATGACAGCTAAAAATCGTTAGAAAAAGGGAAAATCAAATTTTTATGATGAATAAAAAAATTGTACAAGTTTCTAAAAAAAACTTTTTCATTAAAAACAATATTTATCGGTGGCAATCCAAAAAAAAGCATTTTGCAGTGAATAAGTTGACATTTTGCAGTGAATAAGTTGATATTTTGCAGTGAATAAGTTGACATTTTGCAGTGAATAAGTTGACATTTTGCAGTGAATAAGTTGATATTTCATTGAATAATAATAAAGAGAACTATTCCCTTAAAGATAACCATATCCAAGAACCGAGGTTGACCAAACTGTCCTCCTAAACTGAACAAAAACATAAATATTTAATATAAATCAGTATTGTATAGTTAATACATCACAACCATAACATACGATGGTAGGCGATTAATCAGTATTATAAAGACGACTGTTTAGTAAAATTTTTATTGTTAAAATGTTTTTTTTCGAATTACGAGTTTACAATTAATTAAAGATAAGCACTTTTTAGGCAACAGATTCTCTTAGTTTCCATGTTTTAATTGACAGGTTCTCTTTGTTTCCATGTTTTATTGACAGGTTCTCTTTGTTTCCATGTTTTATTGACAGGTTCTCTTTGTTTCCATGTTTTATTGACAGGTTCTCTTTGTTTCCATGTTTTATGGACAGGTTCTCTCTGTTTCCATGTTTTTATTGACAGGTTTTCTCTGTTTCCATGTTTTATTGACAGGTTCTCTTTGTTTCCATGTTTTATTGACAGGTTCTCTCTGTTTCCATGTTTTTTTGACAGGTTCTCTCTGTTTCCATGTTTTATTGACAGGTTCTCTTTGTTTCCATGTTTGTGTGTATCCATGCTGTATAACAGCTTGATATAAAGAAAAATTGAAATCGAAAGTCGTCTTCATTATATTGATATAATCGCCTACCATCGTATGAGAATTTTAGATCTGTTTTCAGATCCGTTTTTAGATCCGTTTTCAGATCCGTTTTGAAATCTGTTTTTAAGATTCTTTCTCAGATCCGTTTTGAAATCTGTTTTTAAGATACCTTTTCAGATCTGTTTTCAATTTCGTCTTGAGATCTGTTTTCAATTCTGTTTTGATATTTGCTTTGATATCTGTTTTCAGATCCGTTTTGAGATCTGTTTAGAGATCCGTTTTCAGATCTGTTTTGAGATCTGTTTTCAGATCCGTTTTGAGATCCGTTTTGAGATCTGTTTTGAGATCCGTTTTGAGATCTGTTTAGAGATCCGTTTTCAGATCTGTTTTCAGATCCGTTTTCAGGTCCGTTTTGAGATATGTTTTGAGATCCGTTTTGAGATCTGTTTAGAGATCCGTTTTCAGATCTGTTTTGAGATCTGTTTTCAGATCCGTTTTGAGATCTGTTTTCAGATCTGTTTTCAGATCTGTTTTGAGATCCGTTTTCAGATCTGTTTTGAGATCTGTTTTCAGATCTGTTTTAAGATCCGTTTTGAGATTCGTTTCGAGATCTGTTTTCAGATCTGTTTTGAGATCTGCTTTGAGATCTGTTTTCAACTCCAATTTCAGATCCGTTTTCAGATTCTTGTTCAGATCTGTTTTCAATTCCGTTTTGAGATCCGTTTTGAGATCCGTTTTCAGATCTGTTTTGAGATCTGTTTTCAGATCCGTTTTCAGATCTGTTTTGAGATCCGCTTTAAGATCCGTTTTTAGATTCGTTTTGAGATCCGTTTTCAATTCCGTCTTGAGATCTGTTTTCAGATCCGTTTTCAGATTTGTTGTCAGATCTGTTTTTAGATCTGTTTAGAGATCTGTTTTTAGATCTGTTTTCAATTCCGTTTTCAGATGTACTGTACATGCTTGATATAAAGACCCTGCATGGCATAATGTACTGTACATGCTTGATGTAAAGACCCTGCACGACCCAATATGTACCGTACATGCTTGATGTATAGACCCTGCACGACCTAATGTTCTGTACATGCTTGATGTAAAGACCCTGCACGACCCAATATGTACCGTACATGCTTGATGTATAGACCCTGCACGACCTAATGTACTGTACATGCTTGATATAAAGACCTTGCACGACCTAATGTACTGTACATGCTTGATGGAAAGACCCTGCACGACCCAATGTACTGTACATGCTTGATGTAAAGACCCTGCACGACCCAATGTACTGTACATGCTTGATGTAAAGACCCTGAACGACCTAATGTACTGTATATGCTTGATGTAAAGACCCTGCACGACCCAATATGTACCATACATGCTTGATGTAAAGACCCTGCACGACCCAATGTACTGTACATACCTTGGTTGAGAGGTGGACCAGTTATAAGATGAACTTGAAGGTTCATGTAGAATACGATCCTTTAAATGTTTTAATAAAACAGGATGCGCGGCATCGACACAGTTCAACAAGGGCCTGAATTACAATTAAAATACATAAATATTTATCGAATGTACTGCTTGCACTGGTCAGTTAAAATTCGGCCAGTTACATGAAATGAACTGGAATGTAACGTGACTCTGAATTTAAACCTATATCAACCCGATCAAAAGTATTGAATTCAGATAACCAATTTCTTCGAATTGAAAACATCCTATTTTTTCTACTTTGAAAGTTCTGACAATTTTCTCCTTCCTTTGGTTCTGTTTTAGAAATTCGCAAGTCACTTTCACATACTCACATTTGAAATAATTAATTTTCAAATCTAAAAAATGGATTTCCCTTTGTGAATCGTACATACCCTCTACAAATGGAAATCCCGTTTTTAAATTTCGTCTACAATCCGTTTAGTGGAAGTCTAGAAAAAGGATGGATTAAGCCCCTTAGACTATATTTTTTTTTTGACCTGATAACAATATCCGAGTAGATCCAAGGGTCCAGAGCGTTGTGAATTCTTGTAGAGTCGTCGATAGTGTCAACATAGGTAGAAGTTTCAATATGCTCCCTAATACATAGATGTTTCAATATGCTCCCTAATACATAGAAGTTTCAATATACTCCCTAATACATAGAAGTTTCAATATACTCCCTAAAACATAGAAGTTTCAATATGCTTCCTAATACATAGATGTTTCAATATGCTCCCTAATACATAGAAGTTTCAATATACTCCCTAATACATAGAAGTTTCAATATACTCCCTAATACATAGAAGTTTCAATATGCTCCCTAGTACATAGAAGTTTCAATATACTCCCTAATACATAGAAGTTTCAATATACTCCCTAATACAAAGAAGTTTCAATATGCTTCCTAATACATAGATGTTTCAATATACTCCATAATACATAGAAGTTTCAATATATCCCTAATACATAGAAGTTTTAATATGCCCTATTGACAAAGAAGTTTTAATGTACTCCATAATACATAGAAGTTTCAATATGCTCCGTGAACATGAAAGTTTCAATATGTTCTTTATGCACAGAAGTTTCATAATGTTTTCAAGCATAGACGTTCCAATAGGCTCCCTTAAACATAGCTAGAACTCAGAAGTTTTAATATGATTCAAAAGCCGCATAGGTTAAAAGAATTGAATTAAGAAAAATAGTAGCACTGTGGGTTCAACTATCTACTCTTTTAAGTTCAGCATTAATGTATTCTTGGAATTAGAATCAAAATTTGACAGCGTTCAGCTCCTATTCCTCATAGATTGAAAACAATACAGATAGAACACTAGATGAAGTCTTTAAAAGATTTAGGGGTTTTTCGTTCACAATACACCTGAGGCAGAAGCTCAAAGGAGGACAAGACAGAGAGAGAGCATGTGCGGGTAACTCCTAATTGGGCTTCTGTCTCAGGGTTATTAGGAGAATAACCCCCTAAATCTTAAAAAGACGACATCTAGGGTTCTTTCTGTATTGTTATTTATCTATGATATTCCTTTTAAAAAATTATGATTCAACTTTTAACTTTTATCAACTTGTGTTATCATATTAACAATTTTTTTTTGGAAATTATTTTTAAAAAGAAGTTGGAAAACTTTTTCTATGTGTTTCTGGTTTTGAAAATCTTCTAATACTGATAAACATGTTATGGGAAATATAATTTACAAAACTGGAAGTAATACCGTCAGAACCAGCGAACTCTGGAATAGAAATACGACTTTTAGACTCATGTTCAAAAACATGATAAACAGCAATTTTTTGCAGCAAAAAACAGATCCATATTTACCTTGAAGTGATTTTAAAAGTTACTAGTCAAACTTTTTACATTGTTACAACATCACTGTTATTCATAGTTATCACTGTAATCATTTTCAATATTTTTTATTTACTTTTTAAGTCCATCTTGAGTCTGGATCCAAACTTGGAAAAGTTCTTCTATCTCTTCAACTTCAGGACATCGTCTAAACAGATTTATCACACAGCTAATAGTGCAGTCAGCAATGTATCAATAAAAAAGCTAATAGTGCAGTCAGCAAAGTATCAATAAAAAAGCTAATAGTGCAGTCAGCAATGTATCAATAAAAAAGCTAATAGTGCAGTCGGCAATGTATCAATAAAAAAGCTAATAGTGCAGTCAGCAATGTATCAATAAAAAAGCTAATAGTGCAGTCGGCAATGTATCAATAAAAAAGCTAATAATGCAGTCGGCAATGTATCAATAAAAAAGCTAATAGTGCAGTCAGCAATGTATCAATAAAAAAGCTAATAGTGCAGTCAGCAATGTATCAATAAAAAACGTTTACTGAAATGGTAATATAGTGCAACTAGAGGCTGACATATATTTCAATACAGTATTTTGTACTAAAATACGACATAATAAAGAGTGGTTGGGTAAAATACCACTGCATTATCAGCGGGGGCGGATACAGGATTTAAGTGATGGGGGGGGGAGGCAAGATTTTTTAGGAACAAAAAACTTCATAATTAGGAACAAAAAATCGCGCCGCAGGGGAAATTTTTTTTTACTCAAAAAGAGTCAAAATTAATGACTAAAGACTAAAAATCTAGATTTTTATTTTTTCACACATTATAGTTTATTAAGACAGATATTTTTCCTGTTTTGCACAAGGGTTTCTTTCCCTTAAGCATGCTATTGAGAAGCTATTCTGAAAATAGGAACAAAAAATTCCAAATTCAGGGGGGGCTACACCCCTCCCTGAATCTGTCAGGGAGGGGGCGAATGTCCCCGCCCCTGATTATCAGGTACTGAAATATCACTATTTCAGTACCCGACACTGTATGTTTTAACATATATGCCGATCTCTGTACATAGTCAAAAACTAAATAAAGCCGCGGAATAAATATGTCTCTGTTTGTGTCTTTTACATACAGGGTTATCCACAGAGGATGAAACTTCAAAGACGACTGTGTCTAATTATATAACGACTGTAACACGATAAAATTCATCCTGCAGAAAATTGAAAATAATGTGTTTATGGTCATCATTTAAACATTATCCTCTGTCATTAACCCTGATATACAGGGTGTCCCACGAAACATGACAGTATCAAGACGACTTAAAAGTCGTCTTTGATACTTGATTTTTTCGTCACATTCAGTCGTCAACCTAAACATGTATGATTCTTGATTATTACACAATTCTCCTATCACTGGCATTTCTAAAATGTGGTCTGCCTTTTTTGTTACGTGCAGGGAAACCTTGTATGTTCCCCGCCAAACCGAAATAATTAAAGAGATGTAACAAACTAGTCGCTATTTTTCTAAATCAAAATTTAATTCTGTCTCTTAATTCCCATGTTTATTAAGAAACCTTGTTACTACATTAAGAAAGGTTAATTTTGATTGGAAATAGCATAATTGCTTCACCCAGAATAGCATTCACATTAAATATTAAATGTCTTTAAGAATGGATGTTTTTGGTCAGACAAAAACCGGATTTTATAGCGACTAAATTATTTTAACTTACAAATGCAAGCGACATGTTTTGGGGATACAGGGATACCAGTGTTTTTCAAAATATTTTCAAATTCGTCCAAATAAAATTGATTTTACAGAAAGATTTTTTCTCTCGAAGTTGTTCACATTTTCATATTATAAACAAATCCGGTTAAATTCGAAAATTCTTTTAAAATCGATCTTCTATTAACAGTACAAGTATCCACAGAGCACAGTACACAGCTGAACAAATTGAAAAAAAAGAAATCACTGAAAAGAAAAATATTTGTTACTTTGATATTTTTCTCGTAGAACTAATTAGCTCAGCTTCTTCTTTTAATCTGGAGTAATCAACATCATTATCCTGGAACCATTGCAGCAAATAAAAACTAAAACAATAAAAAATAATGGTAGATGTATTAAAATATTGTTTTTTGATTTTTTATTGCTTTTCCTTTAAAACATCTTCTAAGCTGTTTAAAATCAGTTTACTCGAGATATCTACAGATCCTGGAAACAAGAAGTCAGCGAATGTCGTCTTTGTTCAGCTTATAGAATTCACAAGAGTATTTGTTTAATAAATGAATATGGACATAACTAAAAGTAAAAAATAGCCAGCTTACCTATCAATATTGTAATTGTTAGACATTCAAGAAATCTAAGCATGTTTAGAGTTTATCAGTGACGGCTTTCATTTATCAAAAAATATTTTTCACTGCATCTAGAAAACAAAGATCTATAGGTACAGTGAAACCCTTAATAACGAATACATCGGAAGAATTTATCAAATGTCGTCTTGACAATTTTTAAATGAGTTTTATACTATTTTACGTAAATTTCAGTATTTGCAAAAATAAATGAACAGCCATGAATATGCAGGAACAGTTTTAAAGAGTTCCATATAATCATTTAATTAAAAAACTAAATATCTGCAACATTCCATTATCAGAAAGTGAAGAATACGACATTTGATGAATTCTTTCGATGTATTCGTTATTAAGGGTTTCACTGTATAATAAATGAAAATATAACTGTTAACATGTATTTTATACACACAGGTTGATTTCTCTCCACTGCACTGAAACTGACTACTATAGCAAAATTTCCCGTAATGGTAGAATGATTTGCACTTTTCTGAGATTCAGACATTAAATTAAATGTCGTCATCTGTTTAAATAAATAATGATGAAAGTAGTTTGCTATAGATAGATCTACAAAGAATGAGACAAAAAAATCTGCATTTATAACAATGTGAAGGTCGAAGTTTTTTTTTCATTTTTTTCAAGAAGTTGAGTTTTTTAAGAAATCGAGCCAGCTTAGGAAGAAACAAAAATTTCATAAAATAATCTTTATATATGAAAACAATACATTCGTAAATATATATGTTGCGTAGAAACGGCTGGACCGAATGGACTTAATTTTTTGTGAACACTCATGGGTAGCCGGGGAGTGTAATAGGCTGAAAAAAATCGAATTTTTTTTTTCAAAATAATTTTTTTTTCAAAATTAAAAAAAAAAAAAATTTCCACGGGCAACGCCGGGCTCTACAGCTAGTCTTTAATATAATTATAACTCTCTGTTTAAAAAGAATCTACATTAATATACAGAGATAACCAGAAAAACTCTGAACTAAAAAGACGACTTTTAAACTCAAGTCCGTATTTAAACTAGTTCAATGAACATTAGACATAGCAGTGTAAATTTCACTTTTCTTGTGCTTTGCTAAGTTACCCTAAATATTAAATACATCAAAAGAATTTATCAAATGTCGTATTCTTCACTATCTGATAATAGAATGTTGCAGATATTTAGTTTTTAATTAAATGATTATATGGAGCTCTTTAAAACTGTTCCCACATATTCATGGTTATTTATTTATTTTTGGAAATACGTAAAATAGTATAAAAATTGTCAAGGTGACATTTGATAAATTCTTTCGATGTATGGCTCATTTAGGGTTTAACTGTAATAAAAATATTTGCTTCGTAACAACATCAAAACGCTTAAGTATTGCTAATACTGTTGTCTTTCTATTCCATTGTTTTTATAAAGTTATTTTTTCATTTCAGGAAAGATAAAAAACCACCAAAAAATAGAAAATCGTTCAGTTTTTTTTTCAAAAATATACATTTGGAAAATATTTTGAAATACTGGATAATTCTACCAAATTCAAGAAACCAAGTTCAGGAGGAATTACCGTATATTCTCTGTATCTCTATTTGTCGGGGTGTCTGATCATTATTCATGAATCCTCAGAGCAATTTGTCTAACATTTTTAATGGGGAACTCGGTAGCACAACAGGAATGTTCTTCATGTATGTAGGTTAAAAATTCGAAGTGGCTTGACTTTAAAACGGAAAACTTTAACTTCGTGCATTCTATCTGACTTTGTTTTTTGGCTTTAAGAGAAGTTTGCGTTCTGACGTCGTTATATGTAGGATAGTTTTGAAGATCTGACATCCAACTAAACATGGACAAAAATAAATTTCTAGAATTTCCAAGGGTATTTTTTGATGAATGCCATAAATGAATATTACTAAAATAAAAAAATACCTAGTTTTTACCTATCAATATTTTAAATATTGGATTTATAACAAATCTAAGCGTGGTTAAAGTTTTTCAGTGACGACTTTCATTGGCCACATGACCAATTATATCCATGTGTTACATATGAGATCCATGTACAAAATCAATAGGAGGGGGGAACTGTTTTATCAATTAAAATGATTTGGATGATGAAACTATTACTGTTTTATCATTTAAAATGATTTGGATGATGGAACTACAACTGTTTTATCAACTAAAATGATTTGGATGATGAAACTAGTACTGTTTTATCAATTAAAATAATTTGGATGATGAAACTACTACTGTTTTATAAATTAAAATGATTTGGATGATGAAACTACAACTGTTTTATCAATTAAAATGATTTGGATGATGAAACTACTACTGTTTTAGCAATTAAAATGTGTCACAATTACAGATTAAATATAAATGAATATAAAGGCAAATAAAAACCTTATAAAGCTTGTAGCAGACAAATCTTATTTAACGCTTTCCAAAAAGCTGTAAAGAATATCATCAACGGCATTATGAGTACTTTCTGTATTCCTTTCTCCTCCTGTTACCATCTGTAGGAAATACATATTTTGTATTACAAATTCTACATTTCAAACCGTCGCTTTTGTAAAAGCTGTTTTGAAATACATCCCTATATAGTTCTTTTTTATTTCTCGTGCTTTTTTCTGAATGAACAGTTACTTCCGTTTGTTAACAATTTCATTATTACCAGATTTTGTCATTCCTTTATAAAAAGTTGTTTTTTGGTATGCAACAATTTTCATTTAATCCTGCCGGAATATTTTCATTGAAAGATACTTTGAAAATCTTCAAAGTCAAAAAAAAATCCGCAAAATCAGCAAGCCCTCGGGTTTATCATTGAATCCCCTCTTTAAAAAGGAATGTCATTTACTCTCAGACAAATTAGAATCAATGGAAATTTAAACCGCCAAGGGATTCAATGATAAACCTTAAGGCGTTAAATGATACATTCATTAACAGAATTTTTTGTTAATTTTTAAACTTGCCATTCATTAACGGAAGGTTGCCAAACGTAAGTAATGATAGGTAGTTTAACTGACCATGATAAAAAAGGGGGGAGGGTCGAGGGAGATACTGTTCTCTAATTAAAAAACACTTTTTGTAATGAAATTTACATTAAAATTTTATTCCTGCACCTTTGAATACATATTATAATAACTTAGGTTGAAAATGTTCAATTAGTTCTGTAATCCAACCCACAGGAACTTTACCTCCGTTTAACTCCTGGAACATGCATAAATCACAGCTTTTTTGACACACAGAGGTGATAATTGATCTGGAGCAAGCTGTAGAGCCTGGGAACATGCTGGTGATACGGGCCATGAAAGTGGTACAATCTGGGAGAGAATCTATACATGTGCTGTTAATATCTTCAAATTCATTAATGATATTTTCAACATATTCTCCACCTTCTACCTCTAAATTCTCCCCGGTGCTTCCTAAATCAAATTAAATAATAAGTCACAGAGCAAGTCAGGTAATATTACTATATCATAATGATCTTCACCTTGAGGACTAGATAAGGTTGAAGAAATTGATTCGGTTGATGCCAATGAAAAAATGGAGGAGGATTTAGATGAGGAGGATGATAGTGATGAGTTGGTGGAAGAGGAAGATTTAGTAGAAAATGTTGAAGTTGAAGATGATGAAGAGAAGAAAGATGTTGTTGAAGAAGATGTTGTTGAAGATAGTGAAGTAGAGGAAGTTATTGTAGGAGAAGATGTAGTCGAAGATGATGAAGTTGAAGTTAATGTAGCTGTAGATAATGAAGTTAGCAAAGATGAAGATGAAGATAATGTTAAAGAGGAAGATGAAGTTGAAGATGATAAAGTAGAGGAGGCTGTAGTAGTAGATGTAGTTGAAGATAATGAAGCAGAAGAAGATATTGTAGAAGAAGGTGTTGTAAATGAGGATGTTGTGTAAGAGGTTGTGGATGAACATGGAGTAGTTGTAGATGAAGAAGAGGAAGTGGTAGAAGACGAAACAACAAGGGATGAAGTAGTAATATCAGATGTTGCAGAAGTAGAGAGTTCTGAGGAGGGTAAAGATACGCTAAAACTATAATCCACTGAAGAAGAGGTTGAGTTGTTGTCATCAGCCTGGGACTGATAAATTATCACAAATTATTTCTATAGGGTGATATGTTTGCAAGAACACTGTAAAAAAACTAAATAGTCAAAAGATTACTGTCATAATTAAAAAGAAATTTTGAAATTTTTCAACCTGCTTGACTACAGAAAATTAGCGTCAGGTTTGATTTATATGATCTGTTTTTTAACATTCATTTGAAATCTTAGGTATTCAATCTATTCAAGGCTGCTAAACTTTTTAATTATTAAAGTTTGGTTTAACACTCCCCCTGAGATATTGCTGTTGTAGATGATATTTCATTTGTAGTGCTGTTTTCAGGATCCATGGAAACATCATTTTTTACCGTAGAGCTTAAGATGCTGAATGTTGTTGATGTAGTTGACTCCTCTGAAAAAAAAAAAATCTTTATGGTAACAGAATAATATTTTCCTAGAAAAATTTGGAATAGTTTTTATGGATAAAATTATTATACCTTCATTATTTTTGAGTAGCGTTGATATAAAATGACTCCACCAATCGTTTTTGCACATTGTACAGTACTTATTGCAAACCATGTAGAAATGGATATCTTTACATTCCTCCGACCCAGGACTTAAAGTTTGAAAATTCTTTGCTTCTAATTCACAGTTTTCTGCTACATTGTCAAAACATTCTGGAGTCTCACTTGTTTCCATTTGTTGACAAGGAGGGCAAAGGCCAGGGCAGTGCTCCTTAAAGTTTGCTCCAGAACAGCTTTCAACTCCTTTTACAGTTGTCAAATACTGGTCAAGAATCTTGCACCCAGTGTTGTGAATATTCTCACAAGGTTCTGTTGTATGATTTGAAGCAGACGCAAACCTCAATTCAATCATCATAATCATGAACATTATATTGGGATTCATGCTGGTATTAGTGTTTAACTTCTCACTTACATTAAGTTCAGATTCAAAAGTATGGAATGAAGAGCAGAATCTCTGAGAATGATTTAATCTGAATAAACCTCCTCGTTTTAAGAAGTGAAAGGGCACTAAAGCAAAAATTGGAGATCTTAACCTTTTAAACTTTTGAAATCTGACCCTGTCATGTTATTATTTCTCCGTGTAAACTTTATATCTATCATCTGTAAAATTTGAAAGGCGCTTTAATATGACTTCAAATATCAATATCAGATGAATATAACATATATTCATTCTTTTGATAATGCTCTTCATGCTAAATATTATGACACTATTATTATGATTTTATTTCTTAAATATTGAGCATAAGTGCTTAAAGCCAAGTGCAAAAATGAAATAAGGAAGATATTGCAAAACTCTTTCCTACTGCAGAATATTATTAGGAATTTTTGTTGTTGTGGTTATTATTATTTAAAGATGCTAAAAGTCAAAGTAAAACCATGGGTGTTGTTGTATAAAGTATTATTCATTATACATTTACAGAAATTTTTTGACTTTAAATTTTTTTAATTAGCTTTAACAAGGATGGATAGGCTTTTCAGCTTCTCCCATGATTGACAAAACTGCATAATATCATATGAAATTCTATTATTTTTCATTGTCCTTTTCCAACTCAAACTGAGATTAAGATGTAATTCTTGATTTGCACCCATTGAAAATCTCATCTCAAATTACTCTTTATACTAAGCTTTATTTTCATAAATCTCCACCCCTCCCCCCATCCACCCTTCCTTCTCCAAATAGCAGGAATTCATTTGGCTATGTTCTTCTCCTGTTTTGTTAAGTTATTCTCCTCTTTTTCAGGTTTACTGAGAATTCTTTTCAGAATGTTTCCTTTCTTCTTTCCCCCCTCTCTCCTATCTTTTCATACCTATCCATGTGTATTTCTCTCTCTTTTTTGTATTAACTGAATCTCACTTAGTCTTGCATCATGTACTGCATTCTAACCTGACTAAACGTTGCAATTTTTATTCGCTAAACTTTAGAATATTAGTTCTCATTCTCATTTTTTAAAGTTAAATTCACTATCTTGTTTTTTTTAAAGAACTGCTTCCTAATGAAACATATATTCTGTATCATAGACAATTATTAAGTAACATTTTTAATTAAAACCATATATGTTGTTTCGTATTTTAACCTCAACATTTCTTCTTTTGATGAAGTCAACCATAGAAAGTAAATGTAAATTGAATTCAGGTATTTGCTCATGTATTTGACACACAGAGTTTAGCATACCTTTTCTTTATTTTCCAATTTATTTCCAACTCCATTTCAAAAAGCCCTTTTAACCCAAGATGTTAATTTAGATATCCTTTCTACGGGTTATCTGAATCCCTAAATATCTGAATCCTTCCAGTGAAACTATAAAACCCTATGATGGATTTCTGAATCGGAATTACAAACCCCCTGCAAGGATATTTGAATCCCTCCAGTGGATTTATAAACCCCCTGGAAAGATTTCTGAACCCCTCCAGTGAAATTATAAGCCACCTGGAAAGATTTCTGAATCCCTCCAGTGGAATTATAAACCAACAGGGAGGATATCTAAATCCCTCCAGTGGATTTTTAAACCCCTTGGACAGATTTCTGAATCCCTCCAGTAGATTTATAAGCCCCCTGGAAGGATATCTGAATCCCTCCGGTGGAATTATAAACCCATAGGAAGGATATCTGAATCCTTCCAGTGAAATTATAAACCCCCAAGAAAGATATCTGAATCCGTCCAGTGGAATTAGCAACCCCCCGGATAGATTTCTGAATCCCTCCAGTGAAATTATAAGCCCCAGGAAAGATATCTGAATCCCTCCAGTGGAATTATAAACCCCAAACCCCTAGGAAGGATAACTGAATTCCTCCAGTAGAATTATAAACCCCCAGGAAGGATATCTGAATCCCTCCAGTGGAATTATAAACCCCTAGGAAGGATAACTGAATCCCTCCAGTGGAATTTTTGTCGGGAAAATTGGATTAAAGAAAAAATAGGAGGATCTAGATGATGTAAATATGTGTGTGTTGTAGATATGTTTGATTGTAGGTGGGGGTGGTAGCTGTTGTATCTTTTCGAGCTATAAACCTTCATCTAACATTTTCTCTCTCCTCTCTGTTATCTGGCTGTTTAATGAACAGTATGATTCCGATGATTTATTAGTGTTTATAATCCACGATCACATAGGTAAAAGCAAACTCGCTTAAAGAAAGCCAATTACGAGAGGCTAAGTGGGATTTCTTAGCAACACTACATTGTCTATGTTCTTACTATACTGGTTTGGCTTGTACAACTAAAATCCTGGTTTGATTTCACTTCTCCTTTTTAATCCACAGTTAGGATTAAGTTACAATCCAATGAACAGGAAACACAGCAAAAGTGCAGTTTATTTATTTTTCTGTTTCACTGGAGAAGTTTATTATCAAACTACTGGTAAACATTCTGCTTTAACACAACATCAAAGTCACTTTACTTTCTTAAATGTCGTTGTATTCAAAAGTCTAATTGGTCTCACTGTATCAAGTCTTTATGTTTGATATTTATTGAATTGTCAGCATAATTTTGATGGCATCTAAATTCAGGATTGAAGATATGTTTAACACACCAGCTGTAATGCAGGAGTTAACAAAGTAGAATTTTAAAAATTGTCCAACACTTGGCCTAAAACCACCTTATGCACGATGAAACAATTACTCTCATGGAAATACCTTTTTTATAGTATTAAGATCAACCCAAAATAAATGAGTATTAATAAAATGGCAATAGTTTCACATTTCTTTTACTAGAAATTATCAATATTTGTCTGGTCTTTTAGTCATACTACAGTGGTATGCCTATTTACCAATATAACGCAAACAACATTCTATGGAATTTTTGCTTTCATTATCAATAAAGCTTTATTTAATGAAAAAATATTTTCCCTTCTACTTAATGCTATTTTCTGTTTACATGATAGCTGGATAAGAGTAAAAATGAAGTACAAAACTATTTGATTTCAAATGAAATACACAAAGAATGGATCTCAAATGAACAATCTGTTTGCCGTCCTATTTGCATAATTCATTGGTCCTGAATCTGCAGTGAGTAAGGTCAAATATGGGCCAAACATTTAGACATTCCAATTTTTCTGGCAAAGGGAACACCAAAAAAACAAATAAATATGTCATTAGTAAAGGGTCAAATTTTATTCCTGCACCCTTAATTAGACCACCAAGAGTTCCTGATGAGGTCTATGACCATTGGCCAAATTTAGTAACATGGGTGTAGACTCTCTGTATTTGAAAACATTTAACATTTTTTATCCCACAGACTGGCCCTTGAATTGAAATTGGAAGAATTATAGAAAATTGGGACAATTCAAATCAGATTTCTTTTATTGAATTTTACAGTAAGCTTTTATTTCATCACATTTGATTACATATCTTTAAGGCTTTGGTTGAAAATGATCAATTAGTTCTGTGATCCACCCAACAGGAATTTTACCACCATTTAACTCCTGGAACATACATAAATTACAACTTTTTTGACACACTGAGGTGATTATAGATCTGGAGCAAGCTGAAGGGCCTGGGAACATGATGGTGATGCGGGCCATGAAAGTGGGACAATCTGGGAGAGCATCTATACATGTACTGTTATTTTCTTCAATTTCATTAATGATATTTTCTATAGTGCTTTCTAGATTATCCACTGTGCTTCCTAAAGAAAATAAAAAGATAAATCAAATTGCAAGTATGGATAAATAAATGTATCCTAATGATTTTCACCTTGAGGACTAGATGAGGTTGAAGTAATTGATTCGGTTGATGTGGATGAAAGAATGGAGGAGGATGTAGAGGACGAGGATGATAGTGATGAGTTAGTGGAAGAGGAAGATATTGTAGTAGATGATAATATTGTAGATAATGTAGTTGACAAAGATGAAGTTGAAGATGATGTAGTGGAGGAGGATGATAGAGATGAGTCAGTGGAAGAGGAAGATATAGAAGAAGATGATAATGTTGTTGACAAAGATGAAGTTGAAGATGATGTAGAGAAGGAGGAAGTTAGAGATGGGTCAGTGGAAGAAGAAGATAAAGTAGAAGATGATTCAGACATAGATAATGTTGTTATCATAGATGAAGTTGGAGATATTGTAGAGAAGAAAGATGTTGTAAAAGATAATGTTGTAGATGCAGTAGTGGAAGATAATGAAGTTGCTGATGATGTAGTTGATAAAGTTGGAGAAGGAGAAAATGTAGTTGAAGATAAAGAAGCAGAAGAAGATGTTGTGGAAGAAGTTGCAGATGAACAGTGAGAAGTTGTAGATACAGAGGAGGATGTGGTAGAAGATGAAGAATTGCTGTCATCAGCCTGGAAGTAATAAACTATCTCAAATTCTTTCTCCAGAATAATAAGTCTTAAATAACATTGTAAAAAATAAAATAGCCAAAAGATAACTGACATAATTAAAACAGTTGAGGTCTTGACTAATTATTAGCAAATTTGTAATTTAATAGATCTTATGTGAAAGATTTAGATATTTTCATTTGTTTTATCTACATTAAAGTTTTTTAGACAAGCAATCAACCTGCAAGTTTATTTGATCTTTTTTTTAACATTCATAAATTTATTAAATTTATTCAAGGTTGCTAAATTTATCAATTATCAAAGTAAGCTTGGTTTAACTATTCCCCTGAGATGTTGCTGTTGTAGATGATATTTCAGTTGATGTAGTGTTCTCAGAATCAATGGAAACATCATTTTTGACCGTAGAGCTTAGGATGCTGAACGTTGTTGATGTAGTTGAATCCTCTGAAAAAAAAAAAAAATTTTTATGGTAACAGAATAATATTTTCCTAGAAAAATTTGGAATAGTTTTATGGATAAAATTACTGTACCTTCATTATTTTTGAGTAGCGTTGATATAAAATGACTCCACCAATCGTTTTTGCACTTTGTACAGTACTTATTGCAGACCAAGTAAAAATGAACATCTTTACATTCCTCAGATCCAGGATTCAGAGTTTGAAAATTCATAGCTTCCAATTCACAGTTTTCCGCTACATTGTCAAAACATTCTGGAGTCTCACTTGTTTCCATTTGTTGACAAGGAGGGCAAAGGCCAGGGCAGTGCTCCTTAAAATTTGCTCGAGAGCAGCTTTCAACTCCTTTAATGGTTGACAAATACTGGTCAAGAATCTTGCATCCAGTGTTGTGAATATTCTCACAAGGTTCTGTTGTATTATTGGAAGCAGCCGCAAACTTAAATACAATCACAATAATCAGGTACAACATTTGGGATTTCATTGGTTTTAAAGAATTTTAACTGCTCACTTATGTAAAATTTAGATTCACAAGTGTGGAGTTATCTTTGCAAATGATTTTATTTGAATGAACCTCCTTGTTTTGACAAGTGAAAGAACACTAAAACAAAAACTGGACGATCTTAACCTTTTAAACTTTTGAAATCTGACCCTGTCATGTTATTATTTCTCCGTATAAATTAATATCTATCATCTGTAAAATTGGGAGGACAATAAAAGCATGAGATGTAACATTAGTTTAATTGTTTGTCCTTGCTTTTCTGACAAAGTGTCCTTCTTAAGTCAACACTAATTGCAATGACTTCTCTAGATAAATTGATAGTCAAATGTTTATTTCTATGAGATATAATACATAGATTTTGCAATCACTAAGCAGATCCCCGGAGGGAATGAATTTAGACAATTTGGGAAATAAATTAAAAGTTGTCATCAAAAGTCAAATTATATCTTGTTTATTGATACTTTTAACCCAAAATTGTATTCCGTTAAATATGATTTATTTTTCCCAATTCAGCAAGAAAAAACTAAAATTTTTCCTGATCTGATTAAACATATCTAACTTTTGGAGAGAGGGGGGGAAATAGATTTTCAAGAAAATACACCCCCATGTCAGTTTAATCCTAGTAAATGTTCTAAATGCAGTCTTGATACAATGTTGGAAAAAAACCTTTGCTTGTAATATTGAACTTTACTGAAGGTATTTTGGAATAATGAACATTTTGCTTGCACAGAACAGAACAGGTTTGTCTGACAAATCTTTTATTCTTCAAAACCCTTTGAGGTGGCAAGAGCAAGTTTGCCAAGATATTATTTTTGCAGATTTATATTTGTTATAATAATTTTTTTTTTAATGTATGTGTGAAAAATAAATCTTTACAAGATGAAAGCATACAAAAAATTAATTATTAACCCACGTTTGGAGATCAAACAGTTTTAAGGATAAACTATTCAACCTTTAAAGATAGTTGCTTTGAACTTACATTGTATTTAGAACCCTTCCTTAGCTTTAGTCTTACAGCTATGACACAACTACAAGGTTTTCTGAAAAACAAATTTATTCGAGTTGAGATTTAAAGATTGTCTTTGATATATGAAATGATTTGCAGCATTTACTTGTCAACCTAATTTTAACATTGGGCTTTTTTTTATTGGGCTTTTCCTACTCACTCCAGACCATCCCTGGACACAGCCTCCCTGTCCAGGTTTTATCTGATCAGTTTGAAGAAGCGTATGCTTTGCCATTCCGTAACTCTTCCACTTGGTCTTGAGCTGGCATATCTTTTCTCAGATCTTCTAGACATTCCTCAGCACCAGAATAAGTGAGTAGAGCTGGTTCTGCTGGAGTTGGTATCACTCCCGTTGGGGAGATGAGGCTAACCAGTGTAACCCTGTTCCCGTTCAGGAAACTAGTTAATGACAGGGATTTTCTAAACTTGAATTTTTGAAGAATTCTCTTTACTCACACAAGTTCCTGGTTGACACAAGAGCCACTGTCTCAGTTTTTCCACACTGTCCTTGCCACCCTCCTGCTCCAGTGTTGGTGTTCAACTCAAAAATTTGGTTCCCACCAGATAGCTCTCCAGTTTGGTTTTTGCGGGTTTGAGAGGATTTCCATGCATATCCATGGCTCTGATTTTCTCCACCATCACCACCTGCTGGTCAAGGTAGCTGGTTCCCACCTTTTGGATGCTTCCACCCTGGAACCAATCCCCATCGTTTCCTCTGTTCCCACCAGTAAACCTTCAGAACTTTATCTTGCACTGTTGTCAACCGCGAAAGAGATTTGTTAGCTGAATATCTAGATGTTATCTCTTCTAAAGGTAATAGTGCTACTGTTCCTAAGCATCCAATTTATCATTCTGTTCCAAAAGCTTTTGGGCCACCAGTTTTTGCTAAAGCTGAGAAGCTAGATTTTGCCGGGAAGGAGTTTGCTGCTAAGGAAGCTGCAGGTGTGCTACGACGCTCTAACTCTTACTGGGCCAGCCCTCTACACATGGTTCAGAAACCTGATGGCTTCTGGTCCCTTGCATTGATTATCACCATTTAAACATTTAGACAGTGCCTGATAGATACCCTCACCTCAACATTGCTGATTTTATCTCCAGCCTCAACAGTTATACGGTTTTTACCAAGTTGGATTTAACCGAGGGCTACTATCAAGTGCCTATGTCCAAAGAAGAAAATAACAAAGACGGTGATGATAACTTCTTTTGGCCTCTTTGAGTGGCTAAGGATTCTGTTTGGTTTGATGAATGCCAGTTGCACTTTTTAGATGATGGGCCAGATTCTTGGCAATATTTCTCGGCAGCCCTGACACAGAATCTCACCTCTGCCATGTCCGCCAAGTTCTTGACCGTCTCCGCCTCAATGGTCTCAGCATCAACCCTGCCTAGTATGAGTTTGTCAAGCCTGAGGTTAAATATCTTGGTATGAGGGTTTCTGGCAAGGTATGAAGGTTGTCTCCTTTCCAGTCTCTCCAGCTCCTCTGGACTTCTCTGTAATGTCTCTACTGGGTTCCTACACCCCTTAGTTCTAGAGTCTATTTGAAGAGCAGTGTTCAACTCCGTCCAACAAGTTTCTCATCCAGACATACATGCCTCCAGAGACTGGTTTCCAGGAGTTTTGACATGGAATTACTTGCTAAGGATGTAAACCTCTGGGCTCAGTCTTATCTCAGCTACCAACAGAGTAATGTGAAATCTCCAGTTCAGCATATCCTGGTTCCAGGAAGCAGATTCTCTCACTTTTATTTGGACTTCTTCCTCAGTCCAATGGTTTCTCCTACCTTTTCACAACCATTGATTGTTCAACCAAATGACCAGAGGCAATTCCTCTTCACTCTACTAAAGCAGAGGATTGTGCTAAAGTTCTCCTATGCTCTAGGATTCCTCTGTTTGGAGTGCTATCAGTGATCACCTCTGATCGTGGCAAGCAGTTTACAAGTTCCTTGGAATAATTTACTCTCCTACAACTTCTTTCCATCCTCAGCCTAAGGGGATTGTGGAGAGGTTCCACTGTTAGCTCAAGGTTTCCCTCTATGCTCTACTAGCTGGGTCTGATTGGTTTCATAATCTACCTCTGGTTCTACTCGGTCTCCAGAGTGATCCCAGAGAAGATTTGTCAATTTCTCCCCTCTAAAGCTGTGTTTGGTTCTCCGTTAGTTCTACCCTGTGAGTTCCTGGACAGCCCTGAGCTCCCTTCTCCAGAGTATCTCCAACAATTCCAACAAATCATTAAGTATTCTCCTGTTGCTCTGCCCTGTTACAACTCAGCTGGTGGCAACTTTTGACATAAAAAATTTATAATTTGGGAGTAAAAAGAATTCTTTTAGCCAATGTCACCCCTGGGTTCCCTCAAAAAGTATCAGCCAATTTTATCCAGCCGTTTGGCCAGCTGTAGTAAATATATATGTAAATTATCATTATTATTTTTTTGGCGAACACATGAAGCATAACAGTTGGTGAATAGTTTTGAATGTCTTTTTCCACGTATTCTGATTTCAAAGACTTTTTGCAGTTTAATTCTTTAAAAAAAATGTTTAACTCCTATATATTTTACTGTGAAATCAATTTAACTATAATATAACTGTCATATGAAAAATGTTATTAGGCTCCTTATTATCAAATTATGGAAGAAGACATTCTAAACTATTCACCAACTGTCATGTTCCGTGGGACACCCTGTATTAGATTAGAGATTAGATATGACATATAATTGAATTTATGCATAAAAACATTCATACCACTAACAACTTCAATTCTTCTCTGATTTCGTTTATATATTATATATACATATATATATATATATAATATATGAGCGATTAGCTTTATTTTATATGACTAAAGATTTAAAGAATGTTGTAGTGATTAAGGTTTAAAGGATGTTTTAGTAATCATGAATATTTATAGTAACTAATAGTTTAAATAATGTAGTATTAACCCTATTCCTTTTATAAAGGGTGTTATGAATTAGCATTGTAATACCTAATTTCAAAAGCCATGTCTGCTAGAGTTTATTTTATGAAAAGGGTAAATGACTGTAAATATGTGTCTATAATGTCTTTGCAAGATAAACAGTGAAGTCTGACGAGTCTGACAAGTTTACTCTGTTTGTATACTGCAATTTTCTTGTTTTACTAAGTACAACCGTATGCAGTCAAAACATAAACAAACAAAATATGAACATGAGCAGACAAAACTCTTACAGATTACAGCTTTCTCAGTAGGTATCACTACTAAATTAAAGAAATATCTAAAAAGACGATATCAAATTCGTCACTGAATTCCCATGTTTATTGGGACACCCTGTACTAACTGCCTGAGTCCTCAGGCACACTGCCTGAATGACCACTTTTTCCTTAAATATTTGTTTTGACTTTTGACCCACTTTCAGTTGTCATATTTTGATAATTTTTAGCTTTTTGGAAAGCCGTTGACATAAGGAAGCAGATTGCACAAGTTTTACGAAAAAAATTGTTAAACTATTTGCATACAACCCGTTAAAATAAAATTTGCACATTTTTAGTTTTTCTTAATTACACATCAGGTTATTTAAAATTTTGCACCAATTTTTGCATATATCTTGATTTTTCAAAAGAAATTTAATTTTTGCAAACTTGCATTTTTTTGCAGATTCTAAAAAAAGAGCATAAGAGCTTTCCAATGATGTATCATTTGTCATATTTGAACATCAAACATGAGATTTAGAGGGGGGGAGGCAAATTGATCCCCCCCCCCCCAGCGTATCCCGATTTTCAAGTACCCCAGCAGGTATAGGAATGATGCAAGATATCTTTACTAACTAAAAGTTTGATGAATGTTGTAGTAATTAAGGATATTTTTACTAGCTAAAGGACTAAAGAATGTTGTAGTAAAATTAAAAGCTGATTATTATTGTAATTTTTATATTTATAAGTATAATAATTCAAGGTTGAAAAAGAGTGCTAAGTACTTTGATTATGTCGCTGTTTGATTGAAATCAAAAGCAGAGCAATTAAAAAAACCATAATCTTTGTAAATTGATAAATTCCATTCATTACAAGGGTAATAATAATGAAGAAAAATACTATTAAAACATCACATTCAGATAAATCGTCTTATCATCATTCATTGTTTGAACTTGAAAGATTTTTATGGAATTAAAGGATCCATCCACATAATTTTATGGAATTAAAGGATCCGTCCACATAATTTTATGCAATTAAAGGATTCATCCACATAATTTTATGCAATTAAAGGATCCATCCACATAATTTTATGCAATTAAAGGATCCATCCACATAATTTTATGCAATTAAAGGATCCCCCAAATAATTTAGAAAGAGACCCAAAAGTTAATTTTAAAGCAGCATCCCCGATTTTAAAAGATACTCTACAACAAGAAAGTATACAAGGGGGCAATGGTACCAGTGCCCCCACCTAGACCTAGAACTCAGAGCTATCACACTTTTCAAATCTGAAACTGAAGAGTAAAGAGTATTAAAAATTTTATTTGCTGTTTTTTCTGCTTTGTTTTGCTTGAAGGAGAGATAAAATAGTACTTGTAAGGTATAATTGGACTGTATGTGGTACTTTTAAAGTATCCAAAAAGCCAAATGTTTTGAATTTACGGTTGAAACTCACCCCCTCCCTAAAATCTGTTAGAAGGGGGGGGGGGGCAAAAAAATATTTTAGTGCATATTTGCCCCCCCCCCCAGATACGCCCTTGCTCCACAAACCTTTGCCTAATCAAGAATGCTGGAGATATCTCTGGTTTGCCTATACAAGAATGCTGGAGATATCTCTGATTTGCCTATGCAAGAATGCTGGAGATATCTTTGGTTTGAGTTTAAATATTTTTAATTCAGGGGAAGAAAGTTTCAAACCGTGATTTGGTCCAGACCTGAAACTGAGTGTCATGTTTGGGCCAAATGGGCAAAGTTATCTTTTTTAATTGTTTGTATTAGTCAATTTAAGTCGGAATAGTTTAGTCTACACTTTATAACAAAAATTTAAGCACTACACCTATACAAATAAATGGATTTAAATTTTTGATGATAATTGATTTAATTTTAGATCATGTGATACAATTTTTTTCCCTTGTGACGTCGTGTATGATTGTTCCATTTCTCTGTTGTCACCTATTGAATCAAATAATCTATTTGGTATAAAGTATAATTCAAAGTGACCCTATGTGCGAAGATTATGTTGCCCGATTTGGTACCCTTAAAACCTCTGTCTGTTCAGCATTTATTAGATATCCATGTTTGTAATTTTGAAATTTTTAATTGTGACTTGCGTATTCCTTCTTCAAAAATCAACACATTAAAACCTTGGAAAACGACAATATATTTCATATTATTGATAAGATTTCGGTTGCAAGAGTACCGCTGTGAATTGTTGCATGGAAGGTGGGTGGGCAGAACTTAAACTTTGAAGGTCCCTTTTTCTTTGTATGTAACATAAGAATAATTCTTAATTCTAGGATTACAATCTAAAATGATTTAACGTCTTCTACAGCGAGGGACGCCATGAGCCTCCTCTGTGCAGACACGAGCCTGCCAGATTTGCTAGGCAGACTGAGCCTCCGCTATGCAGTGAACGAGCCTCCACCAAACAGGAGAGCTTTTTAAATCTTGGTTTTTATGTGTAATGAAAAATGTTAACAATTCTTTTTGACATAGTGGCATGAGAGGTTTCTCAAAGATGAGAAGTATTTATCAATTATCATAAATAGTTTCTAATTATGACTAATGAGAAGAAAAGTATATAAGAGAAAATTTTTTTTATTTCATTTCATCTTTTATAATCTTTGATTTATGCAATACCTTTTTTTCTAGTTCAATTAAATCTATATAATTTATTTAAATCTTATCATTTTTCAAAAAAGGTATTGTTTAAATCAATGATTACAACAAAACAAGCTAAATTTACTGCAGAAATATTTCTCCAAAAATCTTCCTTTCTGCGTAAGAAATGTTTAAAGTCTTAGTATAAATCTTTAAAACTACTTTACTTTAGTAAATCCGTATGCCACTACGTCATAGTGGAGGCTCGGTCTGGGAGGCTCCTGTCTGCATAGCAAAGGCACATGACGTCCGGGAGTTCCCTCCCCCCCCTTTCTTACAAAATACGTAGCACCTAATATTTTACATCGTGTAACGTTAACTGTTAAATTCACAAAATACATATCATGGTATATATATTTACATATTTCTGACATAATTTTACATATTTTGAACATAAGAGATTTAAAGCTGTTTAGTCACAGAAAGCAGGTTAAGCTTACAAGTAAAATCCTACTAACTTATGCCCAAGGAATCACAAACAAACAGCGAGTATTAATAAATATTTTAAAAAATCTTTACAGAAAAAAATGATTTTGTCAAAAAGTGTTAAAATATATGACCAGTGTCAGGGTTTCCTTGTTAACATTAAATTTAAAAAATAAAATTGGAAATTTCCAAAATGCAATCTTTTTGTAAGAGTAAGTTTTTATTATCAAGTGTGTGATAAGTGCGATAAGTTAACCACAAAGACGACTGTACGGAATTAAAATATTTAAAGACTATATTCTACTTTCAGTTAATCATATTTAGAGTTTTTGGTCGTCATTAAATCCTCGTTTTTTGGGTAACTTTAAGCATAATATAAATACTAGGGTACCCCAGTTTGCAACAAAATATAAAAAATATTGTCTCAAAAAAAAAATTCTCAGGCTAATATTGTTCTCTATGGTGTCAGTTTTAACAGGATATATTTTTTAACCTATGGGAAGTGGTCGTGCAAGGCAGGTGAAGATCGCAAAAAAGTCTGCAGAGTCGCAGACCTCATAAAATAAATATTTCTAGAATTTGTTCTGTCATATATCTTATTCTTCTTAATTGTCTAAAGAGAATAAATCCATTGAAATTTTTGAAAAATTTCAAATATTAGGTTAAAAAAACCCTCCAAAAAAAATGTACTTTTCTTTAAAACTAGCATTTTTGACGTATTTTTTTGGTCTAACGTAGAAATTTTTTGAAATTTTTAAAAAGTTTCAAAAATATGACATGAGAAATTCAAGAAATATTTTTTTTTTTGAGCTATGTAGGCTTTTTTGCGATCTGCACAGGCCTTGCACGACAACTTCTCAATGGTCTAAAAAAATATTCTGTGAAAACTGACATCATAGAGAAAATATTAGCCTGAGAGTTATATGTGGAAGGTCGAACTGAAAAATGGGGCACGCTAATAAATACCAATTATAATAATTTTCATAATAATAATAATTATCGACTAGTTGCTACGAAATTACAAAATTACATAAACTAATACTGTACAGTAAAATGAAATATAATAGGGCATAGTAAAAACTAAAAATCGCGCTATTTTATTAACCTTACGGGAATAAAAATTCAAGAAAACCCCCCAAATTTCATATTTAGTTGAATAATTAATTATAAAAAAATCAATAAATCTGTTAAAATAAGAAATTTAATTTTCAAAATTTTTGTACTAATATTTAAATTATTTGTTTTCTCTGTACCCTAATTTGAAAAATTAGAATCATATTCTACATTGTCATTGTCTACATTTATTAGTTACTATACTGAAGGGCCCCGTGGAATAATAAAAAAATGTTAAAAACAAAAATCTATTTTTTTAAGTCTATGTCACCCCCAGCCTACCCATGAGTGTCCACAAAAAATATCAGCCCATTCGGTCCAGCCGTTTGGTCATTTATAGAGAACATGTAAACGAATATCTTGTTTTATCATATACAGGGTGTCCCACGAAACATGACAATAGGAAGACGACTTGAAAGTCGTCTTTGGTATTTGAATTTATTTGTGACATTAAGTCTTCTATCTACTTTAACATGTATGATTCTTGAAACAATTATCACATTATTCTCCTAGCCCTGGCATTTCCAAAAAGTGGTCTGCGTTTTTTGTGCTTTCAATATTACCTCAGATATAAAGAGTTTGGTTCAGATTTCAATTTTGTTAAATAAAAGCAAAATTGTCGAAATCTGAACGAAATTCTTCATATCTCGGGCAATATTGAAAGCACAAAAAAGGCAGACCACATTTTGGAAATGGCAGGACAAGGGAAATTTTGTGATTATTATCTCTAGAAATTTACTTCTAAAATTAGGTTGACAAATAAACGCAGTAAATTATATCAAAAATCAAGACGACATTCAAGTCGTCCTGCATACTGTCATGTTTCGTGGGACACCCTGTAGATTACAAGGGGAATACATTTTTTTTGAAGAAATATCCCCCTATTCACCCTGGTATATATACCCCAAAGTTATTTTATACGTTACGATTTCAGAAAGCACATTTCAATACACTTGTTTAGTATGAACCAAATTAAAACACATTCGGCGTACAACCAATCAAAAGTACATCAAGTCATACTAATTTAAAACAACTTGGAAAAGCACTTTGAAGAATAACAAAATCAAATACAGAAGAAATGCCTTATGAGCAGTTATATATAGGAGACCTTTTTCCCTATGAAACTGTGGTAGATATATCCTAGATATGGAACTGCGGTAGATATATCCTTAGATATGGAACTGTGGTTGATGAATCCTAGATATTGGAACTGTGGTAGATATATCCTAGATGTGGAACTGTGGTAGATATATCCTAGATATGGAACTGTGGTAGATGAATCCTAGATATGGAACTGTTGTAGATATATCCTAGATATGGGAATGTGGTAGATATATCCTAGATATGGAACTGTGGTATCCTAGATATGGAACTGTGGTTGATGAATCCTAGATATTGGAACTGTGGTAGATATATCCTAGATGTGGAACTGTGGTAGATATATTCTAGATATGGAACTGTGGTTGATGAATCCAAGATATGGAACTGTGGTAGATATATGCTAGATATGGAACTGTGGTAGATATATCCTAGATATGGCACTATGTTAGATGAATCCTAGATAAGTAACTGTGGTAGATATATCCTAGATGTGGAACTGTGGTAGATATATCCTAGATATGGAACTGTGGTATCCTAGATATGGAACTGTGGTTGATGAATCCTAGATATGGAACTGTTGTAGATATATCCTAGATATGGAAATGTGGTAGATATATCCTAGATATGGAACTGTGGTTGATGAATCCTAGATATTGGAACTGTGGTAAATATATCCTATATGTGGAACTGTGGTATCCTAGATATGGAACTGTGGTTGATGAATCCAAGATATGGAACTGTGGTAGATATATGCTAGATATGGAACTGTGGTAGATATATCCTAGATATGGAACTGTGTTAGATGAATCCTAGATATGTAACTGTGGTAGATATATCCTAGATATGGAACTCTGTTAGATGAATCCTAGATATGGAACTGTGTTAGATGAATCCTAGATATGGAACTGTGGTGGATGAATTCTAGATATGGAACTCTGTTAGATGAATCCTAGATATGGAACCGCTTGTTTGCTGGATCACGTGGGACTAGATCACAGAAGGTCAGAAGAGTTTTGAAATCACAGATTGGTTCAATGATCGGTCTAAACAAATAACAAGAATTAATTTTAGTCGAAAGTCCAATTTTTCCTAGTTATTCAAATTATCTTAAAAATTGAAAAATGAAAATGGGATTTCACCAAACCATGACTCTGAACTTGAAATATCATTTTAAAAATAAAATTGCTACAAGTTTACCCAATCAGCGTTTTTCTTCAGTAATCCATACAGATGAATTCTGCGTCAATTTGTTAACAAAACCTTTCTTTTTTAAAAGTGACTAATAAAAGTTGAATTACTCTGAAGTGAAAGAAATTGAGTGTTGGCCATTAACCCTTATTTTCTAAACCCTATGTCTTTGCAATCCGATGTCGTAGACTTTTGAATTTTTTAACTAGAAATTCTGTTGGATCAATTATCCTAATGATTGAAATATGAAAGGGTTTCACCATCAGGTTTCAAAGATATACGTATTAGAAATTTTGACATGGGGGCAAAAACTCAATTCCTTTGACCGGAAATAACCGATGTGTCGAGCATAGAATTTTTTTAAACTACATAGTAGTAGTTATTATACTGTCCCAATTAACAATTCAGTGACGAATTCGATATCGTCTTTTTAAATAATTCTTTGATTTAGTATAGTGATACCTACTGAGAAAGTTGTAATCTGTAAGAGTTTCGTCTACTATGTTCACATTTTGTTTGTTTATGTTTTGACTGCATACGGTTGTACTTAGTAAAACAAGAAAATTGCAGTATACAAACAGAGTAAACTTGTCCGTCTTCACTGTTTATCTTGCAGAGACATTATAGACACATCTTTACAGTCTTTTACCCTTTTCATAAAATAAACTCTAGCAGACATAATAATATTATGGCGTTTGAAATCAGGTATTACAATGCTAATTCATAACAAAGACGATATCAAATTCATCACTGTATTCCCATGTTTTTTGGGACACCCAGTATAATAAAAATAAACGTGTCACCTTCTTGTTTTTGCTTCCCTTGTTGCCTCCCTACTATTTAATCCCTCAAAATGCATCAAGCAAATTATACCCGTGGTTCCAGCTCTGCAAAAATTATCATAATTAATAAATTCTTAAAGAAACAGTAAGCCTGATATTAATGGACTCTTATTTAGAGTGGCATGTCCGATTTTCGACATTACCCTCACAGGTTTGTATGACCAAGAATTTTTTACTTTAAAATGACTGTAAAGGAAAAAATGAAAGGAGGTATAGGATGAAACCTGAGAATCTCAGGCGTTAAACGATACATATAAAAAACATCTATCTGATGTTTTTGTCTCGAGAAATTGATATAAAACTGTGTCAAAATACGATATATAATATATATATAGTTTATATATATTATATATAGTTTGCTCCTATTATAATTTTTCAATTTTCATTTTGCCGTTTTAATAAATACAATTGATAATAATATTACATATAGTCCGTATAGTCCGTATTAAACCTTTTTACTTCATGGAATCAATGAAATAAATAAAACTCTGTTAAAGCTAAAAAAACGACGATACTTTCCACATTATAAATGAGATATCGTGCATGAACCTCTTAAAATAAAGGATCACTTGAAGTTCAAATGACATGTTTTTGTTGCTCTAAATTCTGGATCAGTAAATTGAATAAGAAACGATCTTGCTCATGAACCTCTTTAAATAAAGGATCACTTGAAGTTCAAATGACATGTTTTTTGTTGCTCTAAATTCTGGATCAGTAAATTGAATAAGAAACGATCTTGCTCAATTTCAAAAAACGGGGAATCGGATTTATTAAAGAAAACGCATTGAGAGGTTAAAAACTGCTCTAGCTCATCAAAGTATAAGCTAAGAAATGTACTTTAATGTGGATCTGAATCGGTCCAGTGAAATTATTTGAAAACTATATTCTACTTGATTCGAATCCGTGGCTCCTGATAGTTTAGCGGAGTACACTAAAATGCAGAAAATTAACAAATAAGTCACACGCTCAAACTGTTAAATTCCTATATCTTTTTAACAGGGTTCACAGTCTATACCATTTCAAACTCAGACTTTTTTATCTAAGTCTTCAAAATTTGGAGTTTGAAATATCAAAATCCCTTAACATCAGGTTGCAAAGGTATACGGATGAGAAAATAAGGATATCTGGCTATAGTGCTCAAGCTCCTTTATCTGATGAAATCATTCAGAACCACATAAAAGATTAAATTGATTCAATTAAGTAAATATATAAACGAAGAAAAGCAGATAGAATCAAAACTGTTTCACATCTCGATTTAATATGAATTTTATTGCATCTTTTTCACTGTAATTAAGTGTGAAGTATTTTTCATTTTATGGTGTCGTCAAAGTGTGTAAAATCTTATTGATCTTTTCCTTCAGAAGTCTGTATAGTAAGGCTAGATACTCGGGAAGCGCTGCAATTTACTAGAAATGTCGTCTTCATGGAAATGTACACTCAAAATACTGATGTGAAGTGATTAATTTTAGGATGAAGATGAAGTGACAACGTTGCTGGTGAGAGGATGAAGGCTTTTTCCACTTGTCAGCTGTGGTCATCTGTAAAAAGCGAAGTTAATCCTCTCACCAGCAACTATTTCACCTTATCTTTCACCAATTATCAGTTATTTCATATGAGGAATTTGAGTCTTCATTGCTATAAGACAACATTTCTATTACAGAGCGTCCCACATCATATTGGATTATCTCGAAGCTTTACACCAAAATACGCATATAATACTCGAAAACCTTAGTATACAATTTCTTTACATGATTCATTCTTATAGTCCCGAAAATAGCAATTTTGAGCTATTTAAACGATCTATATGATATGGTAGACAACCTTGTTTGGAAGGAGGGGCGAGGGATAAGGAGGATAGAGGTGCCCACAGGAGGTGGGGCTGGGAGGGTAGTAAATACAGTGAGAACCAGAAGACGACATTAATGCAATAATTTAGTGTATTTTAATAATTTCACAAAGCAAATACTTTTACTGCACTGATTAAGTGAAATGGACCTACTTACACTGCACAATCACTGTGTTTCATGTTCATTAGACAATTTAAAGTCATGTCTGAAGTCTAAAGTTTTCAGGTTCTCGCTGTATCAATTACAAATAATATATTAAACTAGCTTTGGAACCCAGCGTGGCCAAGGGGAGTCATAGTTAGTTACCCGACCTTTGTCGTAAATTACGATTTTTAGCTATTTTTCCCGTTTAAAGTGGACCCACTCAGTCCAATGGTTCCTGAGTTAGGATCGAAGAAACAAACAGACGGACAGACAAACAGAGACTACAACTTTGTATATATAGATATATGCATGAAGCCATATTAAAAAATCTGTTCTAAGGTTTAAGGAATTCCTATGAAATTAATGAGATTAGATATAAATTCATTTAAATAAAAATATATTAAATCTTCGAATTTTGAACAATGCATCTTTCAGCAAAAATGTTAAATGTTATCACCAGAAATATATTTATATTTTTCAGATAATGGGTTTACAGATGTGAAACATTTTTGTAACCCTCCTCTCCCCAAAAACAAACTTTTGGATTAAAAATATAAAAAAATATTTTTGATTTTCATCTACAAATATTTGAACACCCCCCCCCCTCGAAACGCACTACATGAGTTATGTAATTTTTTTCCAGTAGAGTTTTGTTTTGGTTTGTTGTGCGTAGATATTCAAAACCAAACTAGCGTAGGTTGAACCCATACTATGATACTAGTTTACATTTTGAGTAGGAGTCATTTAACACATTTTCTAGCATACATATAATAACGTGACTAAATAAAAACAAACTTAAGAACCGGTTTCAGGAACTAAATAAAAACAAACTTAAGAACCGGTTTCAGGAACTAAATAAAAACAAACTTAAGAACCGGTTTCAGGAGCTAAATAAAAACAAACTTAAGAACCGGTTTCAGGAACTAAATAAAAACAAACTCAATAACCGGTTTCAGGAACTCAACATAAACAAACTTAAGAATCGGTTTCAGTAACTCAACAATAACATAACAAACTCAAGACCCGGTTTCATTACTCAACAATAACAAACAAACTCAAAAACCAGTTTCAGTAACTGAACATAAACAAACTCAAGAACCGGTTTCAGAAACTAAAAAAAAAAAACTCAAGAACCGGTTTCAGGAACTAAACATAAACAAACTCAAGAACCGGTTTAAGGAACTTAACATATACAACCTCAAGAAACGGTTTCAGGAACTAAACAAAATCTAAAAAACCGGTTTCTTATAATTTTTATTCCACTTTCTTACATTTTTCTACGTTTTTTATCATTTTTAATCTGCTATCTTATATTTTCAATTCATCCTTAATGCATTTTAAATCGATCTCTTACATTTTCATCAACTCTCCAGCATCTTAATATTTTAAACCATTTTAAAGCTTTCAATCTTTCTTTGTACATTCAATCCATCTTACATTTTTTAATTCCATTTCTATCCACTTATAACATTTTTATCCCCCTTGTTTTCACCTCTTTAACATTTTCATCTTTGTCATCTGTGTGTCTTCTCCAGCCAGCAATATCAAACTTCAGATAGTCTAGAGTCATAATATTATTCAATATTAAGATCTAAAGAGGAAGCCGACAAAATGGGGGTAAGGGTCATAATAAAGGCCGTGGCCTGGGGGGCTGACGATTTTAGAAGCAAAAATAATTTTTTAAAGGACTTGCAATAATTTCAACACCGAAAAAAATTAAGACCAAGTTTGAGATCTTCATTTTCTTGAACAAACTTTTCATGAAATTATTTTTTTAACATTTCTGTTAATTTCTACTTAATTGAGTGGAGAATATTGTTTCAGAATATATCTAATTTGTAACTTTTATTTAAGAAAAATTTTTAATTCCGCAATATTGAAGCAACAATAGTCCTCTATTTAAAAAATGATGGCTACGGGGTGTACCCCGGACTAACCAGATTGAGACCCGTTTAGTTTCTTCTATTTGGAGTCATATGCGTTTTAGTCTATAATTAAACAATCTTTAAACTTACGGATTTGTTAGTCTTATACATTTCATTCAAAAAGTATATTCAGGCAAAAAAGTATAATATAAAAAAGGCAAAAAACTATGTTTAGAAGGTCAAATTGTGATTTAAAGTCACAGTTTTCTGGAATATTGATAGAACCGTTAAATTCAGGTGGGGTAGCACACAAAACAACTCTAGAATTTAGAGACGACATTTAAGCAATCTTATATGTATTTTCTGTAAAGCAAACAGTTATACCAGTAAATAGCTTGAAAATAAACCTTTTCAGTGAAATGGGTCAGTGTACACTGCAAAATTACTGTTTTTAATGAATATTCAAAGATGCCTTTGATCTTTTCTATTATCAAAATGTGAGGTAAAAAATGTTTTATGACACTTAACCTTAACATTTCATAAGATTGTTTAAAGTTCGTCCTCCTTTTCCACAGTTTTATAGGTCCCACTGTACTACCTAGTGTTCCTAGATGGTAACAGCTGATGTTTGTTGTACAGTTAACTACAGCTGTTATACCACGTGACTGTAGACTGTTCAAATCTCGGGCAGCCTGTAAATATGTGGGTTGTAACAATATGTTTATTTTTCTTAATTTCATATTTTTCTTTTTTTATTTCTCTCTCACTTCTAACTATTAAAATCGATGTACTCATTCCCCCTAGATATTCAAATATTCCCCCCTCCCTTCATAACATTCCCCCCAGATATTCAGATATTCCCCCTACCTTCATAACATTTCCCCCAGATATTCAGATATTCCCCCCTATCATAACATTTCCCCCTAAATATTCAGATATTCCCCCCTACCTTAATAACATTCCCCCCTAAATAAAATATAAAGTTTTGATACAGCTAAATTATGACTTTCTATTTTAAGACAAATGATTTCACAGATTTATTACTTTCTCTCGCTCAATGTGAAAATTAATGCAAATAAACAAAGGTAACATTTACATTTTAAAACTATGTAAATAAACAACATGTACATTTAAAAATGATAAAAATAAGCAACATTTACATTTTAAATTATGTAAAACAAACAACAATTATATTTCTAAATTATGTAAAAAAATAACATTTACTTACCGTGTCAGATCCAACAAATATGAAACCCTGTTCTTTAGATTTATGAATAGGATCAAGGTTATTGTAGAAACTTCGAGTCTCTCCTGAAACAGCATTAAACACATGAACAACACATTTTCAATTAAACTTGATAAAACTTGAATACAGGAGTTTTCACACATGAAGTGAAAGGTTAAGCTTTAGGTAATTTCCAAGATAACGATTTTTGGACCCCCCCCCATATAAATATATTATAAACTAACCTAATCTTGACCAAAGCTTTTTAGCCTCCTCATTATAATCCACTGCTTCCGGCAACATTTTTCTAAAAATCCAGATTTATAAATTATCATTTTCACTCAATCAATTATTAAAACGTATAAGAAAGCTTGAGTGTAGTCTGTAATGTAAGCAATGATAAGAAACATGAATTCATACGGAAACTTTTATCAATTCAGATTCTAACGGAAAGTTTTTCAGTGGGATTGATCTAAAAGTTGACAAAAGTTAAAAAAGTTTGCTGAATCAAGATTTCTAAATCAATCTTTAAATATTAATCATTATTATTGTTAAATGATGTCAATTGTTCTTATTACATAATGATTACAATATTCAAAAACTTCAGTTGGTTTAAAATGTCTATAAATACGGAAAGCCTACAAACAACTGCAATTTCTTCGGTTTGTTTGAAAAATAAACTCCGAAGAAAATATGAATCTCACGCGGCAAATTCCTATAATCAATCAATAACGTAAATAAATCATTTTTACGGTATATAATTGCTTAGATGTGAGATATTTGAACTTTAAATTTTTTTATCACATTTATATTTTCAAAAACTTTTCGGGTTCGAATTCATAACTTTTTCCAATTTTAGTTTTACTGCGCAGGTGCGCATCTTTAGGAATCAGTCTACTACCTCCTACTCAATTTTATGTCACATCATCCCACCTATGTAATACAGAAAAGAACAATTTTTTTTGTTGTTTCTTGTATTTTTATAATTTAAGAATTTTTTAAAAAGGGGTTTAACATTGCAGTAAACATATTTTTAGATTTTTTATCTAGTTCATATTTATGTAGTTCTGATGCTACAGCACTGGCCCCCCAAGCAGTTGCAAAGCCGAAATCAGTCTACAGAAAAGAAAACACTGAATAACTGTCAATACTGCGATTTCTCCGATTTCAAACATTTATTGGATGAAACCTAAATTCTAGACAGTTTATGATGATTTTACATCTTTTTTATAAAAAAAATCTGATTTAAGTTTTTTTATATTTATCATGTCATGGTGATGTTTTTTTTTATATGCATCTTTAATAGTGGTTTATCAACATATTAATACGCATTTAAAGAGACTCAATTTAACGACAGTGATTCACTTGGATTATCCATGCTGCGAATTGAATAAAATCGGGATTTTTGATGTTAAAGAATTGTTATTTATTCAGAATATGCGATGTACGAATCTTTCCATGATTGTGACCCCGTTAAGTTTTTTGTTGATTAAATAAAAGAGGTTTTAACATACGCAAATTGGAATTACATTGGAAACGCCTGTTTTTCGGTAATTTCCTAGTATACGATTTTTGGACCCCCCCTGGGCCCCCCCCTCCCCCCCTCCTACTTTAAACTCAAATCAACAATGAATAAAAGATAGAATGATACCTCCTATTTCTTTTATATTTGAATATTTCAGATTTAAATTCATCTCTGTGTACGACCAGCGAATCAAGTTGAAAATATTAGGAATTGAATCGAATATTTATCCTGGTGATTTAAAATAGCACTTCTTCACAAGACTAGTCATGATTCTTATTCCTTAAACAAACAGGTATTTAAACATTTTAAATTTAAATATTTAAATTAAAAAAGTTTACCGCTGGAGTCTTTGGCCATCCCTGAAACTTGTGATTTAGCTTGATTTGTTTCTAGGTTGAAAGATTTGAATATGTCGAGTAGAGGGGAGGATAGTAGTGATGTACTCGTGTGTGCTAGCGAGTACATACCTGACAGGTAGGGGTTTAGGTGGGGGGGAATGGGTAGGAGGTCAAGGGGGGGGGGATATTATTAAGTGCAAATATAAGTCTCGAAGTCACATTGAAATAATTTTTATCAACCTGTTTTCTTTATAGATTGTACTTTGTGACATTGAAAACGAACGTAAAGCCTAAATCTACGACCAACACTCATTACTTCTGTATTGACGATGAACTGGTTTATGAAAACTTTTACGAGGATTTCGGCCCACTCAATCTTTCCCTTCTATACAGGTAAAAATAAAGAAATTAAAAAGACTGTTAATGTTATTTAAATTGAATCCATATTGTTTATTTGGTTTTCTTAAAGGGACATTAAAGGAAAAATGAAAGGGGGTATAGGCTGAAAGCTAATCACTTTAGCTCTTGATCGCGACCCATGAAAGTTTTATCTGATGTTCCTATCTCGATAAATTGATTTACAACTGTGTCAAATTTATACGAAAATTAATATATATACAATTTTGTATAAAAGTAGTGGGTTTAAATAGATCAAATTCAGCAAATAAGCAACCAATCTGAAAACGATAATATCCCCGAGAAAGCTAATTATTACTTAGGTTTACTCCAATTCTAATTTTATATTTGTTATTTCTATTTTTAATAGATTTAATTCATAATATTATTTACACGTCCGAATTGCTTGACCAGAAAATCCACCAATGACAGTGCAGTAAAGTGGTCACGTGATACAGGCAGAGACAAGTGATCAGTATACTGCTCTGCCATTGGTGATAGTTCTGGTCACGTGATTTAAGTTTAAGATTTTCTAAATTTTACATATATGAACTTTCGTATGATTTTAATACAGTTTTATATCAATTTCTCGAGATAGTAACATCAGATAAAACTTTCATGGGTCGCGATCAAGAGCTAAAGTGATTAGCTTTCAGCCTATACCCCCTTTCATTTTTCCTTTACTGTCCCTTTTCTTAAGTAAATATATTGAGTGTGCAAAAAGCAATTTTTTGCAGTTTGATAATTTGTTTTTATAATTTTTGAAGATTCTGGATTCGGGGGAATCAAATTAAACGTCAGCTGTCGATTTTTTCTTCGTTTTCACATATTTTACTGGTATTATGATTCTGGTATTTTATTATTATTGCCATTAAAACTACAAGTTTTCTTTAGATTCAGCGGAAAAATAATGCAGGAAATAAGATTTTAAGAGGGGGGCGGGGGATGATGATTTTTATGTATACATTTTACCTCTTCATGGTGATTTGTAAAGGTATTGCATGAAGCTGAATAGAAAGTTGAAATCCTATACATTGTCTAAAAAGAAACTTGTCCACTACACAACACTAGGTAATAACTTTTTTATTATTTCGTCATGATTTCTTAAGACATATATTTAGTAAATATTAAAGTTTTTGAAAAATAACTCACATTTTTTTCTGGAAGATTAAAATCTTCAAAATGTGGCTTTCGAAAAAAAAATCACATAATTGCCTTCCCTCTTTTACATCAAATGTATACTTAATACATTCATGTGAAATATGACACAATGAATTGAGTTTTTAGGAAAAGTTTTTTTAATGAAGAAGGAACATTATTTTAATAAAAAAAAAAAGTTGCCAAGAATTTTTAAATTTAATTTTTCAATGTTTAGATGCACACAAACGTGCTAACGCTGCTTTCCTGATATCTGCCTACGCCGTGATCTATCTTGGTCGAAGCCCAGAGGATGCCTTTAAACCACTTCAGGGTGGTCTCAACCCAACCTTTGTACCCTTCAGGTAAACATGAAATAAAAAATATTTTTTTACTATACAATAAAGCTGTTCGCTCATATTTATGTATTTGTTTTTTAAAACTTGGGGAATGCCGGGTACTCCAGCTAGTAACAATATATATTTTGTTTGAAAAAGTGATTTGAGCGGAAAATTGTAAAATGGTACGTTAACCGTTTATGCTTTTTTCATGCTTCTTACCCTAAAGTTAATTAATGTTTAAATTTTTTCAGTGATATAAATATTCAAAAATACTAAGGATAATAAATAATTTCTTAAGAGGGGAATGGGAACTGGGAGTGATTTTTTTTTCAAGGAGATAACCCTGAAACAGTGAAATATGCCCTACAGTCGAATGTTAAATATTATTTAGAGAATTATTAGAAACACTTAAGTGATAATGAGCGCCATTATTATTCTTAATAATTGTTAAAATGAATATTTCTAATTATAGGGATGCCTCTTTCGGTGTGTCAGTGTACACTATAACTATCCTGGACTGCCTGAAGGCTGTACAGAAAGCAAGAAATGCGGGTTTCTTCGATTTCGAGGATTTCGATTGTGAAGAGTACGAACATTACGAGAAGGTTCAGAACGGGGACTTTAACTGGTTGGTTCCAAAGAAATTCCTGGCTTTCTGTGGACCCCATCCTCATTCAAGGGTAGGCCTAATATTTTACTATTTGTTTTTTCAATGATTAAAAATCTTTGAATTTTTTTTTTTTTTAGTTTTTATATAATATTTAAAATAACTTTTAGATTGAGAATGGTTACCCCTTGCATTCCCCGGAGTCTTACTTTCCGTACTTCCGGTTGCACGGAGTTTCCTGTATAGTAAGACTGAATAAGAAAATCTACGATGCCAACAGGTATTCTAAAAACCCCCATTAAAGGGACTGTTCACGTAGTTTCAAGTCACTTTTTATTTAAAGATTTACCTGGCCGATTTGATTGATATATCCTTACTTTTCCTTCCGTAAATTGATAATGTTTAATCATGGGTACTTTTTTAAACTAAGTGACTTTCAGATCTCTCTGACAAGAATTTTCCCTAAAAAAATTGCCGTAGAATCAGTGAATATTTGACATTTCAATTTTTGCTGGTGAAATCATGATCAACTGTCGTAAAATGCATTATTTTATCATATTTTTTATTTCTATTAATTACTCAAAAAAATGTTTATTGTTTAATTAGCTAAAAATAAAAATAAAAGTACTTTTTGAGCATGAGCGATATAGATGATTTATGTGGTAAAACTATCTAAAATAAAAAAGTTCTTGGAAATTTAAATCCCTCTTGGAAGTTTAAGTCCCATTTAAAAACATTTTTGAAAATGGAGAAAAAAAGAAGAATGTAACAGATTTTGATTTTTATATATTAAAGGTTTGTGAACGGAGGGTTCCAACATGAAGATCTATTTTTCATCGACGGATCCACTCCCCCCGACCATATCCTTAAATCTTTCCTACAAATTGCAGAATCTTGTAAAGGGGGCCTGGCAGGTATATTATGTATCCGTGTTAGTCAGTAGAATTATAAAATTGGAAGTTGTTCGATTTGAACCGAAAAAATGTTCTAGGTTAACGTTTAATCTCTCAAAGCTAAATTTCTAATCGGGTTTTAGGTTTGTTTGTATCCAATAGACGTTGAAATGAGTAAAACCTATCAAGCAAAATTTTATTTGTGTTAACTATCATGGCCACATGTGCCATGACAAGGAAAAAAGCAAATTTTCACTTTAAAATGGGTGCACAGAGCGCAAATGAAAAAAATTTCTTTGCCGACTCTTCTTTCTTTTAAAATTTTTAAAATTTTTAAAATTTTTTATTGTACTGTTTATTTCTAGTGCACTGTAAGGCTGGGTTAGGACGGACAGGTTCGTTAATTGGTTGCTACATCATGAAACATTATAGATGGACAGCATTAGAAACTATCGCGTGGTTAAGGATATGCAGGTTTGGTTATAATCATTATTATTAGTGTGATCATTTGTTTTTATGTCATGATTAGGATTATCATGATTTGCATTATTTTTATCCTTCATTAGCAATAGCATTATCAATATCATAATTATTATTTTATTTTAGTAATTGTTATTTTTTAAGTTTAAATATTGTTAAACTTTTCTAAAAGAACTCTTAAATAATATTTATTTGTCCTAGAAATTTTCTTTTCTAGTTGAACTCGTACATTCATTTACAAAAGAGTTATTTTCTGTCGAAAATCTATTTGAAAAAAGCATATTTTTTATCTAATGGGGGGACATGGTTTATGAAATTCTGGGGAATAATGAAAAATTATCATCAAATTAGCAAGTCATTTAATCTTTTTTTTCCTTCAATTCAGCTCCGGACAATAACTCCCAAATCAAAGTTGGGCTCATAATTTTAAATTATGCGAGGGGGTGGATAGCTTAGGATTGAACTTTTTCTAGAGTTCATATTTCTCGGTTTAATGGAACAATTTTTATTTAGACCTGGGTCTATTATTGGTCATCAGCAGGATTGGTTACAGGACAAACAAGAGGAGATGTGGCAGCAGGTATAGATACAGTACACTGCAGTACAGTACACAGTTCACTGCAGTACAGTAAACAGTACACTGTAGTACAGTGAACAGTACACTGTAATCAGTAAACAGTACACTGTAGTACAGTAAACAGTACACTGTAGTACAGTTAACAGTACACTGTAGTAAAGTAAACAGTACACTGTATTTTAGTAAACAGTACACTGTAGCACAGTAAACAGTACACTGTAGCACAGTAAACAGTACACTGTAGTACAGTAAACAGTACACTGTAGTACAGTAAACAGTACACTGTTGTACAGTAAACGGTACACTGTAGTACAGTAAACAGTACACTGTACAGTAAACAGTACACTGTACAGTAAACAGTACACTGTAGTGCAGTAAACAGTACACTGTAGTACAGTAAAAAGTACACTGTAATACAGAAAACAGTAACTGTAGTACAGTTCACATTACACTGCAGTACAGTACACACTACACCGTTTTACAGTACACAGTACACATTACTACAATAAATTTTTAGTAAACTAAAATGTAAAATTTAGCAACCCATGTCTTGCTTCAATTGAATTTTATATTGAGATAGAATTACTGGATTACTGGATTACAGGAATATTTGGGAGATGACTTTTGTGACATTTTCAGCGAGTCAATATATCTTTTTTTCTACTGATAGTGCATTTAGTTAAACCAGGGATCTTGGCGCCCCTGACACCTTCACTAGGGATCTGGGCGCCCCTGACACCTTCACCAGGGATCTGGGCGCCCCTGACACCTTCACCAGGGATCTCGGCGCCCCTGACACCTTCACCAGGAATCTTGGCGCCCCTGACACCTTCACCAGGGATCTCGGCGTCCTTGACACCTTCACCAGGGATCTTGGCGCCCCTGACACCTTCACCAGGGATCTTGGCGCCCCTGCCACCTTCACCAGGGATCTCAGCGCCCCTGACACCTTCACCAGGGATCTTGGCGCCCCTGACACCTATCGCATTGAAGAAATATGTTTGTCATACATATTCTTAAAACAAATCAATGAGGTGGCATTTTTAATGTCTACTGGTAAACTGTTCCATCTTTTAATAGCTCCAAAGCTAAATAAGTTTCTCCTAATATCTAGATTGCAAGTGTTGAGTTGAGGTTCATATTGCATGTAGAAAACCTTGTTTCTCGTTGAGCTGTGTCTACAGACCTTGTAAACCATGTACCTTCTTTTACATTATCATGTTTATGGAGAATCTTCCAAGTCTGGATTGAATCCCTTTTTACTCTTCTTTCCTCCAAGGTGGTCAAGTTGACCTCCTTTGGTTGATCAAGGTATGAGGTACTATGGAGGCCTGAAGTCATCTTCAAAATTCGTTTTTGAACACTCTCAAGCAGTTCAATATTTGATTTAAGCCAAGGTGACCAAGCCTGAACACAGTACTCTAGAAGAGGTCGAACATAAACTTTGTAAAGCCTGATCAAGGTATACTTGTCCCTGTAGGAGTAGGACCTGGAGCTGACGCACATTGAAGAGAAGGTTTTAGAAGTAGAAGTATTGAAAGTTTTCAGTAATCCTTCATTGAAAAAGTTACATATTCTGATTCACAATGGTACCCTGTAAACCCTTTGGTCTGATAAAAATAGTGGAGTTTTTTCTATCTCAAAATTGACTATGTACCAAAATCTAGGAAGAACGTTCGAAGATTTTATATCTAAAGACAGAACAACGAAAATTTGTATCTTGCTCATTATTGATCTGATCCATGGCTGAAGAAAATCGGACATTCAACACTTTAAAATAAGGATCACGTAATCATTCCCTTTAATATTTAGGGAGATGAGTTTAGAAGAATGTACCCTGAGAGATCGGTTCTAGATTCTCCGAGTGAGTTCGGCGTGTACAGTCTTAAGAGGAAGCACAAGCTCATGGACAGGCTGGCGAGCAGGAAGGAGAAGGAGGTAAACAATACCTATTCGGGAACAGTCTCTTTATACAAATTAAGACCGGGTTTTTGTTTGCTGCATTTGGATCAAAATGAAAGTTTTGTTTCCCGTTTCCGATGAAAAAAAATTTAGAAAAACATAGCGGTTTAAAAGAAATCTTTTTTTCAAATTTTTTAACCTGTTTTGTGGTCGACTTACAGGATAAGAAAAAAATATAATAACTTTTAAGAGATCAATTATTGATCGAGAGAAATAATTCCTTGCAGTCGTTTTATTAATAATAGATAAAAGGTCTTATTATCATTATTTTGTGATAACTTTAATATCACTTTATCAGAACTTTGATCGTTTCGTTAACGATGAAAAAAATGTAAACACAACTTTTAATGACTATTTTAAAATGATCATGTTCAAAATTAAATCGTTTTAATTACGATAGATTTTCGTTTTCAAAAGTGAAAATTTTCAGTATATATTTCTAGCCAACTCTTACCGTTTTTGACAAAACCTTTCGTTTCGCTTTGAAGTTATGGTTTTTCGTTTCGTTAAAAACATTAATTCGTTAGTTTTAACTATTTTTTAATCTAAAAAGGAAGGTTTGTTAATAATAGAATTTCCAAAACGGAAAGAGCGATGCCCAATGCCAGTCTCTTACCTTGGACGGAACCCAGCAAAGGAAGCTTATTTTGATCGGGATTAACAATTAACCCTTAATTTTAAAAGTTGTAGATTGGATAATGATACCGAAATTATGCGTAGTAGATTATACAATACAAAAGTTTGGACATGAAGTAATTTAATCCCATGATTTAATATTAAGTTGTCTCGGAGTGAGACAGACAGCAGGACTGGGTTGGCGAGTAGGCTCGGGAAAGTCAAGATAGGAGAGGAGGAGGGGGAGGGGGAGAACAAGGAGGAGAAGGAAGAAAAGGAGGAGGAGAAGGTGAAGGGAAGGGATGAGAAGGAAGGAGGTAATAAAGAAGAGAGGATCAGAGAACTCAAAGCTCTTAAAGAAGAAAACCGGGAGAAAAATAAGGTATTTTTTAATTTGGTTAAAAATTATAAATCATTAAAAATTCTGTTGTTTTGTTAATCAATTGATAAGTTGATTCATCTTTTGTTTAGTTGATTGACAAGGTTGATTTATCTTTTGTTAAGTTGATTGACAAGGTTGATTTATCTATTGTATAGTTGTTTTATCTATTGTTAAGTTGATTAATTTATTGTTTAGTTGATTTATTTATTGTTTAGTTGATTTATTTATTGTTTAGTTGATTGACAAGGTTGATTTATCTATTGTTTTGTTGATTGACAAGGTTGATTTATCTTTTGTTTAGTTGATTGACAAGGTTGATTTATCTATTGTTTAGTTGATTGACAAGGTTGATTTATCTATTGTTTAGTTGATTGACAAGGTTGATTTATCTATTGTTTAGTTGATTGACAAGGTTGGTTTATCTATTGTTTAGTTGATTGACAAGGTTGATTTATCTATTGTTTTGTTGAATAACAAGTTTGATTTATCTATTGTTTTTGATTTATCTATTGTTTAGTTGAATGACAAGGTTTATTTATCTATTGTTTAGTTGATTGACATGGTTGATTTATCTATTGTTTTGTTGAATAACAAGTTTGATTTATCTATTGTTTAGTTGATTGACAAGGTTGATGTACGTATCATTGATAAGCCTGGTCTAGAAGATGAGAAAAACCGAAAGAACTTGGTGAGTTAATTATTTAATAACATATTTTCACATTTGTTTTGTCCTCGTGTTTCAGCCTTTTCTTCACCAGGAGTATTTTTTAAATCTTATCTATTATCTAATGATTAAAGGAACATATATATTTTAAGGATTGTCCTCCCTGTACCAAGGGTTTACATATTTCTTACTTCTGTGGTGATTCTCAGCAGTCCCGGTGGGCACATTATGAGAATATCTGCCAGGCAATAAACTGTTGATCAGCACTTGTCAATAGTTCTTGTGCATAAGTTATCATCATAAATGGATTTGAACATGTAACTTGAGGTTGAACTTTTAACATGAGCTGGTAGTTTGTTGCATAAATCTGGTACTCTAATAGTAAAGAAACTCTTTCTGATTTCAGTCCTTGAAAATGTTGGTTCAAGGTTTGCGGGATCAGCATTCAGCCATGTTCTTCTGGTTTGGTTGATTTGTTTGAACCAGGTTGATGGTTCAACTCTGTCAAACTCATTTAGGATTTTGTTTGTGGTGATCATGTCAGTTATTATTCTGCGTTTCTTTAAAGAAAGTAGTTTAATCTCTTTGAGTCTGTTATTGTAATCCTTCCTGGCTTCTTAGACCAGACACCAGAAGTACAGCTCTTTAAAGGATCTGTTCTATATCTGCTTGGGTCCAGGGTGACCACGCTGGAACACAGAACTCCAGGTGGGGTCTGACATATTGCTTATAGAGGTTGATGTAAACATGCCGGTCTCTATAGTGAAAAGCTTTGGTTAACATACCAAGAACAACATTGGACTTCCTAGCTGCTGCAGAGCATTGTTTAGAGGGGTTTAAATTGTTGCTTATTATTATACCAATATCCCGTTCCATTACAGCCAATTTTTCACTATTCATGTAATAATTTGCTTTTGGATTATTTTTTCTAATATGCATCACCTTGCATTTATTAACATTGAAACACATTCCCCATTTGGAGGCCCAGTTACATATTAGGTTTAATCATTCTTGGAGATCAGCTCTGTCTTTATCATTAGTTTGTCCTAACTTTGTATCATCAGCAAACTTTTTGTATCAGCTTGATCAAGGTTGCAGCAGCATCAATATCATTAATTTATATTTAAAAAGCTAGTGGACCTAGTACACTACCTTGTGGGACACCATAATCAACATTTATCAGGTCAGAGGACTCTCCATTGAAAACAACACATTGTTTTCTGCCAGTGAGCCTATTCTTTAACCGTTTGAAAAGTTTTCCTTATATACCATAGGATTTCATTTTATCAAGAAGTTTATCATGGGGGACATTGTCAAATACGTTAGCAAAGTCTAGGTAAATGACATCAAAAGCGTTTCCTTTCTCAAACTCTGAAGTCTTCAGTGTCAAGATATTCTAAAAAGTTGGTTAGACATGATTTAGACTTAGTGAACCCATGTTGTGACTGATTTATCAGTGAATTGACTTCTAGGTGTTTTGTGATTCCATCTTTAATTAGTTTGCATGGGATGGAAGTGAGCGAGATTGGCCCATAATTCCCAGGGTCGGATTTGGCATCTTTTTTAAAAATTGGAGTTATATAAACATGTTTCCAGTCAGCAGGTACATCACCGGATACCATTTATTTTTTTAAATAAGCGTCAGTGGGACTGATTCCTTAATTGCAAAGGTTTTCATAAATTTAGAAGATATTTTATCCAGCAGATGATGATGGTTGATAATGTCTCTTTCTGCAAAGGATATATTGGAGATGGGAGATCCATTTAGGTATAGGTATAGAAGCTTCATCTGAGTTAGTAAAAGCACTACCAAACTAATCATTAAGTATAGTTGCCATATTATTATTGTCATTAACAAGCTGTCCATTGTTCTTAAGTGGGCCAATGGTGGACCTGGCATTGATTTCAGATATGAATTTGAAGATCTTTTATTATGCTCTGAGGAGAGCTTTTACTCAATTTCTTTTAAGCATTCCGGATTGCAGTTTTCGTTATTTTTTCAATTTCTCTGTAATCAATTCCTGAGCTGATGGGTTTTTAAAAAAAATTCAAACAATTTCTCGCAAGGTGTTTTTTGGTAACCTCAATGGTTATATGTTAATTCAAAAGTATTTAATTTTATTGCATTTGATCATCCATCAATTAGTTCTCAATTTAACACATTGCTGTTTCAAACAAATGTTGGGTTGATTTTGATGATAATCATAATGATAATAAAAATAAGTACTGAATCATGTGATCTTTTTAAAAAATAACTGCACCTAAAAAAATATATAAATCTATAAACCTTTTTTTCGCCAAAGCTTAAAACAGTTGCTAATAAATTGGGACAAATGTCATTAGGAGGGGGAGGGGGGGGGGGAGTTCAAAAACGGAGAACGGCACACCCTGAAAAAATCAATAAATTGCAGGAGAACCTGGAGAAGCTGGAGCAGGGACGGGTAGAGAAGAAGAAAAATCATCACAGAGTTCTTACTCAGGGAGACAAACTAAACATTATCAAGGTGGGTTGACACTAGGTCAATAAAGTTCTAACACAGGGTAAGAAAAGAAGTAAACATTATCAAGGTTAGTTGTCACCGGGTAGATAAAGTTCTAACCCAGGTTAATAAAGTAAACATTATGAAGGTTTGTTGTCTTGAAGTTGAAAAGGTTTATAGATTAAAAATTATTAAGGTTAATTTTTTCCTGGTCGATGAAGTACTAACCCGGGATAATAAAGTAATATTATAAAGGTTATCGAGAAGTCAATGTAAAAAGTGCAATTTTTATTTATTTTTACTTAAACTGCAAATTTTTAAAACTTTTTTGTTAGGCTAAAAAGCAAATGGAGCATGAAGCTTCAATCAAAACAAAACCTGCTACGCGTCTTACGCGCTCTCAGTCAGGAGCACGCAGGGGAACATCACCAAGTGCACGATCCTCTTCTAAGACCACCAGAGCGCGTACTGGTGCTGTTAGGTGAGAACTTTTGAGGATAAACTTTGATAAAATTTTAAGGGACTGTACGCGTAATTTCAAGTGGTCCTCCATTTAAAGATTGCCGGATTCACAATGATACACTTAAAAGCTTTGTCTGAACAAGCATGAATAAGATATCAATGTTTATAATTTTGAAATCTAATATTTTTCAATTGTGGTTTCTCTACAAAAGTGACTTGCCCAGTAAAATTGCTGGAAAACATTAGATTTATCCAAATTATACACTTTTAACTCCAGAAAATGACAATATCTTCCACAATGTTGATCAGATAAAGGTTAGAAGGTTACTGTTGTGAATCGGGTATTAACATCTTTGCATGGAGGGTCACTTAAAAGTACGTTTACTGTAGCTTTAAGGAAACTCTGTGTTAACGGCGCTGTTTTGATTAATAGCATCTTTAGTAAAGATTATGCATAGTGTAAATATAATTCGATTAATTAATAATAAATCATTCTGTTTAGATGACTACACGCCATGGTCTCGCCAGACCAAACTCGCTTCATATTCTCTCCGTCTTCCAGGTAAATAGTCTAGCCCTAGTCTTCCTCTTCAAGGTATATAATCAATCCTTCCACTTTTAAGGTATATAATCAATACTTCCACTTTTAAGGTTAATAATCAATCCTTCCTCTTCTAGGTAAACAATCTATCCTTCCTCTTCCAGGTAAATATCTATCCTTTCACTTCCAGGTAAACAATCTATCCTTCCTCTTCCATGTAAGTAATCTATCCTTTCACTTTCAGGTAATTCCTCCAGCCATACCCTTCCTTTTCCAGGTAATTTATCCAGCTCTAGCCTTTCTCTTCTAGGTAAATTATCCACTATCCAGCCCTAGCCTTCCTCATCAAGGTAATTTATCCAGCTGCAATCTTTCTTCCAGGTAAATTATCCAGCCCTAACCTTTCTTTTTCAGGTAAATTATCCAGCACAAGCCTTCCTCTTCCAAGTAAATTATCCAGCCCTGCTTTTCCTCTTTTAGACAGAACAACCAGCGTATACTCCATGCGTCCATAGTAAAACGTCCAACCCTGCTCCAGCTTCTCCAGGTTCTCCTGCAATTTATTGATTTTTTCAGGGTGTGCCGTTCTCCGTTTTTTGTACTCCCCCCCTCCCCTCCCCCTCCAGGTAAAACGTCCAGCCCTACTTGTTCTTTTCCAGGTAAAACGTCCAACCCTACTTGGCCTCTTCTAGGAAACACTTCCAGCTTTCCTCTTATTATTTCTGTATCCTCTGTTCATTAATAATTATTTTGTTTAGTTATAGAACAACAACTACCCACCTTCCTTCTACTACTAACAACAATAAAACTGTTAGCACACCGACCCCAAGCCCTCTCTACCTGACATATTCAAGGAAAAGGTAAATTTTATCTTAATTTTTTCTACAGGGCAGGGTGCTTACTGCCTAGACTTAAACTAAATAGAATTAGATTGAGGGGGTTTGAATTCAAATATTTTTTAAAGACTAAATGATGGGGGAAATAAATATCTCATTCGATGCACTAAGGTTTTATTAAAAAAGGGTCCGATTAATATGAAATCATATCCAATATCTATTGAGCACTTAAACTTATATATCATTTTGATTCATGCATCTACAGAGTTCTTCTTGTTGTTGAATTATTAGTATTATTGTCTTGTTTTCATTTTATTTTAATTTATTTATTTTATTTTTATGGATTTTTTTGTTTTATTCCTAGTTTGTATTATAGGAGTAACCCTACGCTACCTCCCTTGGATAAACCTGCAACTCCCAGGTAAACTTTTTTATTTTATTCAGAATTACCCCTGCCCCCCCCTCCCCCTCCCCCTTCTCCATGGGAAGGGAAATGATTTATTTAGAATTTAGAAAAAATACTTACTTCTTGTTTAAATCGTATGATAGCTCGGAAATAATTCTTTGCTCACTGCAAAACTTAGCCTTTCATTCATAGTCCTGTTCAATTTGCGGTAAACGGTGACATCCGTTAATTTTGTACGCCTAATATAACCTGAATTTAAATACTAATAACCTTTCATTGGATATTAATACCTTCCAACCTTTCATTAGATAGTATTAACATCTAATAAAAGGTTATTAGTATTTAAATTCAGGATATATTAGACGTACAAAATCAACGGCTGTCACCGTTTACGGCAAATCAAGGGTTTTAATAATATACCAGATACTTGAGATGTAATTTATTCTCCATTGATTGATTGATTGATTGATTAAATTTATGACTAATAGATTATTTCTTTATTAGGACACGACACGGGCGAACTGTTCCAAGCAGCCGAGCCAACTCCAGTAAAATATCCAGAATTGAGGTAAACCATTCAATCATTAATTACCTTCTCTTAAGATCTCTATTATCTATATTCTGCAAGTGTATTCTGTTTGTCTGTTTGTATGTTCAATTATAGCTCATGAACCCATTCATCGATTTACCTTGAGGAATTCGGTAGAACCATGGGAGAATGTTCTTAGCTTGGTTTAATAAGTTAAATTGATTGGATGGACTTTTACAGAAAATTTTTAGTTTCAATGAAAAGCTTGGTTCTTAAGTGCCAGATTTTTTTTCAAGCATTCATTAAAATATTTTCCCCAACAGCTTCTCAAATAATATTTTAAAAAAACTGTCTTTTTCTTTTCCCATCATAAACAAAAGCTTATTGAAAAGTATATTTAGTTGAAGTCGAGTAAGCGAAGTAGATCTGCAAGTGAAGAACCAAATTTAATTAGTTCAAAGGTAAGGTTCTCAATGTTAAATAATACTAGGTTTACTTATATGGCACCTCGCGCCCAACTCTATGGTAATATTGCTTTTTGTTGCCACAACCTTTTTCTATAGCTACTGCAAAACATTTTGGGCCCGATCATTTAGTTATTTTGACGTTTTTTATATATATAAATAGAGAACCTAAACGAAAAGCCAAATTTATTTAAGTTTCATTTGCTAGGATATTCATGTTTCCGGACGTGCAGAACAAATAACGCAGACTGTGCGCGTTTTGCGCGCAAGATCAGCTCTACTTCTCCCCGGGCCCCCTAATCCTGCTCTAAGTTCCACTCTCCATATCCAGCCACTAGTTCTCAAATCAGAAGAACGGAGAAAGCGTCGATAAGTAACCGAGACTACCGCTCACAGCGGCAAATGCGCGGAATAAAATCAAGGCATCCACGAGATCAAAACTTTGAAAGTGACTGTCTTCTTTTCCATAAACTAAAATTAAACGTTCTCCGCAAATTTGTACAGTATATATGTTTTTGTAGACTTAACAGTAATTTGGAATTTTGATAAGTTGTTATATGTAATCGTTTTTTCGTGTTAGATTTAGTCAAAAATCCAGTCTATTCTAAAGGAACAACTATTTTCCAGTGTGTTATTAATTATCAATACTATTTTTATATATTAAGCCAAAAAAATCTTTCAATGTGTATTTGTATAAATGCCTATTTGATTCTAGTATAGCAATGTACCTAATTCCATAGTATTCTTTAAGCCTAATTATTAGTTTTTAGACGTTAACATTTATTCTCTTGGCCAATACGTGCTTTTTTTACACCTCTCACATTTATGACAAAAAAAGCCTTTGCGCACAAATTTAAACAAATAATTGTACAATACTAAAATCTTAAGTATTATTATAAATGACACATTTAAACTTGACAAAATGATCTTACAGTTGTTAACTTTTTACCTAATTTTTCTTCCAAGAGATGCATCAGTGCTTGATTAACACGTTAATATTTCCATATCAGTTTGCCACGAAACGTAATCATTTAAAGATGCCAAACTTTCCGCTGCAAATAAACCTTGGTACCTTCTATACACTTAATGTTATGCTTGATTTTAACTCTTTTTGACAATGTACACTTTTGTTGTGTTAGTTTAGTTTTATTATTTTATAATATCTTTGTTAATTTAAGAAAGGGCGAAGAAATGTCACAGTTTCTCTTTTGATTGTTAGGATTTAAGTTTTTTGGCAAAAGATTACTGTTAAAAAATTTAAAAAAGTTCAGATAACTTGGTTTTTAGTTTTTAAGTTGATTTGATTTTGATGCTTTTTATTTCGAGCATGAAAAAGTTACAAAAATTTTAGATAATCACCTAAGCTTTAATTTTTTAATAAGTTCTTTTTTGTTCTTGTAACATCGGAGAGCGGTAATGATCGCGCTTCCAATTTTTAACCTTTAGATTACTGAGAACTATGTTTTTTTGTAATCATTGCTGACTTTTTTTTTGTTAAAGTTATGAACCTTATTTTTTGGAACAAAGGAATTGAGTCTTTGTGACACAAAATCGGATTTTCTAATCCCTACATCTTTTCAACTTACGGCGTAGACCTTAGATATTTTTAACTATGATTTATGTTAGATCAAATAATCCAAGCTGAAAATATCAGGTTGCAAAGATAAAGAGATAAGTACATTTTAGCTTGCGGCTAGGACTCAATTCCTTAGTATCTATTTCTGCAATGTGGAATGTGGAGGTCCTGGCTAAAAATCAAATAACCCAAGTCAAAACAATGCTCTTAAAAATTTAAACAGATTTTACAATGTTTTTAATGAACTACTAATCCCTTAAATCTTTCTGTCTCAGTGCTATATTTGTATAAAGAATTATTTTATGTAATACATATATGACATAATAACCAACTAACCAATACACTATAAGATAGTTCACAACATTTAATTATTCTTATTTTTTTTTTTAAATATCTGATTAATGGTTTTCTTCAGAAACTACCACATCAACAATAATTTTCATTTAAAACAAACAGCTTTTATTCTAAGATAGTTGATCTAACCACTGGTTTCAACTACTTTCCCTGAGGCCGAATTTAAAGAATTTGAGTCGCGGTTTAAATTTCAGCCGCGGCGTAATTATGGTTGGTTTCACTTAAATTTTTATCAAATGTTTCAAGATTTAAGCCGGCCCTCAATTTAAACTGTGTTTTGGCGGATTTAAGCCGCGACTTAAATTCTTTAAATTTGGCGTCTGGCTTTTTTTGGGATCCACATCAAAATAGTACAGAAGTCTTGGGTTTTAGTGGTAGTCGATTTTATCAATAGAAGGCTACTTGATATTTCAATTATGATTTATGAAGCTGTTCAACAGCATGGATTCACATAAACAAAGAAGTCGAGAGAAGCTGTCAATTAAAAAAGCTTCTCTTTGATTACTTGTAAACTTGTATTTTGAAAAAAGCTTGTTAACAATAAAAATTATCAACAAAGTCGTCTTCGCTGTATTGATATAATGGCCTACCTCTGTATTAAAACCGTTTCTCTCTTGAAGTTTGAGCAGACTTTGAACATGGCAAAACAAAGTCAATTTTCTACTTGATGAAACTTGTTTTTATTGGTTATATTTTAATATTTGTAAATTTTGTTAGCACTTCTTTGTTCTTGTTATTAATAAATACTAATCTTAAAATGTGATAAAGTGATTTAAAAACTTATAGAGAGTGTTCGCGAAAAATTAAAGGGGATATGGGCTTACGTGGACAAATAATGGTTTTTGATCGCTACTAATCTTACTTCTATATTTTGCGTCTGTAAGGAGAAAATTGATAAACGACTCATACTGAAGAACCTAGCGTCCATACAGGTTAAGAAAACTGCAATATACGACTCGTATCGTGTACAAAAATCCATTTAATTTCAAACAAATCATTCAGATATTACAACCTATAGTCATCGATTATTTTTCGACGCATTTGTATATATATTTATTATTTTAAAATATTTTTTATTTGTTCTGTATCTACAATCCACTGAAAACGCCGAAATAGTTGGCGGCCAGACGTCTCTGCCCTTGATGCTTTGAATGAATGCACGTGGCAGACACACAGCGGAAAAAACGGCGTTATAATTGCCGTGTACATAAAAAATAACAAATATTATTTACTATTAAATATATACGAATGCGTCGAAAACTAATCGATGACTATAGGTTGTAATATCTGAATAATTTGTTTGAAATTAAATTGAAAGTTTTACGATACGAATCGTATATTGCAACTTTGTGAATTTGTATGGACGCTACGTTCTTCAGTAAAAGTCGTTTTTAACAATTTTCTCCTTATAGACGCAACAGATATAAGTAAGATAAGCAGTGATTAAAAACGATTATTTTTCACCATAGGCCTACCTATTTTATTGTTCGCGAACACAACCTTTAAGCTTTACAGAATTATTGTTCAAACTGCATTAATGTTTATGAATATTAAGTACCAAGTGCAATGAGGTAAGTTAAGAAGAAGCATAATGTAAAATGGACATATTTTCTAATATCCATTATCCAGTGCTGAGGACCCATTTCATATTGATTTGGATCTAAACCCCGATTCATTTCTTGAAGATTTACTAAAATTTTGAAAAAATTAAAATATGTTCTTCTCTTATGCTAAAACTTGTTCAACCATATAAGTGTATTATTTAATTTTGATTTGGGAGCAAAATGCTGGTTTATACTTTGCTTTGGATTTAGATGGAGATGTTTGTTTGTTCGGATTCGAGAAACTAAAATGTTGCGGATCGAACAGATCAGATCCGGACCCAGTTTCTGCACAGCAAACCTTATGCACAAATTACAATGAACTTATTTATGTTTTTTTTTATAATTTTCAATCATTTAAAATAATTTATCAGTCGATTTAAAATTTCTATGTAGATAATGATCTAAAACTTAAAGTGTGGAATAGTGATCCAAAAGTTTATGAGAATGTTGCAAATTCTTCCTAAAAACTTAAACTTTTACTTAAAATCATAAATGCACATGTCAAGGGACACAAAAAAGTCAAGTTAATCTATAGCAAACTAAATCTATGTGAAGTATGTCAATAATATGGCGGATAATATGCCATTGTTATATACGCTTTAAATGCCAAATAGTAAAAAATTGTTTAATTGTGCAGGCAAATGGTAAAAATTGTTTAATTGTGCAGGCAAATAGTAAAAATTGTATAATTGTGCAGGCAAATGGAAAAAATTGTTTAATTGTGCAGGCAAATAGTAAAAATTGTTTAATTGTGCAGGCAAATGGTAAAAATTGGATAATTGTGCAGGCAAATAGTAAAAATTGTTTAATTGTGCAGGCAAATGGTAAAAATTGAAATTGTTGATATCTTATCTCCAATCCCAGAAAATGTATCCATATTTTTGTTCTTTTCCCTCTCCTTAACATTACGATTTTTGCTTCAATATCTCCGATGTACATACTAAGTTCAAGATAATTTATATTTCAGACATGTCTTTATGTAAAAATTCATCTTTTTGGCAATCCAGTTGTAAATGGTAAGTATTTAACACAGCATCGAGATTTTTACAAACACATTAACTGTTAAAATCAATGTTTATAGAACAGCTTATTTATCTAATCAATCAATGTTTATAGAACAGCTTATTTATCTAATCAAACAACTATGAACACGTTATGTTTTTAAACCCCAGATCTTTTTTCAGCTGAATAATTGACTAAATATTTAATCAGCATGGTGAATCCCGGAGACCCCCCCCCCATTACATTTTTTCAATTTTCGCAACTTTTTCAACAGACAACAAATCGCCAGTGGTACCCAATAAGACTATGGTAAAGCGATATTTTAGCAATCTTATTTTTTACTTGTTACAAAAAATAGCTTGAAAATCAACTCCTGAGATATAATGGGCCTTTGTATTGTTTCATGTTAACTAATAAAATCAAGAACAATCATCTATCTAATCCACACTTTTATGGGTCCCACTGTACATAAAATTAAACAATATAAAAAAATATTTAGAAGACTGGAATCTTGTCCCGAGGTTTCTCATTCAGATCATCATCAATTGTCAACAAAACCTTAAAATATATTTTTTTTATTACATACTTGTTTTTACTAAAATGTCATAAACACATCAAAAAGTTGCAAGACTTTTTAAATTTAGTAAAACAATGCAAAATAAATTCTTTAAAAAGGCGATCAGTTTCTCAGTTTCTATGTTTAATGGGACACCCTTTACATTTGAAAATAAAAATATTAATAATCCTGCTGCAAAGGTACAGGGTTGCCCGCTAAAGATGATACTATGAAGACGACCAGAAACTCAAAAAAATAGGACGATTCCAATGTTGATTAAGTCTTCTGTCTTAAATATAGTATTTAAATGGCATATTTAAATGGTCTAGCAAAGAAGAAAAGTTTACGTTTACCAGGAATAATGAATATAAGAATACAGACCTTGTGAATTCTGTATGCAGTCTTCTCAAAAGTTTTAGCCTTTGAGGGTAACCCTGTACAATCCCCGGTGGCAATTCCCGGCCCAAGAGGCTTCTTCCCAAAGGTACATTGTCGTTTTCCCAAGGGGTGATTTCCGAAATGTTGATTAAGGCAGTAAGGGTAAAGGTGTTCACAGGTTATGATGGATTTCTTATGGGGCCGTGCCGTGATCAGTAAATGATTTTCAAAAATCAATTTCTTGAACACAAAATCATATTTTACAAATAAATACAACTTTTATAAGAATACGAGGAATAGTTTACNTCAGATACAACCCATTAAAAATGTTTACTCACCATAAAGGACAAAAATAATGAGGCTGCGGATAGAAAATGCCAGATGTCATGGTTATCATAGAAATGAAATAATCTGCAGCTCTAGTAATACACTCATTAAAGTTTGAAATAATAAGAATAATGATAATGAACGATATTGATTAAGCTAAAACAATAATTATAAAGATAAAAAGCATTAGATACATGTCACTGCATTTCAAGTTATTATGCAAGTAGTTTTGACTCGGAATTTTTTTCTTAAAAATCTTCATTTTAAAGTAATTTGCCAGTAAAAGTTTAATTTTATACCCAAAATTTGTTTTAATCTGATGAATAATCTACCTGGTTGTAATGTCTCGACTGCGCTGCGGATAGATTCCATGTCGTAGATTTATTCAAGAAGAAATACATTGCAGGAACCCAACTTAGCAGAACAAAATGTGAAGATTTTGAGGGGTGAATATATTAAGAAGGGTCTCTAAGGTTTACTTTTAATGACCCCTACTTCTACCTCTAATAGTTCTCCTTAAATCTATTTAATTGAAATGTTTTGTTATTATTATTAAAATTAGGTGGTAAAAATAATCAAAACAGCTAAGACCTAGTTGCTTTATATTTGTACTGTTAATATAATCATCAATTTGTAATTGTAAACTCGTTCTGTATACAGATACATGTATTTTAATAATAAACTTTATCTTATCTAACCTGCTAAATTATCTTATTACTGTATTATGTTAAAGTTTTCTTTTATTAGACTTTCCAATATATATATCACATCAAATCAAATCAAATCAGACTTTCAAAGGATGTCCTGCTTCCACTCAAAAATTTGTAAAAATGGAAAAACATTTGTTCCAACACGTTCGCTTTTGCATCGTTTTGGGCTCGTATTTTACATAATGCATTTATCTTCTGGCAGGGTCAAACATTTGAAATAATGTAAATAAAGCTAATATTTAGTATAAATGTCCTATCACCTCTACTTATAACCTGTTATATTCTCTAACAAACTTTACTTTATGTTATATTCGATAATGAACTCTACTTCTAACCTGTTATATTCTCTAATAACCTCTACTTATATCATGTTATATCTTATATTAACCTCTACTTATATCATGTTATATCCTATATTAACCTCTACTTATAACCTGTTATATCCTATAATGACCTCTACTTATAACCCATTTCCCTTCTTATGACCTAAAATTCTAACCTGTATACCTTCTCATGACCTCTAACGATCTGTCACACTCTAGAATGACCTCTGTTAACCTCTAATCACCTGAGTGTGGCAAGAAGTATGTAAGTAAGTGGCTGTCTGCATATTCTCTCTCCATGTCTGTAAATAATGTTTAAAATAATATGTTTCCAATTTCTTCAGGAGGTTTAAATGACAATGATAATTCGAGAAAGGATAAAAATAATTTATAAGAATTAAGAATAAGACGACCAATATCCAATCAAATCAAATCCAGAAGCTATTGTCCCAGAACCTCTCCTACAGGTATTAAAGAAAATACAATTGACTACAATGAGAAACAGAATACTGTGAAATATGAAGTGTATTTATAGTTTCGTTAGTAACTAGTTAACTCAATTATTATGTAAAGTGGGTCTGTTACACAGCACAATTGCTGTGTCTCATGTTCACTGGCCAGCAAAGTATAGTAAGTTTGTAGTACTAGACAGCTGAGTGCAGGCTTGAATAGGACAATACACCTGTGCTTTATTATACTGTACTGTACTGTACTGTACTGGTCTGTACTGTACTGTATTGGTCTGTCCTGTACTGTATTGGTCTGTCCTGTACTGGTCTGTACTGTACTGGTCTGTACTGTCCTGGTCTGTACTGTGCTGTACTGTACTGNCTCTGCAGGGGAACAAGAAATAAATAATCTCTACCTCATTTATTTTTACATTTTTGTTATTGATTTTGGTGGTTATTTTATAGTTAGAACTGACGGGTGTCAACCCAGACCGAAATATATTTTAATAAAATGTGGAACATCTACTTTTCTTACTCTACAGAGGTTTGGTCTATCACCAATCACCGAATTTTAAAAGTAAATATCTAGATACTTTTAAACCAAAAATCATTTATTCTTCACTGAAAGTTTATATCAGTTATTCCAATTCCAATTCAGCGAGAAAAAAAATGCTAAAAAATGTAAAGAAGGAAAAAAATGCTTTTACAAGAATTGTTCAAGATAAAATAAGCGCGTTTGGCGGATAGCAATAAGACGAGGATTTGATAACGACTAACTATATTTTAAATATAAAGTTACAAAGTTAGAAAAATATATATATCATGGTTTCTGGAAACTCCCCTATTCTTTCTCCTTGCCGCGAGAAGTTCTCTAAGGAAAGACGACTTTCATAGCCGCCACACGCGTCCCTTTTCTACAGAAAAATAAAAAAGATGTCTGAGTTTCATGAGAATATAGAATGAAGTATAGAGGAGAAGGTTAATAATAAAAAAGATACCTGAGTTTCATGAGAATATAGAATGAAGTATAGAGGAGAAGGTTAATAATAAAAACCCCCAACAGGAAGCTGGCAAAATCCTTGTCATTCTGGGCCATCACAAGAATCTAGTAAAAATATAAATCATTAATAAATTAGGAAAGGTTAAGATTAAATTAATGATTAAAGGGAATGTATGCGTAACTTAAAGTGACAGTCACTTAAAAAATGGCAATGCCCAATTTTCAACGAGGCCCTTAAAAGCGTTGTCTGATCGAGTGAAGATATCCATGTTTTACTTACTTTAAACTGTTTATTTTTATTTTGGTTTCAGCAAAAGTGACTTGCGCAATTCTTGCTCATAGGAAGCAATGACGAAATTATTAGACTTTTCCAGATGTTATCTTCCACATTTTTAATGAGATTAAGGTTTTAAGGGTATATATCATTGTAAATTGGACATTGCCATTTTTGCATGGTAGGTCACTTTAAATTATAGAAGTGATTTAAAGCGAACCTTCTAGTGGAATCACACAACCCCTGGAAGAATATCTGAATCCCTTCAGTCGAATTACAAACCCCCTGGCAGGATATCTGAATCCCTCCAATGAAATTATAAACCCCCAGGGGGGGGGCGAATGTCCCCCCGCCCCCTTGTATCCGCCCCTGCTTATACAAAACTTTGCATATTTGACGAAAAAAAGTTATGCTAAAACAACTTTGAGTGAAAGGTGAATAATTAACAAAAAATTAATACTCTTTTAACAAAATTAAATTTCGTCAAAAAAAATGTTTTTTGCATACGCACAAATCTTTTGAATGGGGGGGACCCTGGAGATAAATTCCCAAACAAATTAATACCCCTTAATATAAAGAAAGTTGTTGTACTGTATGTATCTGTTCCTGTCAGGGTAGGTTGGTTTCAAAGCATACCAGGCACCCATACACAGGGAGGAAATATCGTTGTACAACATCAGCCATATCCTAGATATATGTACACTGTACACAGGGAGGAAATATCGTTGTACAACATCAGCCATATTCTAAATATATGTACAGTGTTCACAGACACAGGGGTGAAATATCGTTGTACAACATCAGCTAAATTCTAGATATATGTACAGTGTACTGTACACAGGAGAAAATATAGTTGTACAACATCAACCTATGTACTATTTCCTTGTTGAGCATTTACTATCCATCCCAAATATATGTACTGTACTGCAACGTAAATGATGATTATGTTTTATGTACAGTATAAAAAACATATATGTACTTTAAATAAGTAAAAATAGTGAAACCTTTACAAAGAAAAAATTATAAAATCATCCAACCTCTTAAATAGTCCAGCATCCACCTTCCATCTACCCATATAGTAGATCTGGATAGATAATATCAAACACGTGATCACATGGACTCCTACATTAAATACATATAGTAGATCTGAGATGGGAACTTTTGAATGGGATATCCTTAATCCTGGGTGGACAACAAGCAATATTTAATCTGCAGATTAAGAAAAAGAGTGGATTAAGCCTTAATCCCGATATCCACCATTCTAAAGTTTTCAGCTCTGGATAGATAATATCAAACACGTGATCACATGGATTCCTACATTAAATACATATGATTTACCACACTATGATTCGTCGACATCTTAGCCGTTTCATTTTTCACCAAAAAAAACTTTTTATTAAACAAATGTTGATTTTAATAATACTGTTTTTAAATTGAAATAAATTTGTTATCTTGAAATTTTCTTGCTTCTCGTAAATAAATTTTTTTTGATGTGAAAGCCGCGGAACTCGGCCAAGAAATGATCAATGATAATGGATACGTTTCGGCGGCTAGATTCGCCAAACCCTGTTTCATTGGACGAAATCTTAATAGAAATAAAAATGGCTCAAATTTGAACAAAAGTTTGCCTAGAAAAAAATATTAATTTAGATTTTTCTTGAAATGCCAAAAACGGGAACGGAAAAATTTATCTAAAACTACATGCTCTGCATCGTTAAAAACAAATATTATTTTTACAATTGTTGAGACGGATCTTAACAAGTTTTTAAATATAACCTGTGAAGAAAATCCAGAAAAGTATAGATGAGTTAAGCACACCGATAACACCAATCAGGATTACAAATGCTAGAACTCCGAAGGCAGTGTAAGCATTTGCATTAATATCAGGATGCCTGACAATAGCAATCAATCAATAAGTAAATTGTGCATGATAAAAAAGACGAAAGACTCCTGTGAGGCGGGGCAACTGGCAGGAGGGTTAAATCTAGATAGACAATCTATTCTGCATCAAGGCAGGATCTATTCTGCATCAAGGCAGGATCTATTCTGCATCAAGACAGGATCTATTCTGCATCAAGGCAGAATCTATTCTGCATCAAGGCAAGATTTATTCTGCATCAAGGCAGGATCAATTCTGCATCAAGGCAGATTCTACTCTGCATCAAGGCAGGATCTATTCTGCATCAAGGCAGGATCTATTCTGCATCAAGGCAGGATCTATTCTGCATTAAGGCAGGATCTATTCTGCGACTTAAAGGGTCTGTCGATAAAATTTTTCAAATAACTCTTTATTTAAAGAGTTTGGTGTCCGATTTACCTCTATTTTCCCATCTCACAATTGCGGCACTGTTGTGGAACGACAAATTAAAGATAAAGGAAGTTAAAGAGAATTTATATCTTTTAAGAAGGAAAATAAGAATAACGAAAATATATTCCTCATTTTCTATCATATGAAAGTTTAAAGGATACCATTCGAATTCAGGCATGTAACTATTGAAAAAGATCGATAAAAATTACGCATTGAGTCCCTTTAAGTCAACAGAATAAACTGTATTGTGTACAGTACTGTACCTGAATCATATCTAGACATACAGAGAAAAGCAATTGTGTATATACCCTGTATTGTGTACTGTACTGAACATGAACTGATATATCTTAAGCATACAGAGAATAGCAATGGTGTACATAAACTGTATTATATACTGTACTGTACCTGAACTGATATATCTTGAGCATACAGAGAATAGCAATGGTGTACATAAACTGTATTAAGTACTGTACTGTATCTGAACTGATATATCTTGAGCATACAGAGAATAGCAATGGTGTACATAAACTGTTTTGTGTACAGTACTGTCCCTGAACTGATATATCTTGAGCATACAGAGAATAGCAATGGTGTACATAAACTGTTGCTGTACGGTACTATACCTGAACTGATATATCTTGAGCATACAGAGTATAGCAATGGTGTACATAAACGCTGTATCAAACTGGAAGTTGGAATGGTTTGGACAGATATGATAACATCCTAGACAAAACCAAACATGATGTTTTTACAAAATTATATATATATATATGAATTTTCGTATTTTGACACAGTTTTATATCAATTTCTCGAGACAGGAACATCAGATATAACTTTTATTGGTCGCGATCAAGAAATAAAATGATTAGCTTTAAGCCTATACCACATTTTATTTTTCCTTTACAGTCCCTTTAAGTACTTTTTTGCTATGAACGTACGCTATTCCAACAATTGACAGTGGATTTTTTAAAGAATAAATTAGAAATGGCTGTAGAACTTTCAAAAGCTATAAAAAATCGATTTATGATATTTATCAAGAACCATAAAAATGGCAATCATCATTAACAAAATGATTTCACCTGACATAAGTCCTTCCATAACCAAAGCAAGTCCCATGGCGTAAAATAACCCTGGATCAAAAAAAATGTACAAAATAGATATTAATTAAGTAAGTAAGTAAGTAATTATTTATTTAAGAAATATCACAAAAAAATACAAAATTAAGTGTTTTAGGAGAAAATATTTAAAAACCTCCAAAAATAGAAGTTGTGGAAATATTTCCTCCATTTCTAAAAAAATTAAAGAAAAAGGAAAGGAAAGGAAAAAGAAAAAAACATATTTATTGATCACATAACATTTAATATAACTGCCAACTGTTGGTGGCTTGTTAGTATTTTTCGACGATGAACTAACAACTTTTAAAAATAAAAATCATAGATTTATTTGTAATGTTGAAAAAAAAAAAAAAAAATAGGCTTTATGGTCTGTGAAAAAGATATATTCTACACAAAATGGATATTTTAAAGCATCTTTTTGATTCGCGCCAATTTTTGTCATCCTTTATAATTGATTATATTTTTAAATCTTTTATCTATAAAAACCAGAAATCCCATTATAGATTTTAAAACGAATGCAATAAATCTTTCTTATTTTAAGAAGAACGTTCTAATACAGATTTATGATGTTAACCACTACTACACCGCAGTAGAGGTTAAAAAAACTAAGCTTAAAAAAAGCAATTCTAGAAACAGAAAAAAAGGTTTTATCCTAATTTATTTACACTGCAAGTGATGAACAATTTGTTATGCCATCAATAGCATTAATTCAATCAATCAATCGGTGAATTTAGAAAAACTAGTAATTAAACCTGAATGCTGTGGGATTCCAAACATTCGTCTGATTCTAGGGTTTTCTGCACAGATCTGGTTGTATATAAACCTCCTGGTAAACAGTTATATAATCATCAAAGAGACTCTTGTTGTACTTTCAATTGATCCTCCATTTAAAGAAGGGCATACATGATTCACAACAGTACGTTTTAAAACTATATCTGGAAGATCTGGGAATAGATCATTCTTTAGTTTGACTCTTGTTTACTTAATTTCCTCCATTGTTTCTGTAGAAAGAAATCCCCAAGTCACTTTTATAGAGAAACCACAGTTAAAATTAACTATTTTTTACTCATTTATTCTTGGATCAGACACAGTTTTAGAGGGTACAGTTTTGAATCGAAAATGCCATGCTGCGGTTTTTGAGTTAGACATTAAAAAATTCTTCGCTTTCTATACTCTATAAAAAAATAGTTACTTAGATTAAGTTTATATTCAACAGCAAAAACATATTAAGTTAGGAATTTTTTGAGATAAAAAAAGTTCAAAACGGAAATTTTTAGGAGTGTTAATTCTTTCTTAAATCAATCGGGGGAAACCATCTACTTAACACTAATTGCAAGGCATAGAAAGGTGATCTGACCTGCGGGCAACAAACACCATGAAAAGACCACCCAGCATCACGTATCCAATGTTTGAGTAAACATGATTAAAATCTAAACAGAAAATTATAAACTTATTTTTCTTTCTTCTGTTAACTTAAAGCGACTGTAAACATAATTTTGATTGACAACGACAGTACGCTAAACCATTAACAAAAGGTTCTCTGCATTCAATTTTAAGCTTTAAAAATAAGGATATCTTCTGCCTCCTTGCTTAGATAAAGGTAAAAAAAGTATCGTTGTGAAACGGTCAATCTACTCTAAACATAAAGGGTCACTTAAAATTACGTCTACAGACTTCTTAATAATATAAATTCAGATACAGGTACCAGCCATGTTTAAATGAGTAGCCAGAGCTGTAAACTTAAGATTGAGATATCCGTAATCTGAGTATCCAATGGACAAACTTTTGATTTTCTTCTTAAACCGTTCTTTCTTGGATATAGGAGAGAAAAATCAAAAACCGGATTTTCTAAATTAGAGAGTTCCTCACATTTCTGTATATAATCTTAAATGGCGCGCAAAATATTAAATTTATCGGCTTCATATTCACGACTCTGATTTGTTGAATTTTATACACTTTTCAGGATACAAGTACAAGATTAGGGTAGTCTCGATATTAAGAAAAAGAGAGGATCACGCATAAATCTCGATATCCACCATTCTAAAGTTTTCAGCTCAGTTTTCTTAAAAATGTTTCTTTTTGTATTCCGCGTACCTGACAGAAGACCGAGAGGATGAGCACAAAGGAAATTATAATAACAAAGATCTTCGTTTCCGGTCTGATTGAGAACCTGAATATTTGAAATATATTGGAAATTTAGCAAAAAAATTATGAAAAATCTTGGAAGCAATTCTCCGTATTCTCCAAGAATTTTTTTCAAGAACTTTCTATAATTTCTCCCGAGAAATTCTATCAAAAGTTTATCATTAAATGTTCTGCTGCTTCTGAGAAATTTTCAAAATTGCTCTAAAGGAATACTCTAGAATTGCTTATCAGTAATTTTTAACGATTGCTCCTAAGAATCACTAAACTGGAATTGCACTAGAATTACATAATTAGTCAATACACTAAAAACCCCATTTCATTTAATATCGACGAAAAATTAAATAAAGCATTTTTTTGATAGGATGATTCTTTTTCAAACAAAATAAACGTAACACAAATTTTCTGAAGTCATTAGCTTTTTATGACATACTTACATTCACTGTTTTAGTTAAGCCCCTGATATTTATTTACCTGTTGATATGTAACTACTAACTGAACAACTAAACGAATACATTTTTTCAGTGTTTTTATTTGATTTTGTATTCTTAATTATTTGGAAAAGGTTTAGGTAGAGACTGGGGACCATGAACAAAACTAATTTTTAGCGCATTCAAACCATGAAATTGAAAATAGCTGAGTTTGAATACTAAAAAAATGGAAAAAAAACGAAAACAAAAATTAATTAACAATGAAAAAAATGTTTTCCTGGAAGACCATAGAAAATTGCGATTGTTATAAGATTCCACTGATACATCATGGAACGCCTGCAAAACAAATCAAAAAGATAAGCGATCGAAAAGATTAATTTAATAAAGAAATAGCTTTGATTTCCAAGAAATAAGCCGGTTTACAACTCTTACTTTTACCATAGTATACAACAGCCATAAATATAAAAAATAAAAAAAATAAAAATAAAAAAGCTACACCCCACCCGCCTTGAAAATACATTCTGTGGAGTCCTTAGCAGAAACTTAAATCTGTCACCTGCTGTTCACTTTAGGATGTTTTCTCGATAGATCCGAGACGAACAGGAATGTTTTAGTTCGAAAAACATCCTAAAACAAACATTTATCAATAATAAAAAAGATGGAGAAAACTACATCAAATTGTATTATTTTCAAATTATCAAATATTAAAATATAATCGGTTGCTGACATAATAATAATAATAATGATAATAACTAAAAGCCAGTGGAAAAAAGGCTTCCATCAAAAATATTCCCCAAATGATGGATATACAACAATATCATTTTAAAATATTAAATTTAAAGAAATAATTTTGTCAATTGAGAAGAGGTGCAACAATAAGGGGTCAGCCGGGCAACCACCCAACCACCCGCCCTTGCTTCTCAAGTGGGTGGGGCGCCCCTTAAGAGATAGAAAATAAGGTTTTTAGTTTAAATTCAGAGAAAAATTGTCAAAACTACATACTTCTATTCTAAATGAAATTCTAAGATTTTAATCTTCTAAGTTATTACTGATACATTTTCACATAAATTAGATTATTCCCCCCCCCCCTGAAAAATACCCTCAGTTGCCTTGTCAAGATCAGCATCTCTCAGTAGATCGTAATCACTCTCGTCAATAGTAGATCCTTCAAATTCTACTGTTCGTGGCACTTCCATCATCTGAATATATAACTTTCTAAATCACTTTCCACTAACTGCTACTATATCTTCGGTCAGTTTACTGCAAATTACTACACAACGCACCTAAACCTTGGTTGAGGGTGAAATATATAAAGTTGTAATCTCCGTTTGTTTATCCGTCCATTGGTTTGTCCAATCATAACTTAAAAAACCCTGGACCGATTTGCCTCAATTTTTTTTGGGGGGGGGGGGGAACTCGGGAGACCCACGGGAATGTTCTTGGCTAGGTTTTGAATTGAATGGGTCGACTTCAATACCGAAAATCTAGTTTCCCGGTAAAATCGTTCAAGTGCGGGTAAACGGCGGGAGTAACTTTTAGTAACCTTGGCCTTGGACAACCCTATTGACGTGGCCATCCATCTCGGACTCTAGACTGGCCCAGAAGATGATTCAGTATAAGAAGGGCTACAACAACTACAACAACAGCTACCTTGGCACCGCTTGGTTTCCAAGCCAGTATATAAGAAAGCTCTTCAGTCTTTACTCATTTATCAAATCAAATCAAATTAGCCATAAATGATGGATGTAAAAATGGATATTTATAATCATAAAGGATTTTTGGGGATTATCCATACTCCAATATATATCCATTAAAAAATACTTATTCAGACAATATTTAATAATCCCTTCAGAGGAAGAAAGTTCCTAACTCTGCTACGCTTTGTGTCAGGCCCGGCACTGTTCAGGGATTGGAACTTTCCTCCCCTGTAATCTAAAGGATATAATTGTCCTACCGGCGACAAGGCTCTTGTATCAACTCCATCTGGACTATTTCTCTCATCTTCTTCATCGTCCGGACTAGAAATGTTCCGAATCTGGGAGTCCGGACTATTTTCTCGTTGTTCTTGGTCGGGAGTCTGAAGTACTCTTATTTCATCCTCACTGCATAAAAATTATGAAGAAATGCGTAAACAAAACATTTTTAACACTAGATATAATGGTTAACATAGAATTTTGTTTAATTAACAATTTAATATTTAAAAAAATCGGAGAATTAAAAAAAGAAAAGAAAAAGAAACTAAACTTACTTTTGATTTTCTAAAGTTTCTATGTTCTCAGCAGGCAATGGAACTGGGACAAGTCTTCCTACAGACAAACCTTTTTGTGAGAATAAAATATGTAGATAAAAAATTATGACACAGCCTTTAGGTAATCAGGTTATAAAAAATTCTTAAATTTGTCTCCCAATTACTTTTACTATTACTAAAAGACAATCCGTCATTGAATGAAGTTGGGGTCGGCGCTCCTCTCCGATCTAACGTTTCCAAGGAAAATGTCTCCACTACCCCAGTACATTAGAGGCTGTATTCGTGGATTTAGAGGAGCCAGTGCAGGCCTCCCACAATATGACAGAAATTTGGAGTGATTTTTTAACCAAAAATAAATAATTTTTTGACAGAAAATCTTGCCAGTTGATGCTTATTATTCATTTTCACCCCTGAAAGCACGAGGTCCTTTCTATTTCTTGAAAATATATACCCCTGATTTTTATAGTCAAACTTTTAATGCTAAGTTTAAACTTAAAAATAGCGACCAAATAAAAATAAAATTCTTATAATTTTCACACCTGATGCAGCCGTACTACTGAGCGTTGAATTAGAACTGATACTTCCATATCTAAACAGTATTACAGTAAAAAATAATAAAAATAGGAATAATTTTAATTACATTTTCATTATTATTATAGTAATACAGTTTATGGAAAAATTGTGTTCTCTGTGTCTTACTTCTGTTTCTTGTTCCTAATGTTCAATAGATGTTATTGGCTGTTTGAGAGTGTTCAAAAATTAATTTTGAAGATGACTTCAGGCCTCCATAGTACCTCATACCTTGATCAACTAAAAGAGGTCAACTTGACCACTTGAAGATTCTCCATAAACATGACAATGTAAAAGAAGGTACATGGTTTACAAGGTCTGTAGACACAGCTCAACGAGAAACAAGGTTTTCTACATGCAATATGAACCTTAACTCAACACTGTGAAATCTAGATATATTAGGAGAAACTTCTTTAGCTTGAGAGTTATTAAAAGATGGAACAGTTTGCCAATAGTCATTAAAAATGGCACCTCATTGATTTCTTTTAAGAATATGTATGTCAAACATATTTCTTCAATGCGATAGGTGTCAGGGGCACCAAGTTCCCTGGTGAAGGTGTCAGGGGCGCCAAGATCCCTGGTTTAACTTAATGCACTATTAGTAGAAACAAAAAAGATATATTGACTCGCTGAAAATGTCACAAAAGCGATCTCCCAGCGAAAAACATTCCAGTAATTTAGTATTTTAAGAAATCCTTAATTATCAAAGTGACATGTACTATTCACGACAGTGCCCTTTAACCCTTTCTCTGATCAAGGATGAATGAGGTTTCCATCTTTATCGCTCGGAAAAATTGATTATTTTCATTTGTGGTTTCTCTATAGTTTTTTTGTGCTACAGATAAGTAAGGACAGAATTAAACCCTATGTCCCGTTGATGTACCGTCAATTTCCGTATTACGTCTATGTCCCGTAGACTACGTCTGCATTGCATCTACGTCACGTTAACGTTGCTTCTACAACCCGCCTACGTCATTCTTCCACTATTTCTGGGCAATTACTCAAAGGAAAGAATACAAATATTTCAATGTTCAGTTTTCTTTGTTCCATTTTCTCTGTACCTGGATCTAGGTTGTGAGATAGTATCTGGAGGAGCTCCTAGAGGTTCTGGTCTAGAGGGAACCTAGATTAAAGGTTAAAGAAATTGTGCCAGAGGCGGCATATGGGGAGGGGGGAAAGGGGGATATCCCCCCTGGAAAATTGGGAGGACGTCCCCCTCCCTGGAAAACTTAAGAGCGCAAAAAAAGAGCAGGCACCTTCTAGTCCTTAAATTTTGATTTTATAGAATAGTTTCCAAAAAAATTGGGCTGCGGCGCCGCTTTTTCTATCAAAATGTATATTTTCTATACAAATTTTAAATTTAAATTGCTAACACTTTTTCCACCCACACCACTTCCCCCCCAAATATAATCGGNCCGGATCCGTATCAGGAAACGTTGATATGGATCCGGGTAGCGCCAAAAGTTAACCAAAACCATGGAATAAATAAATCAAAATGGTTCGTAAATGTATTATTTACATGACGAAAATTTTTCAAAATTATCTTTAATAATTTAATGTTTACATTTATATAATAGTAATAACGACATTTTTAACTTTAGGATTACTATAGTTTATAAATTATAACCTTGCATAACATTTAATAGGGAAAATCCGATTCACAGAATCAAAAGTTACCTCGGATCCGGATCCGTATCAGAGTCAGGATCCGGATCCATCATCACGGATGCGGATCCGCATCAAAATGATACGGATCCGAAACACTGATAAAAATGATCAAATTCTCTGTAAAAGTTCCAGGAAAAGGGGGGATTTTATTTGCTAGAGGGGATAATTCAAATATTTCAAATATTTCCACCCCCCTTGAAATATCATTAGCCACCCCTGGATTGTGCACGCTTTTTAAAACTAGGTGTTTAAAAAACTTCCTTTTAACGTTTAAAGTCTTTTCTTTTTCTTGTCTTTTGTTACCTCAAAAATACTTCTTTCCTGAGGCATGACACGGGTTCTAACACAGATCAGACATGAAACTGAGAAATTATTCTTGGGAAATATTTAAAGAACCAAGCTTATGACTTTTGAATGAAAGGTTCAAATTTAAATCATGAATTGATTATCAATTTGTCAAACTTCAAGGATCTGTCTATCTTTAAAATCATAGCTTTGAGAAGAATAAATGCATTTTAGGGGTTAAAATACAAAGATTAACATTAAAAACATGTTTTTGATTATGGGTACTTAAAAAATTTAATTCCAGGGGAATTAAATTTTAAGAATTGGGGGGATTACTTTTAATGAGAAAAAAAAAAATTTGACATCGAAAGGCAAGTTTTTCACCTTTTTAGATACTTTCCCCAAAATATTTTTATTACTTATTTTTACATCATTTATTTCGCTAATTCAGCAAAAAAAACCATACATTTTTGTTCACTCCATGAAAGTGTCCCTGGCGAAAAAATAATATTTACGAAGAAGGGGGGGGGAAATGATTTTTAAAAGAAAATATACACCCCTGTATAATTCCAAAATGAATTCCTAAAATGACGATGATATACGCTCCCAGAAACATGGCAAAGGCTCCAAATGTTGCAGTCAAATATTCCTCTTTTGTTATCTTCTGAGTAATTGTAAACTCAACAATCTAGATGAAATTATATTAAAAACAAAAACATTAGATTTTGCTACCGACAGCTTTAAATATACTCCTTAATAACAATCCTGGTTAGCTGTTATTAAGTATCTGAACTCGTCGGAAAGACGTTAATTCTTTCGATTGAATCTGGTTCTATGATTAAAGAATAGTATGCATCAGAAATATGTGTCAAATGCATTTTTCCTTGTCAACAAGAAACTAGAATGCGTAGATCTAAAAGAGAAGCACAGAAAACAGATGTACGATCAGATAAAAAGAAGATACAAAGGTTAGAGAAAATAAAAATTAACTTGTTCTTTTGATGTAAATATTGAAAACAAAATTTCAAGGTTAAATTTTTTAAAGAACATTTGAAAAAATTTAAGAACCTTCCCCCCCCCCCCCCGAAAACTAAGAACTTTAAAATTGCAGTTTTTAAGCCAAATCTTAAATTTAAGAACAGACTATGTTATACATGCAGAAAGTATATTTTCTAGTATAGTACTCTATCTAATTTTAGTATTTACCTTATCCCTGCAGGGTCCCATGCATCTGTTTGTATCTAATAGGCTTGTATGCCTGCAATCTAGATCATCTGGTTTCACAACAAACACCTTCATATTTTTTAAAAACTTAAAAGGCTGTATTTTATCATTATTTTCAATGAAAATAAATCAGGCTGAAAACATAAGACTTCAACTTGGAAACATTTTCTGATGGTTTATCCTTTAGAATAATTATTCCACTCTAAAAAAATCATTTCTCCAACCCCTGATCAAATCAATGGCAAGCAATAAAAATGGTAATATCTTGAAAGATTTAAAGTTTGATTTAATAAAACTTTATAAAAACGGTTGCCTTTATCAATTTTTAGTTTGAAATAGTTAATTAATTCTTACAATATGGAGTCCTGAGGGGAAAAGATCTCGCCTTATTGTCATTCCTGTTTTCATATCCACAGTTTGCCAGATTCCCTAATCAATCAATCAATCAATCAATCAATCTATCAGCCAAACACTCAATCAAAACGTCTTTCAATAATTGGTTTTCTTACCTCGACTATATTGTGCGTCATAACTCGACTAAATTTTGCGTCCTACTTCGACTGAAGTGAGCGTCCTGCCTTGACTATATTGTGCGTCATATGTTGACATAAATGTGCTCCCTATCTTGACTATATTGTGCGTCATATGTTGACATAAATGTGCTTCCTACCTTGACTATATTGTGCGTCATATGTTGACATAAATGTGCTTCCTACCTTGACTATATTGTGCGTCATATGTTGACATAAATGTGCTTCCTACCTTGACTATATTGTGCGTCATATGTTGACATAAATGTGCTTCCTACCTTGACTATATTGTACGTCATATATTGACATAACTATACGTCCTACCTCGACTTAATTGTGCGTTCAAACTAAAATGTATTGTACGTCATACCTCGACCAAAAAGTGCGTCCAACTTCGACTAACTTATCGTCCTACCTCAACTAGTTTGTGCCTACTTATATCTACATAAATGTGCGTCCTACTTTAACTTCAATGTGCGTCCTACTTTAACTTCAATGTGTGTCATAACACGAGTGAACTGTGCACCCTACTTAATTTTACGACCCACCCTGACTTACTTTTTAATCCTACCAAGAGTTTGTAGTGTCCTACTTTTATTAAATTGTGCGTTCTACCTCGAACTCTATGTTCCTGTCGAGGTCCGACACAGGACAGGAGATGTTCTGCACAGACATTGTCATACAGAGGGGGGTCGGGGAGTCCATGCTGATAATACCAATATCCATTCCATCTAGACAAAATAAGATTTTAAGTTTAACTAACGTCAAAACCTAGCAATATTATCGTTTTCATTTTTTTGAAAAACGATCGTTTCGTTATGAAAACGACGACGAAAAAAGAAAAACAAACGATCGTTTAAAAAAATCTCTTTAAAAAGTTAGTGTTTCGTTAACGATCTTTAAAGACGACACTTAGCTAACGATCTTTAACGATCGTTAACGAAGAGAAAAGGAAACCGACCTGAAGGGCATCGGTACTTAACATTTAGTAGTTTTAAAGAAAATATCAAAAAGTTTAAGACAACATTCGATAAAGTTGATCTATCAATAACAGTTTTTTTTGTCAAAACGATCGTTTTTTCTTAAACGACCGTTTTTATAAAGTTCGTCGTTTCGTATTTATCAAATACGATTTTTTTTTCAAAAACTATCGTTTTTTACACAAACAATCGCTTTTTACAAAACAATCGTATAATAAACGGTCGCTTATCGTTTTTATAAAAAATTACTTTTAAAAAACGATCGTTATTCGTTTTATTAAAGTTCAAAACGATTAACAACCTTAAATAACCCCTATAGAATTTTGACTGTAGGTTATTTGTTGATAATAATAACAGTACCTGGGAAATGGAATTGAAAGAATTGTGGGGCTGATGGAGAAACCAGGAACTGGCGGGTCTCATTCACATCAACCTTAAAGGGACTGTCAACGCTAGTTCAAATAAAAGAGCTACAACCCAATTTTACTATTATGTAAGCAACAATGAGAAGTATATAATTTCTTAGACTGAGTTAAATTCTGTCAAGTTTCATCAGTAGAAAATAATCAATTTTGAGATAAAAAAACTCACAATATCTTCATAAATTTTGCTCATACTAAGGTTTAAAGGAAATCCTTCTTCAACTATTGTCTGAAAACTTAATTTTAAATAATTTGCTGATTCAATTCAACAACAGAAAAGTAATTTCCTGATATTTCTTTTTTAATTAAATGGGAAATTTTAAACTTAAAAAATACAAATTATCATTTCAATTATATTTTTTCACTATTTTTTAGTTTACCTGAAAATCTTCTTGAATATAAACTATCAGCTTAAATTCTGAAATAAAAATTAAAATTTTAAAAATGAATATTGGACATGCAAGGGTATATATTTAGACAAATTATACCCTCCACCCCCTCTCTTACAGATACCCAAAAACTTATTTAAGCAAGAAAGAACCCAAAATGCCGGAATCTTCCAAGCCCGGGTCCAAGGGTTTAACTAAATTTTGATTTTCCCTCCAAATTACTATACTTTTAAGTGTGTTTGTGTGTGTGTGGGGGGGGGGGGGGGTAATTCTACCTACACGCACCTGTTACCCATATACTTGATGTTGAAATATTCTACCTACACGCACCTGTTACCCATATACTTGATGTTGAAATACTAACTGTCAGGTATTGCATTGAGTCAACTTCATCTTCCAAAAATTCTCTTTAAACACATTAGTTTATTTCATATTGTAAATGAAAAATCTGTTCAATTTGTATAAAATTATAAAAAAATGATAAAATGAAGAAAACTAATGGATTTTAAACCTAGTTGTATCAAACTCCGAGTAGGTGTAGTGCTGAAAAGTACTTGTACTCGAACTAACCTCCACCTGTCTTTTAAGTTCTTGTACACGAACTAACCTCCAGCTCTCTAAGTACTTGTACTCGAACTAACCTGTCTCTCCAAGTACTTGAACTCAAACTAACCTGACTCTCAAGGTACTTGTACTCGAACTAACCTGACTCTCTAAGTACTGATGATACGAAATAAATATTATGTTAAATAAGGAAATGGCAAGAAAATAGAAATAGTTCCACCCTAAGTCCCTCCCATGATTTGGCAAAGAAAAAGTTAAAGCTGGGATTAAAATATTATTTTTCGCACTAAGTCGTCAATAAAGTATCATACGCTATGTTATATTTTCCTACAGGGCAAAGAGTTCTATTTACAAATCTATATTCTGATATTAAACTGGTCCCAGTACTACCACTCTTCTGAAAAAAAATTTTTAAAATATTTTGAATCTTTCCTAAACTTCTTTGTCTAAAAACATAAGATGTCTAGTTGAATTTTAAGAGAAAATAGGTGTTTTTCCTGTATTCCATATATTGATATTATCTCAGGTTATTCATGTTTAAATTTACAAGAATAACTATATGTCATGAATATTTAAAAAAAATATTATAACATTTCAACTGATGCCAGGAATCAAGGTAAAAAAATAGCTCCACAGATATAAAAAACAAATAGATATGTCCATAACATTAGATCAAAGGCAGGTAACTTGAAAAGAAAAAATCTCAAAAGTATTCCTTCGCAATAGGGGGGAAATATAGGATACTAAAGTGGCCTTCCATTAAAAGTTTTACAAGCCCGATTTATATCGGTACTCTTTGATACTCAAACTCTGGATGACAATGAGAAATAAAGTGTTTCTTTTATCTTAAAAAGATACCAGTTCTGCCAATTTTCTTTCTTGAGTCCTGTTTATGCTGCATTGAATCAGCGAGTTACTTTTATGGAGAACACACCATTTAAAAAGAGTGTTCGCGAAAAGTAAAAGGGGGTATAGGCTTCCGGCGAAAAATCATCGATGGTGATTGTTACTAATCTTATTTCTAACTGTTGCGTCTATAAGGAGAAAATTGTTAAAAACGACTTATACCGAAGAACGTAGCATCCACACAAATTCAGAAAGATGCAATATTCGACTCGAAGCGTTAAAAATTAATTAAATTCCAAAAAAAAATCATTCAGATATAAGAACATATAATCATCGATAATTTTTCGACGTATTCGCATAAAGTTGATATTTCATAATATAATTGTTTCATTTACGATGTACTTAAAACGACGATTTTTTTGGCCGCTAGGTGTCGTTGAAGTCTATTCCACGTAGAACTCCAGAATCATCGAGAGCAGAGAGACCTAGCGGCAAAATAAACGTCACTTTAACATAAGGTAGACAGTCCCTTTAGTTACTTATTTTTAGACCTGTACTAGGAGAGGTAGCTGCCAGGAGAGGACCCCCTTGAGATGCCGAACCACCACAAGAACTGGACGTCGGGAATCACAATCTTCACTCTCAACAAAGATCCGTATAGCGCCCCGGTCAAGCTGAAATATAAATACATATATAGCGCCCCGGTCAAGCTGAAATATAGATAGATATAGCGCCCCAGTCAAACTGAAATATAGATATGTGAAGTGCCCCGGTCAAGCTAAATGAATGATCCGTAAAGCGCCCCGGTAAAGCTGAAATATGGATCTGCATAGTGCCCCGGTCAAGCTAAAATAAAGATCCATAAAGCACCCCGGTAAAGCTGAAATATGGATCTGCATAGTGCCCCGGTCAAGCTAAAATAAAGATCGATAAAGCACCCCGGTAAAGCTGAAATATAGATCTGCATATTGCCTCGCCAGTCAAGCTGAATATAAAGCGCCTTGGTCAAGCTAAAATATAGATCCGTAAGCGCCCCGGTCAAGGTGTAATATAGATCTATATAGTGCATCACTTGTCAAGCTGAATATATAGCGCCCCGGTCAAGCTGAAATATAGATAGATAAAGCGCCCCAGTAAAGCTGAAATATGGATCTGCATAGTGCCCCGGTCAGGCTAAAATAAAGATCCACAAAACGACCCGGTAAAGCTGAAATATGGATCTGCATAGTGCCCCGATAAAGCTAAATTAAAAATCCGTAAAGCACCCCGGTAAAGCTGAAATATGGATCTGCATAGTGCCCCGGTCAAGCTAAAATAAAGATCGATAAAGCGCCCCGGTAAAGCTGAAATATGGATCTGCATAGTGCCCCGGTCAAGCTAAAATAAAGATCGATAAAGCACCCCGGTAAAGCTGAAATATAGATCTGCATATTGCCTCGCCAGTCAAGCTGAATATAAAGCGCCTTGGTCAAGCTAAAATATAGATCCGTAAGCGCCCCGGTCAAGGTGTAATATAGATCTATATAGTGCATCACTTGTCAAGCTGAATATATAGCGCCCCGGTCAAGCTGAAAAATAGATACACATAGCGTCCCAGTCAAGCTGAAATATAGATGTGCTTACATAAAGCACCCCAGTCAAGCTAAAATATAGATACATATAGCGCACCGGTCAAGCTGAAATATAGATACATATATGCGCCCCAGTCGAGCTTAAATAAAGATACGTATAGTGCCCTGGTTAAACTGAAATATAAATCCATATAGTGCCCCGGTCAAGCTGAAATATAGATACGTAGTGCCCCGGTCGAACTGAAATACAGATCCCTATAGCACCCTGGTAAAGTTGAAATAAAAATAATTTCTAAAGAAGCCATTTTTTACGTGGATGCAAAATCCATTTTTAATTAAATCATATTTTACAAAAAAGTTTCAATTTTTCTTTCTATTATTTTTGTCTTTTAGTAATTTTGATTCAAAAACATAAAAGTGTATCAAATTCTTTTATTGAAAAATCTGATAGAAATATAAAGTAATATCAACCAAACTATGGTTATAATGGAATTCCATTTATTTGGTGAGACCCCTCTATCAAACAAAAGGTCTTGTACTCCAACTAACCTCCAGCTCTTTAAGTACTTGTACTCGAACTAACCTCCAGCTCTTTAAGTACTTGTACTCGAACTAACCTCCAGCTCTCTAAGTACTTGTACTCGAACTAACCTCCAGCTCTCTAAGTACTTGTACTCGAACTAACCTCCAACTCACTAAGTTCTTGTACTCGAACTAACCTCCAGCTCTCTAAGTACTTGTACTCGAACTAACCTCCAAAGATCATTACAATTGAGCAACTTAGGGGGGAGGGGCAGGAGGGTTGAGGATGCCAACCTGGGGTTATGGCTAACTCAGGTTCCCGGAAGCCCTTCACTCGGGTTCGTCTGCATCCAGGAGTCATTGATTGAACAAAACCTGGGCGGATTTAACAGACTCTCCCAGGCGTGTAGTAAATGCGTAACGAAAAGGGGGGGTACTCATGAGTGAAGTCGACTGGGGACCAGACTACCCCCCATCGATTCCCTTTGTTTAATTAATTAATATACGTACGATTCACAATGGTACCCTTTAACCTTTGTCTGATCAAGAATTACCTTGATAACTTTTAATTGTGTTTTTTTTATAAAAGTTATTTGCGCTTTTTCACTTCAGAGACAATGTAAGAATTTTTAACGGAAATCAACACTTTCTTAGTTATTATCCTGATTTGTACTCAAGTATAGTTTTTATTTAAAGGTTGCAGAACTTTAAATTGAACAAGTGTTTTTATATCCAACATTTGTGTCCAAATTTGTTGTTTTAAAAAGTGTAGTTATTATTTAGATACGTAGTCTTACTTTGGAATGTAGATGATGGGATTTGGAGGTGGGAAGGTAGCAGTTGATTTGAGTCGACCAACACAGAGCAACAGCAACAACAATCCGTGTTGTAACATGATCAGATCATTCTGAAGAAAAGTTAAAGAATGAATAAATATGTGAGAGTTCACTTCCCATTAGCAGGGACGTTCAAACGCAGAAAAAGTAAAAACTAACTATAATAAAAAATGGAATCGACAAATCCACGCAAATATTATTTTACAAATATTTTTAAAATTGTGCTTTAAATGTTAGGGGGGAGGGAAGGGGTAAAGGGACTTCACAATATTTTGTTTACGAGAATAAACATCAATGATATCAAATTTCAACTCTTAACTAATTGCACATTTTTCATCCAGAATGATGGCCGCCACAATTAATGGGAAAATTAAAAGGATACACGCGCACAGTGAGTCACTGTGTTGGAATTTACACTTTTCAGGGAAACAAATTTTCAGATATGAAGAAAGGTATAAAGTATTAGAGTCATTTCTAACGTTCTCCAAAACCTTTAAAAAACTACCGTGAGACCTTAAAAAATTGTGAAAAAGGGGGAACACATCTGGACTCGGAAACTTAATTTACAAATGTCCAATTTACATAAAACACTACAATTTTGGATTTTAAAGAGTCCATTTATCTTAATAAGTTATATTACAGCCTACTGTCGAAACTGCTTTAAAAAGACATAATACACACCACAAGTTTAATGATATCTTCCTAGTCCAGTGACTTATGGGGGGTCACTGTTTTAGAGCTTATTTAATTAATAGAAAATACTTATCGCTTCGATGCAATGGGCTGGCCTAATTAAGGGGTTGAAGTTTTTAACCTCTACCTCATTCTTATCAAGATAAGACAAAAAATATTTATTTTGTATTATTTCAGGGTAAGGTTAGGTTAGGACAATTTTTGGGCCGAGCTCTGCGGCTAAGACAATCTAGGGGGCCGAACGCTGAGGCCAGAACAGGCCTTCATTTTCAACAATTTTAAACAAAATTAGTATATATTGAACACTTTCGTTGCGGCTGGGACCCGAGCACTGCAATTTTCTTCACTACGTGCAATATTGGTAATCTGACATTGATTGATTGATTAACGTTTATTTCTATGAGCATCTAAAGGCGAGCTCCTTAAATGATAATCTGACATTTCATTAACTCCCAAAACTAAAAACAAATAATCACGAGAGTGAGACTATGCCGCGTTAAAAATTTACATTGTGAACAAAGACGACTTAAAAAGTTGACGGACTTTTATTCCGTACTCTTTGGTGTTATCAATTGAACGAGGAGAGGAAAGCGAGCTACAACAATTTCTACCCAGAGATAAATTAGGGTTTCCAGTCGTAATTACGCGTGACACTTTCTTTCACTTACAGAGGGGCATTACGCGAAACTACGTGCTAATTACGTATAAAGAAAGTCTAGCATCGCGTAAATAAGGCGTAATTACGAAACCACTCCGTAATTAGTAAAGTACATATTAATTCTCAGAAATGAATATAGATTATAGCGGGAAAATATGTGCGATACAACCATGTCAAATCTGATTGGATGAATTGGATAATTTAAATACTTTCAAATTGAATTAAAATTCGTTTATGTAATGGACCATGGACCAATGTAGAGAAAAAAAAGTAGATGTCAGTTCCACATTTATTGAAAATAGATATCGGTCTAGGTTTACCCTTGTCAGTTCAAACGGTTACAATAACCATCAAAATCGATGTTAAAAACCACAAGAAAATAAACAAACAAAGAAGATTATTTAAACAAAATTAAATGGGCTGTCAAATGGACATAAGGGAAACGAACTCATATCATGAGATGGAAAAAAAATAATATGCAGATATTCACTTTTTAAAAAATGTTTAAAGACAATTATTATTCCTTGAGATTGTTTTTGTCAAATGAAGATTAAAAACAAACTATAAGGATATAAGTATATAATATGTATAATGTTTAAAGTGGTGGTGGTGAGTAGATCTAATTTTAACGAACTTTTACGTAAATCCGGGGGGAGGGGGCGGCTTTTCTAAGGAGGGGTATTTAAACCTTTAAAAGAGTTCGACATAAAAATACTCTTTTTCTCTTAAAAATACTGAATTACAGTTTACAATTGAATAAAAACTATTTTTATATTCATTCCTGTAAGTTCACTCATAAAATCTCTGATGTATTTAGATTCTCGTACTTAAGTAAACTTCTCACAAGGTCCCAAACCTTCTCTAGTACGCTAACTTTTAAATGGTAGAGTTCATGTCCAGGATTGTTAAAGTGTTCTCCTGTAGGCTGGTTAGTATGGAGGTTTCGCTAATTAGGCGTAATTATTGCAATATTTCGTGAAGTTACTTTCGTAGAAATTACGCAAAATTACGGCCTAATTTCGCAAAAGCAATTCGCAAATTACGCATAATTATTACAAAATTTCGTGCAATAATATTGTAAAAATTACGCTAAATCCTGCGAAATTACACGAAATGAAAATTATTTTGCGAAACTGCACGTAATATCGCGTAAGTGAATAATCTAATACGTTGGAAACCCTAACTGCTTATTTTCTCGTCCGAGCCCGGCCTCGAAATCCTTGTCCTTTCATCATTATGTTTTTATAGGGTCCAATCTTGGAAGTTAAACTATTTTTTGAAAATCTCGCCACGTAAGGGTATAAAATATGGCTAAGCTTAAAAGTATTAAAACAATTACATCACATGTATTGGAATCTTTGAATGAATGAGAATGATGTCAAACTTTATTTAGATGAAAATTAAATCTATTCTGCCAACTTAATGTCTAACTTTCAGCCTTTCAGGATATAAAATAATTAGCAAAAAATTCCAAACCTTTGCCTTTCCAGGGAGGGAAGTCAACCTCCCCTGCACAACTTCCGAACCTCATTTTACCTATTTACGGCAGTGCGCGTCCCCATTGGGATTCCAAACCTTCCCCAAACAGTCTTCCGAAAATTATCAACCATTTATAATCATAATCATAATAACCATTTATTTCAATTATTTATCATTTATGTCAATTTCAACTTAACGCGAGACTAATTAGAGGAAAAAGAGGAACAACAGGATATGGGGTTATACATAGGTATGACTCATTTTAACGACGTAGAATAAGTTTTAGTTCATTGTTTTTGTTAACAAAGGTAGCTCGTTTTTAAATTTTTTAAAGTCGTTTAACAACAACCCTTCATTAACGACAGTTAACAAAAACCTTTCATAATAAAAACAGTATATTTGGCGAAGACAATTCTTCGTTAATGATATGCCTTTCTAGAATAAAATCATTTTACACCAATCATGTCATTGATAGAAATTATCAATTATTATCATATCCAATAACTCTAACTTCTAAGAATGTCCTAATTTCATACTTCAAATTTAAGGTGAATACATACGTGAATTAAAACGATGCTTAAAAATGCCCTTTTTGCGTAAAACCTATACATTTTTTACAATCCATAAAGCCTAATTTCTTTTAACATTACAAATAAATCTACAATTTTTATTTCTAAAAGTTGTTAGTTCATTGTCGAAAAATACAAACAATCCACCACTTATAGTTTATATAAATATAATTTAAACAATGAATATGTAACTTTTCTTTTCCTTTCCTTTCCATTTTCTTTTCATTCTATTTTTTATATTTTTTTACAATTGATGGGAAATATTCCCACAATCTATTTCTTTTGTATGTTTTTGATATTTTTCATTTTTAAATAATTACTTACTTACTTACAAGATTTCCATGTGATTTAATTAATAACTTTAGGCATTTTTGAAAAGGTAATTTTCACAATCAAACCATTTTGCTTTTTGTTTTAAGTACCTTATTTAGTAAAGCCTTAAAACTGATGTGAGTAAACCTACAGAGTATAGGAAGACATTTATTTACTAAGAAAAAATTAACAAATAAAATGATAATTATGATCAATGGAAAGCCTGAGCTCTCTGACGGATTCTACGCCTTTCATCTGTCTCGTCCGACGAATTACTCTTCCGTCTTCAGACTCTTTATTTCATTGAAATTATTCCACGCAATTTGCGCATTAGTTTTTGAATCTTGATTTCGCGGATTTTTGTGTGTGTATTAATTATGCGCGCAAGGACACGCAAGCAAATTAATTTTCAAATCTTAATTTTTCGTATTCATGCATTATATCAAGCAACAAATCTTACTAAATCTTATGTTCAAGCGCAATATTATGTAAAAATTGTTACAGAATGTATTCATGCGTTAAATCTTGCAAAAATTATGACTTTAAATTTCTTATACATGTGCACAATTGTTATCTCTAATCGATGAATGTGAATTTTGTGCACAACTGGCTTCATATTGATAAGCAAATAAATCATATCTTGCAAAAAATGCGCAACTGTTAATCTTCTGTAAAAATTGCGGACTTTTGTGAAAATGGAAAACAGGAGGATGGGTTGACAAAAAGATAGATAGATAAATTATATAGATAATTTAGATAGATAGATATTGTTGGAAGAGTAAGAAGGAGAACCAGTTCTTTCAGAACTCTCAAACACACTTCACTCTGCGAGTACAGTCAGTTTAAAGTGGAACAGAAGTCGTCCTTGTTTGTTAACGTTTTTCTAATAGAGAGCTTAAGCAAACAAAAGTCGACTTTAACTTGACTTTTCACGAACAGAAGCCGACTTAAACTTGTAATTAGTCATTCTAAAACTCGACTTTTATTTCCCATTTAAACTAGTTTTTACCACTTTGTGCCATTTTTTATAACTTTAATTTTCTCTCTTTTCATTCCTGGTTTTTCATCAGAACTAAAATTTCCTGTTTTATTATTGTAAAAGCTTTAACGCACAAACTCACAAGTTTCCTTTTGTCGTCCAAAATATGAACATTTTTTAGATCTGCAGGGCACATCTGTTGTTAGCTTTTGTTCTAGGGTAAGGAGAAAAGTTCTCATCGATTTTAACGCGAAGTTTGCAACTATAGGGATGGACAATAGCCAGATTAGTTTTACAGAAACTTTTAATGTTTTAATTTTAAAACTTTATTTTATAGAAGTTTGATTTTATCAAACATGCAAATTTGTTACCCTAGAAAAAAATATAAAGCAAAAACAATTTGGTTTTTTAAACGATAGTTTTTGTTAGTTTTTGTCTTATATTTTCACCTAGGATAACAAATTTGCATGTTTGATGAAAGCAAACTCCATCAGAATACAAATTTTAAACCGTTGAACCTTTCTCAGACCTTTCTAAAACCTTTTAAAAGTATTAAAATATTAAAAGTTTCTGTAAAACGAATCAAGCTATCGCCCATCGCTACTTGCAACCTTTAGATCGCTGTGGGTCGACAAAGAAAGTATAACTGATAAAAATTTAAATTTAAAATCTCTTTGAAAATTGATTATTTCCTTTTGTGGGTTTTCTACAAAAGGGACTTGCGTTTATTTAGTCCAGGTAGAAAAACCACATTATATCTTATAAAGTTTAAAGGGAACCATTATGGAGGGTCATTCTAAAATAGGACTTGGTGAAAATGGGCTCGAAAGAAAAGGATTACCTTAAACCATAAACCTTAAATATCTAAATTGTAAAGTGGCTTTTATTGAGATGAGAGTTTGCTTGCAACTGGGCCTGGGCGTCGTCGTTGCAAAGGAACAAAATTTCTTTCACAGGAACGAACGGAACAGAAATTTTAAAAAATAATAACACGCCAACCCCTATGGACTCATGGCGTCGTTCCTTGAGAATGATTATACACGACGTCACAAGTGTCAAATAGAACAAGGAAAAAAATTTTTTCTCACATTAGTTGACATGTTCTCCAAGATTAAATAAAAATTGTAAGAACAGAAACTAAAGGAAACATAAAATTGCACTTATTTTACAGTAAGATAAGCACTTTATTCTAAAACTATCACTATTTATAACAACTTTGTCGGGCACATAAAACTGTTGACACTTGTGACGTCAGAATACAGCTGTACTCAGAGTGTACACATTCTACGTTGCCATCTATTGTACTAGACTCTATTTGATCCTGTGTACTGTACTGTGGCCTGTGGGTAGTGATGGGCCCGTTTTATATAGCACAACCCTAGGGAAGCAATATCGCGCAATGTTATTGTGATTAGAAACTCAACCTTTTACAAGAGAAATTAAATATAAGGATGCTATAGATGGACTACCGTGCTTAAATAATCTAATTAGTCCAGTTTTAAGTAGACTTTTACGAATATAAACGGAAGATCCTTTCCAGAATACTGTTTGGGGAAGGTTCGGAAGCCCTATGGGGACGCGCACTGCCGCAAATGGGTAAAAGGAGATTCGGAATCTGTGCGGCGGAGGTTGCCTTCCCTCCCTCGTCGCGCAGCCCTATTTATGACTAAAGGGTGTTAAAAAAAGCAAACACTGTTTTCCCTCAGAGGCTTAATAATAATGAAATTAATATCACAATGTCTATAGGATGTTAGGACTACGTGNGGGGGGGGTGTAACAAAAATTCTAAAACATTTTTTAAGTCACATAAATCACATAAAGGCAGGCATAGTTAATGAAAGCAAACAAAAAAAAATTTGCATGATTAAATTTATAATTCTTAGATCTGTAAAATGTAAAAAGACCTTGAATATTTAAAACGATATATTTGAATTCTTGAAGAAAAATGTGCAACACTACAGAATATGTGGAAATAGAAGAAGGTAAAGAAGGTAAAGAAGGTAGAGAAAATGAAATAAATTAAACTTGATCAAAATAGATATATTTTGAAGAGAATTGTCAAGTAAAATTTATTATTCTAACTGGATTGTTAAAAATACTTTATTTTTGTTCAACTGTAGACTATTTCTTTGATGGGGGGAGGGGGAGGGGGTGTAACCCCCTCCTGTATTCATTCATCATGTATTGTACAATATTTAAAATACAATTGTTAAAATCAAATAAGACGAATTTTTACCTTTTTTCCTGATAGTTATCTTAAAAATACAATTGAGATAACAAGATGTACTAGGTTGGACATCATGCAAAATTTGTGTGTTTATGTTGTTGACAAATCAACTTAATTATTATGTAAATAATTATTTCTATAAACAGTTTAAGGTTTAACATTTCATATTTCATATGGTTTCCCACAAAGGATGAGACTGCAAAGACGACCTAAAACTAAAATATGACGATTTCAAGGTTAAATTAAATGTCACAATCTAATAAAAGAGACAGTATTACGTATAGTCGTCTCTGAAGTCTCATCCTTTGTGGGTAACCCTGTACAACAGGGTGACGTTATTTTTATATGATCAACGATGGTAAATTAAAATATTTTAGGCTTTTTTTTATTACTCTTATTAAACAAACTAATTTTGGAATCCTTATATATTTGTATCCTGAGTTTTAAACTATAAACTAAACTATGCTTGATCATGTATCAAAGCTTTATAACATTAGGATACAGAGATATACCTATTATAAAGTAAGAGTTTGAGTCAAGTGATCAAACCTGTAGCTCCGCAAAACCTGAGAGCCATTTTACGGAAATAATAGATAACAAATTTACTTGTGATAGGGCCGAACAAAACATTTCTTCAAAATATATCGATATGGGTATCAAATGATGTATCTCAAGCCGCTGAAAACTGTCCACATGTGTATTTTTATATTTCTTATATTGATTGATTTAGAGCCATGCAAAAAAAGAAATTTCTGTGAAATCACTTTTCTGAATTCAGTGTTATAAGACGGATCTTTTGATCCCCTTATTGATATATCTTAAAGATTTTGGTCTTACTTTCTTATTCTTAAAAAAGCTCTCTGCTCTCCAGTTAAAAAAATTTTATTATTTTTTTGCGCAGATCTTAGAATTTTTAGGGGAAAAATTGAAAAATCGACACACCCATACAAAGCATCTCTATTAAAGATCTGAACTTAAATTGTAAATTATAATTATAATTCCCAGGGTACTCACTACCACCGTTCACCCGCGCAAGTAGCTGAAATGGACCCGCGTTGGAGCAAAAGCCAAAAACAATGGACCCGCGTTGGAGCAAAAGCCAAAAACAGTGGACCCTTGCTGGAGCAAGTGAAATATATTTACCCCTGTTTTTTTATTATATGACGAAGGCTCCGATGTAAAATATGAATATATTTTTTGGAGAGTATATTTACCCCTGAGTGCTCCAAGAAGGGTCTACTGTTTTTGGTTTATACGCATGCGCAGAC